GAACACGACATTGACACGTGTTTACACCGTTGTAACGCAACCTCAAATTTCTCAATGTGCTCTGCATAAAGACAGTCAACCACGCTACTACTTTCGGTAGAAATTTTTGGTACGAAAACGTGACCATCAAATAGAATTATCGAAATAAGAGGGTCCTCTAGTGTCTGCGTGCGTCAATGGGTCCATCAGAGCTCTGGCAATCTGTAGACTACTTTTCACCTAAGCTCCTGTGCATATAAAACTAACGCGATTCATTGTTCAAAACGTTCCTCTTCACCAGCGCCTTCGCTCAAAAATGGCGTCGTGCGGTCGTGCAGCCAAAGAGAGAGAGGCCGGGAGAAGGGAAACGCTAGCCAATCAGGATTCCACATAAGCGCACGTGATGCCGTCGATGAACGACGCCTTCGCTCAAAAATGGCGTCATGTAGCCAGGAAGAGAGAGGCTGGGAGAGGGGGAATAGCGTTACCTTTCCGTGTGCAGGAGATTTATACCAGCCCCATGCCATCAGCCTGGCTGACAGTTTAAACTTGGCAGAGCGATTAAAAAACAATGAAGAGTGTTATGTTCTATTACTTATTTAAATACATAACCAGTAAGCAGCAGGTGGCTGCTGCATAAAGGAGTCGACTGGATAAGCCCACATTTGGTTATGTCCGTTCCCGTATGTTCCCGCCCAATTCATGTAATGAGATAGAGCGGGAGCAGCGCCCCCTAGCTACTGCCCTTCCGCCACTCAACGCACATCTGAGCTGACGTCACTGTGTTCCTAGCGATCCCGTGCGTATCACTCGGCGCAATCAGAGCTTCGCGAGCGCTATTTGAACAGCTCGCGTCATCGGGAAGTCATACCGTCTCCAGGAAGTAACTCACAAAATGCAATTATCTTTTTTTTTTTTTTTTTTTTTTTGTGAGGACAATTTTTTTTTTTTTTTTTTTAATTTTACCCCGGGGAAGAAAAAAAAAAGCGATAAGCGATTTAGAAAGAAGAAAAATACAAACACCACTCTTCAAGATGATCCAAAGGAGAAAAAGAAGTGGCGTAGGCGCAGTCTGCGAAAGATACTCCGCTCAGATTTCCATAACGACCTCCGTATGCTGGAGGACGAAAAACAAAAACAACAAAAGTGAGAAAAAAAAGTACGAGAAAAATAAATTTCCCCAAAAGAAGACAACGAGATGCCGTGCGTTGTCGCTGCAACTCGCAAGGAAGCAGGGTAGAAACAAGTGAACACAACGAGGATACAAGAACACCCTGGATATTAACCACCGATAATGCAACGGTCGTACGTAACGCCCCCAGACTTATAAAAGCAGGTAGAGCGCGAACCTGAGCACGTCTGTCGTGGCCCCGGGAACGTGTAGGTTTGTCCGATAAGATCACTTCCTCCAGAGTACCGCACCGAAAACACGCGGAGGGGCTGGCTGCTTCGAGAGAAAAGAAAGCCACCTCGCTCTTTCGCGATGTGTGTTTGGTTGTTGCCACCATATCCTTACAGCCCACAGGGTTCCTCGGGCTATTACGCCACAGGAATATGGACGACTATACGATTATGTGTTTTGTTTGGAGGACGCGTTACTACAAGCACAACAGTGGTAGTAGTACAAGCAGTAGCAGTGAGCTTTTGTAGATCGTGTCCGTCGTGATGTAACGCTTTCTCCGCAATCGAGATTCGGAACTCTGCAGACAAGGCTAGCGGCGCTGATGTGTCGGTGCAAAGAGTGGAGGTGGAATAAAGGTCTACGAAAATTCCCTAATAACGGCAAGTTTTCGTAGGCCGTTTTTATGAAATATTAAAGTTTGCGCACGCAAAAGCAAGGATGTTGACAACATAATTTAAGACAAACCCCCGAGACTGGGTGGTATAAAGACGAAGAACACAACACGCAGAGTCTCTGTGTCCGTGTTATTCGCCAGTCTTTTTCCCAGTCTCGGGGGTTTGTCTGAAATCATGTTAAAAAACTGTTACCAGCTCGTTTGCGCACTAACTTACTGATGCAGACAAGGTCTTTCTCTTCATCCGTTTCAAGTCGCACTGTTTCCAAGATGGAAACTTGAACAAAAACAAACAGGAATCTCTCTCTCCCTCTTTAGATTCGCGTTGGAGATTTGTTCAAGTTGGAACTACAATTTTATTTTACGTGCTTGCAATGTAAGATGAAGCCATATCTTAGGGGAAATCTCGATCCAAATTTACGACTACTTCGAGTCAACGTCCCCATGAATTCCAGTCAAACAATAACATTCTTGCTCGTCGAAAGAACTCATCGCTTTGGCACCTCTTCGTATTCTCCCGTGTTGGGAGCATTAAATTCGCCTTTTCGAGTCGTGGTCTGTTGGTGGAAGGCTAAAAACAACACACAAATGTACGAAACGAAACAAACTAAACCATCAAAACGAAGGACTTTAGAAAGCGCAGGAAACGTATTCAACGCCCTTGGCAAACCGCACCGACGCATTTCAGCAAGCCCTGTCGATGATAACGGTATCAGTTCGCAAGCTTTCCTCTTATCCACACACACACATACACAAAAAAAGAAGAAAAAAAAAAAAAAGAAAAGAAAGATAGGTGACGTATCTCGGACCCTACTTCAATTGAAAACGGTTGATGAATACATCAACGACCGATAGCAAAGTTTGCAGATGTCTCTCCACGTAAGCTTGGTCATCCAACCACAATCCGCGATCATCGAACACGCATTTATCGACCGCCAAACATGGTTAACAGCGCGCGCGGTTTGAATATTTCGGCTGGTTTTCTACGCAACGCTAACAGAAACCTGCATTCATGTGTAAACACGTAACCTGAAGAGAACAGGCACACGATGCCTATGTCAGCAAAATCGTGCCCGACTGTTGCAGTTTTCACGTACGCACATAGCAGATCGCCCCGGCAGAAACCGGGCGAGTTTCAAGACTGGGATCGAGGAACCCGCCCAAAAGAATGCGCGCCAAGTACGAAGATGCAGCTTACGTATGTCCGGCGAACGAAGACAACCTCCGTGCTTGTTGCCCATGGTGGTGTCAGATAACTATGGACACAGCAAGAGGAAAGTTTGAAGGACAAACTTCCGTACTTCTACCGCCGCCTTGCGCGCACGCACCCACACACACGCACGCACACACAGACGGACGCGATGATCCACAGTTGATTGATCCACATTCACGTAATCCGGAGCGTTGCTCGTCCATGCCACGCTAAATGGCTGAATCAACACGGACGACGAACGCGCCGGGCGCGAGCGGCGAACAACGTCAGGTACGCAGCGCGTCGTTTAAAAGTCTATGCTCCACTACGCCGTTTCCAACGCACGTGCGTTGATGGGGGAACGCAAGTTCCGGAGGCGGTGCGATAGTTGCGTGTTGCGTCAGAACATAAATAAAAAAAAAAAAAAAAGTTTTATTTTTTTATTTTTAAGAGTTGTTAACAGATGGCACCCCTGGCATCGCGCAAAATGTGCTTTGAGAGAAACCTCACAGATGGCGCCACATACCTCTACTTCTATAATTTCTCCAATTATGTGGTAGGTGGCGTCAGCTACCGCTCATATAAAAAAAGTAAATTTACTTTTCGAGATTTTAGTTTACAAAATTTGTAACCGAATGCAATTTAGCCACAGCCACTGCCGTCTAGCATTATGTTCAACGGAACTCGAGTTAAAATTGAAGTTAACTCCAATATAGACTTAAAACATTGGACACAATGCTAAAGGCCCGTTCACACTCTTGCGACTGCTTGCGACCTCTTAAACCTGGGTTCCTTAAAGGGGCGGTGCAACGATTTTTGGACTTCGGTCAAAGATTTCTGGAAGTTGTTCCCTGACACTTCTGAAGTAAGGAACAGAAAACCGATTTCGCCTGCGTGTCCTAGTTGTTGCGTAAAAAAAAGATAAAGATTGGCATTTCGGGCACCCCTCAACTCACTCCCAGTCTTTGGGGTCACACCTGGTCGCACTCCCAGTGACGTCATTCGGAGTGCCGTGTAGCTTCCCGTGTGCTATCTCGGAGGACGCTTCCCCTCCCTCTCTCTGCGTACATTAGCGGGCGCTATGCTGCAGCTTAGAGCCGAGCGAGGTCACGTAATCTTTCCGCCGTAGTTCCTTCGGCTGCCACTTGGGGCTGCAGGTGGGGGGAAAAGCTCGACTTTTGCTTTGCGATTATGCAGCGGAATCGCGACATTTTTAATGAAGGAGGTGTTTTCTCTATCCTCTGGGACACGATAAACAACGTAGAAGTGGCGAGATGCAAATTCTTTTAATCATAAAATCGTTGCACCGCCCCTTTAAAACTTCTTAAACCAGAGAACACACTGGCGCCATCTATTGGGAAACAGTGTAAACTCGGCGGTCCGGCATATTTCTTTTTATTTCTCGCGCAATATCCTTTCTTTTTTGGCTCGAAAAACTTTCGTCAATGTTATAAACGAGCCTTTCTATGGGTATTACGCACATTTGACCTCGGAAATCCCGCAAAACCTTCGCTTTTGTGAAATGCAGTTCTAGGGTCACCGCATAGATGGCGCCACAATGTCAGTGTGTTCCCTCATTCTAGAAACATTTAAGAAGTTGTAAGAGATCTCGTCTCTCTCAGTCGTACTTGGTCGCAAGAGTGTGAACGGGCCTTAAGACGTTAATAAAGTTTTAGCGAGCCAATTTTCGGCCGGGTTATCCTTGTACCTATGCACCTCATGCTTTAAACTTCCTCTGTGGAGCCCCTCGCCCAGAGATTGAATTACTGAGTAATAAATCAATAATATAGTGATACTCCTGGCTGATCCCTTGTCACAAAATCACATAGCTGCCTGTAAAAAATGTTATTGGCCCAAAACTTGCTTACTGGTAGACTACAGTGGTGAAAGCATGTGCGACTCACCAAGCTGCTGACACATCATACAGTGAAACATGTTGCTATAATAACAAGGTAGGCACCAAGAAAAAACATATATAACCTGTTTTTTCAGCCTGTTTATATGGCCTACAAATGCATAAGCACAATAAAGGAAACAGTGTAAAAAAGTGCATCTTTATTGACATTCATATCTGGAGTAGCTCATGCCAAAAACAATACTCCAACTTAAAAAGCTTCTGCTGAAGAATCAACTTATTGTCGCCACTGTGAGAATGCTGATGGGGAATTCTGTGCACTGCTGAAAAAACAAAAACGAAAAACACGATCAAACAAAGTTTGCACTTTCACCCAGGGTAATTGATTGCAATTACAATGAAACTGAAATAGAAAGTACACCCAGTGAAACAACTATGAGACAAATAATCAAAGCACCAATATGCAGGAACTTTGCATCAAAATGATATTGGAATAATTTCTTAAAGGGGCACTCAAGTGGATTCCGAGATCGTCTATTTATTATCATAACTCAATCTACAGGCTCTAAGCATCCTAAAAAACCTGAAATTACAATCAAGAGTAACCGATTTCCCTACAAAAAATCTAATCAAAGATTGTGCCGTTCCACCCTTTCTGCGCCGCGGTGCAGAACATTAAGGGACGCCACCAGACGGGAAGGCCACAGGGGAGGGCATGCGACAGTCAGTCACGAGTGACAGCTTCCCGGCACATTAATTTTTTAATGCATGTGTATTCGAAACTTTAGTTCGCCGGGAAGCTGTCCTTCGAGATTGGCTGTCGTGTGCCCTCCCCTGCTGCCTTCACCCCTCCCCCTCCCCCGTGTTCTGCAGCACGGTGCAGAAAGGGGGGCATGGCACAATCTTTGATTGGATTTTTAATAGGGATATCGGCCACCGTTGAATGCAATTTCGTTTTTTTTAGGATGCTTAGAGCCCACAGATTCAGTTATGACAATAAATAAACAATCTCAGAATCCACTGGAGTACCCCTTTAATACTTTGACGGCGACAATTACACAGTTGAAAGTTCTCACCTAAACACCAAACTGTGTTCACCCTGGCAGGTACTGTTGTCTGTTATGCTTTTAGGGAGCTCTAAACATTGTATTTGCACTCTGTTTTGCCTTGCTGGGGCTATTTATAGTTCCAAAATTAGAAGCTCCATGCACAGGGTTCAGTGGTGTCGGCTACTTTTACGGTAGCTGCCCCCCAATCAGAGTCACGGCTCTTCCGATGCAGACTTTTAATGCTTCTCAGAACTGAATTTAGATGACGAGAGCTTATCACTCAGAGGCTCTATAAAAGTAACTCTCGTTCAGAGTCTAAGCCTGCCAGAATATCGCGAAAGCAGCTAGGTGCCAAAATGAAACCCAACGAAAAAAAAAAAGGTGACAAGTTTTCATCCTCAATAGTATTTATATTCGCCGCTTTTCAACCTGGACAGCTTGTAAGCGCTTTATGCATGATTGTTAGGTAATTAAAAAAAAAAAGCTTCGCATATTTTTTTTTTGTGCCATCTTTCTGGGACAAAAACTTCTGACCACTGACGCAGAGCTTTCAGAAAATAAACCTGACTGCGAAAGGGTTAACAACCTCATGCTTTGTATGAAAAAAAGCAGACAGTCTTTGAAAAATGTCACTTTAAATTTTATTTTAAAATATAAAATTTCAGTTGAATTTAAAAATAAAAAATAACTTGATTTTAAGAAAGACACTTTAATGTTTTACCGAATATTAGATATGTGCTGAAAAAAACAGTCGGTCTGGCTATAAGGATTTGACAAGGAAAGTCTTCTATTCTCTTTCAAATAAAAAAGAAATGGGTGAAGTTCTTCGAGAACAGTGCTATCAAAATATTTAAAAGGAAATTGGTTAACTGACATACTTTCTTAAATTAATGATAACAGCATAAATATAGATTATGTGCACACCTTCTATATTTGGTGGAGATGGCTGTGAGGGAGGTTTCTACAGTATATTATTGCAGAGGAAAAGAAAAAAACATGTAAAAAATAGTCTTCAAATAAAAACTTATTAGAAAAGACACAAAACAAGTTCTGCAAGTCAGGCAAACCCCAACGTACACTTTCATATTTTTCGTGCCACTACCTTTTAGCGGCACCTTTGTCAAATGCTCCAAACCATGCAACAAATATGACACTGGGGTAATTAAGAAAAGAGAAATAACATACCTCTGATCTCCAAATCCAGGCGCTGCTAAAAAAATAAAGAAAAAGAAAAAACAGCATCAGAGCAGAAACGATTGAGGACACACACACTACCAAAATTATAACCAATCGTCTAAGCGAAGACAGTGATGAGAATGCCACATCAGTGCTCTTTTCCTTCAAGCATTTATCATTACCAGGACCTATCCTCGCACCGATGTAAACAAACAAAAAAAAAAAGAGAAAAAAGAAAAAAAAAAAAAAAAAAAAAAACATCCCCAAGATGACTGATAGGCATCCTTTCTTTTCCCATTGCATAAAGCTGCCAAGGCAGTCATTCGGTCATTTGGGTCACCTTTTTTATGTTACGTCTCCCTCTTTGTCTGTCACATGCGCACATTAGCATTTGCACATAGACACGCATCCCCGCTTCGCACACACATCAAAAAAGGCTGCGTGGCATGTTCGGACTAACCTCCAAAGCTCGGCGGGGAGCCGAACGCACTGCCAAATCCCAGGGTCCCCTGCGGCTGCTGCTGCTGCTGCTGAGTGGGACTTCCTTGGGCAGCCAAGGCTCCGAAAGTTGGACCCTCCACGTTGCCAAACCTGCGCGACACTGTCCCCTCAAAACCGGGTTCCATCCAGAAATGTTGCCCCAGAAACGACTATATAACCAACACTAAGACATCATTGCGCATACTACTGCCATGGTCTGTTCTCTCTTTTTGTTTAAAAGGCAGACGTACAATCTCAATTTTCTGTGAGGCAGAAGATCACAGCCTCTTTCCCCCCTCCCAGACTGAGATGTTGCAAAAGGCAGAAAGTAGAAGCTAGGAGTGGAGGACACGACCCTGCATGCTCGTTGCTTCCTAGATGGCAAGGACACAGCGCTGAATTTTCCATGTCCCTAACCAGAGGTCGACACAGGGCACAGATTGGACAAAGAAAAGTCAAATTTGAACGGGTGTTCATAGAGACGGAAGTCAATATACATTGAAATGGGGTCTTTTAAGTCTCGGCACTATAAGAGCAATTTATCCAGTGCAGCAGGATTGCCAATGTGGGATTCTTAATAAGACATGGTTGCAATGATTGCTCAAATCTAATGCAGTGTGACATTGGCCCAACCAAAGCCAAAAGTGAAATTTCGTCTCGTGACCCCTGGGCCCCGAGCACGACAAATGTTCGCTCAACATACTGCCAGAATGTGTGTGCTGAAACATGCGCAGCCTGTGTATTCCAGTAAAGGCAGAACGTGATTGAAGAATAATGTTTCTGCGATCATACTCTCGTCTCCAGTTCACTTGCCATATAGAATTAGCATCCGAAGGGCTTCCTGTTCAGAGCATCCATTTATTCAACATCTGTACACTTCTTGACCGATTTAAAAGCCAAAGGCAAGCTCCTCTGCAGCACACCCAAGAAAGAATGTGGGGAAGTCACACCTTACAGTAAATTCAGTCTGCAGAAAAAAAATATAACATCAAAATACTTATCAGCACCTCAAATGCCTATATTATCTGCATTACAAACTTATCCCAAGTTATTTTCACGATGAAGTGAGGATGTGACGTAAGCACACAGTGTTGATGATGTGATGATGCTGGCAGTTGAAATACCGTTGATGTTACTACACACAGACAATACTGATGCTGATGCAAAGATGTTTTCTGTAAGCTGACTTTGCCACCGAATAGTTCTGTTGTAGTCTCCTGACAATTTCATGTTTTTCCCAACAATAGAAACTCAAACTATACGTACACCCACAAATAAGCCTTGCCTATGCATCTGGTGGTACAAAGGCTTAAAGCACAAAAGAGAAGCACAACTGACGCTGAGAATCCCGTGGGCTGCTGTGCCTGAGGCAGCTGCTGCTGCTGCTGCTGAGGGGACTGGGAGGCGCCAAAGGGGGAGGCTCCAAAACCGGGACTGCTCCCAAACGTCGGCGAGCCTCCAAACTGCGGCGGTCCTCCAAACGTCGGGCTGCCCCCAAAGGCAGGAGCACCACCAAAGGCCGCTGCATTGTCCAAAGCCACAGCAACAAATGTATTTTTAAAACCATGCCACGCTAACTTCTGCCCAAACTTTCCAAAAAAACTGCCACGCAAAAGGATGAAAGGCAATCGAGGTCGAAGGAGAAACACCTCACCGGAAAGTTGACGAAAAAAACAAAATCTAAATTTAGACAAAAGCACATCTCGTGCATCAAAAGGTAGCCCTTGTGAAATCAGGTTTGTCAAAAGGTGCCAGGTAACTGGTATTGTTCCCAAAAGTACCCTTAACAGTTGCTTCAGCAACAAAGCTTTCACAAACTTTCACACTGTGCTGTAGCCAACACAGAGCACAAGGTTGAGAAACTGGGTTTTCAGAAAGCACAGGGTTCCCCAAAGTAGCCCCCGGGGTTCCCAGAGAATCAAAATAACCTCAACACCTCCTCCCCTTAGAGAAAACACTTTTTCAGCTTAATTGTAATTTAAACATTTCTGACCTATGCAATAATGCGACATGACGAGCTAAACAATCCTAATGAGTATAGAGTTGCTAACAAAGTTTTAATGTTTGTGAATTGTTTTGCTGAATGAAAGAGTACCACGAGGCAAGGTTTGGGCATCTCAGGCAAGCATTAAAATACCTATTTTGTGAAATAAAACCTGCAGCTGTTGCATTTGAGACTCTGTTGGTGTCTATTTCCTTCGTCAATGTCCTACTCTCCCCACAATCAGTCTTATCACAATGCTACACTACTGCCCCCAAATTACCTGGCTTGGGAGGAGTCTGCTGCTGCTGAAAGGCTCCAAAACCTGTCTGAGCCACGCTGACGCCACCGCCGAGACTGAAGCTGCCGCCACCCGAGAATGCACCACCTCCTGAAGTCGCTGTGCCGCCACCAAAGGCAGAGGCGCCGAAGCTCGAAGCACCTCGGTTGCCAAAGAGGCCTGCATGGAACGACAAAAACCCTCCAATCGTCGCTCTTCTGCCAAAAGGCCTGCCAAAATAATTTTTTCAGTCTCGCTAAATACATTTGAGAGTAATTTTTATATGTTCATGAGACATGTATTAGTTTTTGCTAGTCTCTCACACCAAACACTAATTATTACAAAAGTGTTCTGCCGCTGCTTCAGACCACCGGCATTCATCGCACCCTTGCACATGGGTTGGAGGTGCTGAGATGACAATATACAACAGAACAACCCTTCCAGAAGGGGGAGATTGTTTTTCCTGGCTTAAGTAGCACTGGATTAGCCTGCTAATTTTGGTGCATGAGAGCATAAGAGCACAATATTCTGACAAAAACACAAGAAACATTTGCACCATCCAACTCCATATGATAAGCCCAAGTTAGTTCACCGGATTGTCCAGATTTTTTTCCCCTTTTCGTTATATGTGCCATCTTTCTTGCAGATTTGTGTTTAGCCTAACTAGCATGAACACGAATAATCGTGTCAAAAATGCAGTTGAATCTTCATGAAACTAAAATGCCAGAGTGAAATTATATATTCGCATAAATCATCTAGTCAAAAATCTATTAAAAAAAAATGAAAGATGTTTACGAATCACTGTACAGTGTAGACCGCATATAACGTGTGTCTCGGGAGTCGCGAAAATCCGCACTATAAGCGGTACAGCACTATAACCAAAACATCAATTTTTCAGGCCAAAATACATGCCATGAGACAACTTACCTTTGTAAAAGAATTTATTTTATGTTAGATGAAAAATAAAGCTTAGTTTGAGGAAAGTCTTTATTTCACCAGACTAGTACAGTTCTGTCTCAAGTGTGTCACACATTTTGAAAGAAATGAGCGGCTTTTGCCTGGCGCAGCCTTTTAACGGCGTCGCGGGATGCGGACGGACGTTGCGAGCGTTCAGGATTGTTAACCCTAATCACTTTTCTCCGGAGATGAAAACGCGTGAAAATTCGCATCCTTCATATGGTACGCGCCAGTAATACCTTGAACTTGAGCACACGCATGAAATGCGCCAAATAAGAAATCCGGGCGATGTTCGAGGACACAAATGCTTAGAAATCACCACTGTAGTCGAAGTAAACAAACACAACGACACGGGCGTTTCTGCCGTCTTGAGAGCGCCGCCACGACATCGCCGCACAAGTAGGTGGATCTTCCCTTCTAGTACGTGCTGGGTTATCATAGCGACACACAACGAAAATTCACAGTCAAGGATAGCGCTTTTACGCAGAACGATGAGATGCACGCCGTCTACGACGACGATCACAACCGATGCCATGTTTGCGGAATAGAAGCAGCCGGCCCGCGACCGGCATGCAACACGCGCGAACACTTCTCCTCGACCTGCGATTGGTCTGTCGTTGCGGTTGTTTGTTTCTTTGTTTCCAACGCAGCGGAGGGACGCACGCACGTGAACGACTCGTGCGTGCATCCCTCCGTCGCTATGGCAACTGAAGCCTCTCTCTTCGCTTCTCCCCGCGTTTTCGAGCAACCTCCTTGCCCCGCGAGTGCAGCATAAGTGCAGCTTGCGGCTCGCGCCGTCAGCGCCGTTATCTAGTGTCGCACAGGGAAGCGAGCTCGCTGCTCCGGTCGTCGGCGCGGTCGGCGGGCCGTGCCAAAAACCGCACTATAACCGGTATTTCCCTTCGCGCGCCTGCATTTTAAGCGGTATGTAATTACATGGAGTTCTATGGGGGGTGAACCGGTGGTTTAAAAAAACCGCGTTATACCCGGTCCTGCACTATAAGCGGTTACGTTGTAAGTGGTCTATACTGTAATGCAAAATTAGAGTGCAGCTCTTAAGGAAAAGGAGGGGAGGGTATGCCCCTCCTCTTCCTCCATACCCTCCCCTTCTGTCCTCGCCCTCCTAACCTCCTCCTCCTCTATACCCTCCCCTGCTCCTCCTCCATACCCTTTCCTCCTCCCAGTTTCCCCGCTAAATTTAGCTAAAAAATTGACGCCACGTGAAACAGCAATTTGATTCCCCGCTAAATTGAATTGCTGTTGAGGCCATGTGACGTCAATTCTCTCGCTAAATCTAGTGGAGAAACTGATTTTGTTCATAGGTGACGTGACACCAAGTCCCATGTTACATCATTTTCCCCACTAAATATAGTGGGGAAACTGAATTGGTGTTGAGGTCACGAGACGTCAATTCTCCCGCTAAACATAGTGCGGTTACAGCGACGCCGACGCAGCGAAACACGGAAACGGGCGCCTAAGAGCAGCGCTTTAAAAAAAGGAAGAATCGTAGAGAGAAGAAATAAAAACCTAGACAAGTTTTCAACGTTAATTCTTGACCCGAAGGCTTTTCTGGTGGCTACCACAAGAAGAAGATATGAAAGCGATGCGAGAACTAAAGAAAGGTGCTCCAAAAAATGGTGGCACTTGCCTGAAGCCTGTCCCGACGCTCCAAAAGAGCTCGAGCCTCCGAAGACATTTTTGTTTGACGTGTCGGAAGCTGGCTTGCTGCCCAAGCCACTCAGGAATCCGGGGCCACTAGTTGCAAATAAACCGGAGCCAGAGCCAGCTGCCTGTTGATCCTGGGGTTGCTGACCAAAGCCACTGCAAGGAGTGGGCAACATTACCATGCAGAAAACGTTACCATGCGGTTCAACATCACCTTGTGTGTTCTGTTCTCCAGTAAGAGATTACGGAGCATTTAGGACACAAACACTAGAGGAACACACCTAAAAAATTCAGCTACTAAACCGTCTAGGTAAAGTGTACCTTGTGATGTCGGACAACTTACGACACTAAATGAGGACGCCATGCAATGCTCACTGTCTAGCAACTTTGAATGGTTTCACCATTCAAAGTTGACCCGACACCAAATAACCACTAACCAGAAAACTCATACAAAGTGGCATTGAAAAAATAAGCAACTAGTTGCTTAATTACATGACATCCTAATCAATCATGACTCATCAACTAAACCTCCCATGTGCCAGAAGGAAAAATTATGAATTTGTTCGCCTGTATAACAGCTAATACCAAAAATGAATGACCGGAAGGAAGCTTGTGCCCCATAATCACATGTAAAAAAAAGCCCCCTCCTCTCCCTTCTCCCTCCACCCCCCTTCCCCCCAAAAAATAAAGAGAGATGGAAGAAGCAAGAATGAACAAGAGGAGCTGAACTCCATTTCATTTTAAATGCAAGTGTAGCAGAAGCTACAAGAACGAGCTCGGAGCTTTCAACATCCCTGCCAAGCACGCGTACTCTTGCTGCGCAAGCACCTCAGAACAAAGTGCTCGTGTTGATAGCTTTGGCTTCGCTTGCATTTAAAGTGAAACGAAGTGCACAATGTTCAAGTATGTCCAACAACAAAACGGTCATCCTTAGGCAGCAGTGCATGAGGAGAACTTACCCAGTCGTCTGCGGCTGTCCAAATGCTGGAGCTGTGGACTGCCCACAGAAGAGGCTGGAAAGAGGAGGCCTCGTTCTGCATTTTGATTGCCCTCAGAAATTCTCAGACATCAGAGCGTACCAAAAGAAATGGTATGATCTGGTGTAACTCAGATGTTAGCTTGTTCACTTTCTCCCTTCGATTACATTCTTACATAAGTATAATCTTAATAATTGTCTGGTGCCTCATCCTAACAATGAGTGTTCCTCAAGTTACCGACACATTCAGATGATTTTCGATATACACAAGGGCACAAAAGAGGCAATTCATGATAACCCAGAAAGAAAACAAAAAATTATTATTTGTAACTCAGAAAAAAAAATATCTTCATACCTAAGGCCTCAATAATGTAACCTTATTGCACAAAGGTAACAATAAACCCAAGTGGACTTGTATAAAAGCAATAAACACCAACACTGCTTACCACAACAAAACAAAGTTCTGAGTCAAAGCTGATAAGAAGAACTTGAAAAGGAATGTCCCGAAAGCCTCAGTGGCATTAAATGTTTATCGAAGAGACTTGGCTCCTTCAGAGCCCAGAAAAAGCCGTCTTGTAGTGAAATGTTGATTGCCATTTCGAGATTGGTTAGTTGGTTGTGGGTTTTATAGGGCAAAAAGATTGCCATCCTGGGAGTTTCAGGACATTCCACTTCAACGACTAACCGAAAGGCGGGCAATCAATGGGCGTGGACCTCACCTCGGTTGTCCCTGGCTGCCCCCAAGCAAGGAAGTGGACGTCTGACCCATTCCAAATGACGTCTTCTGCCCGAAGAGCGACGTTCCTGCGCTGCTTGCGGGAACAGCAGCCATCATGTTGCCGAATGGCGACGACGCACTGACGGCCGCTCCCGGAGACTGCCCAAACGAAAATGCACCTGCTTGCCCGAAAGCAGACGGCGCTGCCCCCGTCGCCATTCCAAACGGTGTCGTCGCCGTGGACGTTGCACTGCCCCCGAACAATGGCGAGGCGGCGGACGCGACCGGCTTCCAGAACGGAGTCGCAGCTGCCGAGGTGGCCGTCGTCGTCGTGGCTGTCGTCGCCGCCGTCGTCTGCCCGAACAGGGGCGGAGCGGGGGCGGCAGACGAGGGTGCCTGGCCGAACGGAGACGGAACGGAAGAAGCCGGCGTTGCTGAAGTCGTCGTCTGCCCAAACGGCGTTGCCTGCCCGAAAGCCGTTGTTGGACTGCTGACGGCCGTTGAACCAAACAGCGATGATGGCATTGTAGTCGTGGATTGCTGACCGAACGGCAAAGCAGACGGTACCGCTGGTTGAGCTTGGCTAAAGACAGGAGCGACAGTAGTCGGGCCGGCTAAGGATGTGGCTTCTTGAGGCTGCGGTACAGGAGGCGATAACGCCTGTCCAAAAGGTGTAGTTTTCGATGCAGTCGCAAACACGGAGCCTGATCCCTGACCAAACACCGATGCAGTGCTTGCAACAGCTGGGCCTGCAACGACCGGGCTCGTGACGGCGGAACTTCCGTCGGTTGTCGCAGTGATTTTTGGGGCGACGTCTGCCGTGGACGCTGCTGCTGGTGAGGTCACGGCAGACGTTTGTGGTGGTATGCTCGTGAAGACGGAGGGTGCCATCGTTGTTGTAGCAGGTGCTGTCGTGGAGCTTGTCACCTTGCCGAAGGTTTCTGTGGCAATGGGCTTGGCGGCAACCGGCTGAGTCTGGGGTGCGAGATGGTTGTGCACGAAGAAGACAAACAAATGTCTTGAAATCTGAGTCAATAAATACATTATAACAATTTAGAAATATATCAAAATTATTTGATTATTTGACAAAGAAGGGAGATGTAAACTTTTCTTGAACTTGGAAAATATCTGAGAAATTCGAATACTATCAGAAGGAACTATCTCCAATATATATGCATAAATTAGAATGGTGCTTACCTTTTCGAGCATGAAAAAGGTGCAAAGGTAAGTAGACACCAAGCAGGTTAGTGTTAAGGGGGGACATAAACCTAAATTTCAAATTATTTTGAAAAAAATACATCAAATACATCTTTTAACTTTAAGCGTTTTGGTTTAGGAACTTATTATACACCTTTACACCAAATTTTACAACCATACACCAAATAGTCACATTTATATAAAATATTTTCAACACATTGTGAGGCAGTTACAAAATAAATAAGTACAATGTTTAATGCATTTTTCTCAGTTCCACTTTTTGCTGCGAATTTCATAAAAAGGAATCTTTTATTCAGAGGTAAAAGTGTACTCATACCACCACCAAGATGTTTACCTATAAACTGAAATTTACTGGGGAATTGGGGTATCTGCTTTATTTTAAGTTGAAGTCCTTAATGAGAGAAAAAACAATGTTTTCAAAAATTGACATAGGAAAAATGTGCATCTCATATTTCGAGGTAATGACTCTTACTGCAATATTTACAATTGAGTTATAAAAGCTAGACAGCCTGAAGACCCACATCCGCCACTTTATATTCACGCAGACAAAATGGTGCTTAATAGGTTCACTTGCATTTCGCAGATTTCTTAACAAAGAATGATTCATCTTCTTATACAGGTATATAAAATTGTCTTAGAGAGCTGAAAGTTTGCGCGATACACCTACACCCCATGTGAAATCTCTCCTGCAAATTTCATTCCGATCCCACGAGTAGTCCAGAAGTCAAGTCTCCAGCCAGTGTCCCCCCTTACCTTCGCAGCAGTACGCCAGAAAGTCTCCATTAAACCTAGGAAAGTAAAGGCTCAAGAAAATGTGCACAGCTAAAAAATGAAAATCAATTTAAACGACCTCGTACGTCTGCTGACTGGAATCACCTTTGCACATCCATCACCACAATTGTTAATCCTGTTGATTTTCAAAATGCTGTATCCATACTACCAGAACTTAACTCGTGATTTGAGTGTTCTATTAACTTGTACGTAATATTCCCACCCCCTCTGTAAGGCCTTCGGGCCCTGAGGGTACCAATAAATGTAATAAATGAAATGAAGTGAAATTCTAGCTCTTTTATTACCTATATATATATATTAAAAAAAATAAAATATCACCATTTGCTATGGCACGGGATTTCAAACTGGATTGTGGTTCCTCAGAGTACCGATAAGGGTTCCTCGAGCGCCCAAATTCTCTCCACCGTCCCAACCCCCAAACACTTTTCTCCACTGCCCTTGACACTTTAATTATAGTGCATCTTAGTGGCGCCACTACGAAAAAAAGACCTTGAGCACGCATATTATAACGAAACTTCGCTTCGTTGTCGCGGGCCTTCGCACCACCTTACCGCGACAACGAAGCGAAGAGGGAAAGGGTCCTCGTTCGAGACAGATAAGCCTTCCTCGAGATGCAGAAGTTTGAGAACACTACACTACGCGTTGTAATTAAAGGAAAATGAACCGCAGCCCGTTTTCCCGCACCGACGGTGGACGGTGCAAAAGGCGATCCGACGCGTGACTAACCTCCGTGGCGTGCGTCGTTGCGACCGCGTCGGTTGCTGCGGCGCTCGAGGCATCAGCGGCCTGGCTTCCGAAGACGGGCACAGGCTGGAAGGGCGAGGTGCCGCTCTCTTGGGCGCTCGACGCTCTCGTCCCGACACTCGACGTGACGGGGGGCTTCAGGGCCGAGGGCCCCGACGGGCTCAGGTTGAGGCCCAAAGTCGCCACGGGGGTCACGGGAAGCGGCTTGTCCGTGGGAACGTCCTTTGCCTGGCACGAGACAGGAAAACACCAGGTTCAATGCGGAAAGCAAGTCGTCTGCTTCTTGCACAGGAGTTGCGGTGACGTCAGAACGACGCCAAGCTCCAATTGAAAGGATAGTGGGTAGACCTCGTGCTAGATGCCTTGAGGTCTACCCTCTATTTTTTTTTTTTTTCAATCAGCCAATAAGAGCTTGGTGTTTTGACATCATCGCGACACCTGTGCTAGAGGCAGACAAACTTGCACTCTTCATACCACCTAGTAGGCACTAGTAGGTCCGGCGTCACCTAGCTTGCGTCGCATCGCCGTTGCGTCTTGAAGCGTCTCGTAACGAGCGGGATGCCAGCACGCGGCCGTGCTGAGACGGATGTGTCTGCCGTTTAGGGCGGGTCGGGGGCCCACTAACGATGACGTCGTGCGCAGGTTTCGTCTTCTAGGTGGTATGGCCAAGATGTGCCGATAGGCCACAAACGGAAGAAAACGAAACAAAAAACCTTCCACTTGCCCCTCCTCTTTTAGTCAGTTCTTTAAGCTTAGAAAATATGTTGTGAATTAAATGCAATTAACTCAAAAGATGTCCACCCCTCCCCCCACTGAAAAGCCACATGGAGTGAATGTCAAATAGGGTGGGCTAACTTTCCCTGTTGAGCCTCGTTCCGGTTCAAATTTGAAAAGTTTGCAACTTTAGAACATTGCTGAGGTTTGAATTCGAATAATTCAAAAATTTTCAGGTCTCTAAAAGTTTAAGTTAGAAGATTTAAAATTTTGTGACAGATAGTTTGAAACATTCGGACACTTCGAATTTATTTAAAATTCTAACTTGAAAAATTTGAACATTATGAATTGTTCAAGGCAAAAGTTTGCAAAGTTTGAAAGTTTCGATTTTAAGTTCAAAGTCTTTGAATTTCACGGACGGAGATCAAATTCCGCAGTTTCAAGCCAAGTTTTCATAAATTCTTCTAAAAAAAATTGCGAAATGTGCTGCAAGTTTTACTGAAAGCGTTGCCTATTTCTCTTATGCTGTGAATATACTCCTTCCTTCTGTACTGTGGTACTGACGGTACTACCTTTATCACTCGTTATTTGTCGTAATGTCGTAACTTTTGAAACAAGCGTTGAACTGGTTCAACGGTTCATCGAAAAGCTCCGAGGCGGTCAGGTGAACATACTTCCTACTTATTTGCAAACTAATAGCAATTAGATCAGATGTCGCCTAGATGCAGTGCTGGCATAAGACAACGAAATATACAGGACAACGTATGCACAAAAACGCATCTAGGCTTCGCAAATTCTTTTAGCTGCTCTGGGCGTTTATTTTCGTTGAGATGACACGTAAAATGGGGAGGACACGACGGGTTGTTATCGGGCTAATCATATTGAAGCTGCCTGGAACTTCTTCCATGAATGGAGATATTGGCCGCTCTAAAATGCAGCTGGTTACTAATGATAATGATCCAAGCGCCGATTCACCATTCACCGTAGCACACTGGCGTCGCGCTCTGCATGCGCCTTTCTTTGACTTGAGGAAATCGGGGGACTTGCATTCAAAAACAATTAATGATATGAAGGACACCCCCAGTGAAGCGCCTCAGTGGAATTTCAAGCCTAAAGATCAGTGATCTGTTGGTCCAAAGGTTATCTCGGGGAGTTGTACGCGGGAGGGGCTATGTGCGGAAGTCGAAAGAAAAAGGTGTGAAGTTGAGGCCACACCAAAGTGATCATCGAGCGCTTTACAAGCGAGTCGCTTGTGGCACGATCAGCTAAGTAAGACTCTGGTGCAATTTCAACTCCATTTCACACAATAAGATCTTGTGTTACTTATTTTTGTTGCCATGAACTACTTGAACCCATGGGGGTGAACCTGGTTCGAACTTTGTCGAACGTTTGTTCCGAAGTTCGAAGTTCCTCGAAATTTTGAACAGAGGTTCAAAAGTTTGAAAAACGTTGAAAATCTTAGCACGATAAGTTCGAAAATTTATAATTTCATAGTGCGAAAAATTGAAAGTTTGAAAACAATAGAATGTTTCTGCGGCAAAAATTTGGAGGTTCGAAAATCATAGAATTTTTTATGCAATAGGTTCAACGTTTCAAAAGTTTGCTAATCTTTTGAACTCTTTGGTTCGATCCTCGAACCTCAGGTTTGCAAAAAGCTTGTGGCACCCCTAATACAAACACTCATGTTAAGGTGGATATATTGATTTAGTACCTCAATTAGATATATACCGTATTTACACAATTGCAGGTTGACCCATTTTAAAATTTTTTTTAAAATCTGAACTGGAGGGGGGGGGGGGGGGGGGGGGGAGGTCGACTAACAACCGGAATCAAAAGCATAACCACCGCCGACGAAGACGAAAAAACCATGACATCAAGAACACCTCTGTTTGATACGAGTTCAGCCGGCTGTACCTGTAGCATATTGCCATTCTGTGTGCTCGTTTTACAAGTGCCTTTCTTTTTTTATCAGCACAAACGAGTATTACAATTCGCAAATCAGCCTGAATGAATGGTGCTGAACGCAGCAGTGCCGGTGCACCTGAGGCTTGGGGGCGGCGGCACTTGATGTAATAGCCACGGCGGAACAGTTTCGCTCCCCGCGCTTGTTTTCTTATGATCCATGGTCGCAAGCTGTTTGATATAGTGTTAAAAATCATGTGACCATGCTGGAGTGCCAACTGCCTCTCTGCACTGACATACATAGTCCAGGCAGTCTAGGTTATTGGTACTCATTAACGGCCATTCTTCGTCCGAAAGTAACCAACAAATGTGCCGCTGGACTCAAGTTCAACGTGTCTGAGAAAGTGGTGTGCCAGAGGCGTCTGCAACGAAACAGGATCTTTTAATTCTGATGGCAAATGAAGAGGCCTCTGTGGGTCAAAATTTGGATACGTCAGGATGCTTTCCAGAGTTAGAGGTCGAGCTTGCAACGGACGTCGCAGTAGCGAGTGATTAATCCCTACCCACGACGTGTGAAGTGATCACCGAGCGAATGCGGAAGTTGTGGTTGTTTGCGAAGTGCGAGATTTCATTGGGCAATGCCAACGACGTGCTTTGGGAATGCAGCAGTGATGACAAAGGTAACAACAGCACCAGCACGGACGAGACAGCGAGAACAACAAGGAGGAGTGTCAGTCGTCTCGCATCTAGCGCGTGTTTCCTAACTTAGATAACGCTTGGGCATCCCGTGCGCCTGGCATGTGCATCTACGACTGAAGCACGCCGGAAGGCGTCGAGTGCATGCTGGAGGCCAGGCGTAAGAATGAGGTGCCCTGCTGTTCTCCCATGTTTGCCGTACAATGCACCCTCTTAAAGTATAATCTTTGTCTTATTTTACTGGCATGCGATGTCAGCAAAACAAGTTCAACTTACAATCGTGTAAATACGATACCATCACCTTGAAATGTTGACAAAAGATTATTTCGGCTCAGAAAAATTAATAAGCGAGACAAGGCGATAAATACAAAACATGGGGTGCACAACTGAAACCAAATATTAGGCTAACCTTCTTCCAACCTTAATGCAATTAATTTTTTTTTTGTTGCTTTTTTAGAAAACAAACAATTCAGGTAAAATTAAGGTACTTTAAAGTAAATTTGGGGCCTCATGTGAACAACTAACCAAGAGCACTTGGCATGCCCCAACAAAGGGCCAAGGAATATTTCCAACCACCCGGGGAACTTTCGACACGCGAGCAAATTCAAGTTACGTGACACATTCTCCGCACGAAGCCTTCGTCAAACAAAGGGTGCTTCGACCTGGACTTGTCGCTCGAAGATTCGTAGGCCGGCGTTTTGCATCGAAGCAACCAAGGGTGCTAATCGGCGAGGCGATTCACTAAACCGCGTACAAGGTAACAGACGAGGACCACCGAAGAAGCAAACCTTGGATGCGACGACGGCGGTGGGTGCGCTCTCCCTCTGCGCCGAGAGGGCGGCCGTGAAGCTGAAGGAGGCCGCCGCCGATGTTGTCGTCCCCGGCGTCGACGCCGACACGTTGCCAAAAAGAGACTTGCTGGCTCCCGTTCCTTGACCCTTGAGATGAATGAGAAAAAAAAAGCAAGGAGAAAACCGATTACCGACTTTTTTCTCCCGTGGTCGCCAACGGAGCTATAATGGCAGGGCACGTCTTTCGAATGCCAGGCCTCCAGCCTGTGCTGCACGACCGACCCTTTTCGAAATGATGCATATGTTATGCGCAGCTGTCATTATTTTGTCGTGCACCGTGAGCACGCACTGAACACGAGCACTCCGTCAGCATTCAGAGTGTACCTGGATCGAAACGGCATTCTACACGAGTGCCGCGCCAATGCTCGGCGCAAACTCCGAACCAATTGCGAGCTCCACGATGGACGCTATGAGGCCAATTAATGGCGGCTGCGGATAATTTATGCATCATTTCCCAATTTCAGAAAGGCTCTGTTTCTGCCGTGCCTTGGCTGCACGTGCGCGCCCGAAGTGCACGAGACGCCGAAGCTTCGTCGAAGGTAGGAAGTTTGCGCTGAAGGCGGGACAACCGAAGCTCCTCCCTGCCATTCTCCCCAATCGGTGATTGTGGCCTTGCTGCACCCAACAACAAAAATGCGCTTTGCTGGTAGCATCACTCACAAAGTTGAGCTTGAAGGAAGACGATCCAACCGACGTGGAGACTGGGAAACCCGTTGCACCAGACGTGGTGGTCGCGAAGGAGAAGACCGAGGACACTGGGGCAGGTGCCGGAGCAGTGGCCGAACCGGCAACTGCAGAATGCAAAAACAAATGCAGACATTCTCATTGTCTCTGCATCTTTTACACCGGCGAGGTGCGGAAAAAGGATCGTCGAGGCAGCCGTGTCACGGCCGGCGTCGACCTTTTCTAGGAGTCGTGGTGCCCAAAGCGAGTCTTCGGCGGGTCTGATCATTGCGTCCCCAAAAGCAGTTTCTCGATTTCGACCCGACGACATTGTGAAAGTGTCGTGACGTTCCTTGCCGTGATCCTGGCAGTGGCACGATGGCGGAGGCGAATGCGGCGGACGCCTATCGTGCTGCGAGTCACTCCGTGACCAGATGGTCGACAGAGACCAAAGCAGACCGAAGTCGGGACGCCGCGCCGATGCCGACTCTTGAGTCGGCTTTCCCTTTTGTCCGGTGTTTCTATAACTGACTGCCGGGATTGCGACATCCGACAGCGTGACAAGCCAGCTACTGTGACACAACTTGCTCCTAACTTTCCTCTCAACTTTCCCACAGAGCAGGCAATGGTACGAATGTCAGCCCAAATTGTTGTGCGGTTGACAAAAAAGCCCTACATACGCGACTGAAGTTAGGCGCGCCTGTTGAGAAAGCTTGCACACTATGAAGTCGGTGTCTAGAAGGACAATGGATTTGGGGAGAGCACCCTGGGTACGAACCGAGTGAAGAGTTTGGGCTGTCCGAGTCCTTCTCGTTGCTCCCGACAGAGTCCTCTTCCTCATCCGGGTGACCCGGAGGCGGCGTGCTGGGAGGCGTGATTTCTTCGTACTTCGCTTCACCGACGCCTGCATAGCGGGCAGGGACGGCGAGATGCAGTTTAACGGGTTCTCGCGTTTTTACTTTGACGTTTGTTCTCGGCAGTTGGTAAGTAAGATTGAGGTTTCAATGGCGCAGCAGCAACGGCAGTTGGTCTTAGAAGGTTGCCTCAAAATACTTCGAGCCGCTTTGAAATTGCTCGCTGCTCTGTTCGCTACATAAACGTCTCTCAAACCATTCCGTAATGCTGCTCTCTCTTTAAAAGCCGAGCTACAGTACCCTCTCCCGCAGGTGGAAAACCCTTTCCCACTGCCATTCTCTTCATTCCCTGCTGCGCTCTTTCCTGCTCCTCTTGCGAAAGGACCGAGCTTCCGAGATATTTTCCACAAAAAGGAGGGGGGTCTCGCTCTTACTCCAATAAATAAGAGGATTTGAGGGGCGGTTTCCTCCCTTCTTGCCGCTCTATGCACTCTAAAGGGCTTACCTCCGACCAACGCCTTTTGGATAACGAGGCATCAGTGCTGGAGTTCCTACGTCACCTACAAGAGGTCAGCACAAGGCACGAACTGGATATCAGCATTGCCTCAGCGTTCGGCCGGGACTTGAGCACAGTCGGTGGGACAAAAGTCACGGCCAACCACTGACACAGCACGTGAGTCCAATCTGTGCCCCGCACTGAACTCTGGGAGGCGACATAAAAAACTAAGCAGTACGGCCTTGTTATCTAGGAGGTTAATTTTCTTCTGACATAGTATTTATGTGTGCCGAGATGTTTACAGGAACATAACCCTCGTAAACCCAAGGAGCAGAAGTAGGTGGTGTGAGAAAGTGCGAGGAGCGGAGAGATGAAAAGGACAAGAGAGGAGCAGAAACAAGTGGTATAGGTGGTGATATAGTGGAAAGGGCAGGAAAGCACACTTTCCCTCTCTCGGTGACCCAAAAAATTGAGCACAAAGGCTTTGTATTCGGGTGGTGCTCAAGGGAAGCGCGTGCAGACATACAGAGAGACACTAGTGTGACGTAAACTGTTTCCACACAAAACATTGCCTTAGGCGTCATCTGAACTAAGAGCACCGGCCACCCCAGTCACTGAAAGACTAAGGGTCATCCTGCCCTAGGCCATATCCGAACTAAGAGCACTGGTGTCCAATCAGTGAAGAGATGAGCACTGCGTCAGCGTTCGGCTGGCAGTCGACCCGTCGACTTCCGTTGCTGGCACCTAACCGGATATGGTTACGGTAGGTGCCAACCATGTAACACATTCTGCATTAAAAAAGCTCAGTCTGTTTTATTCCACATGAAAAACAGCTCATCGAGACCATTTGGCTCTCAAAAAGCAATTTTCGAGCTTTCTCGCCAGAACTAATAAGTTCCAATATTCCCCACTTTCTCTCGCTATTACTAACTGGAATTCCCTTCCTGAATCCATAGTATGTGAATCTAACCCTAAGACATCCCGTGAACTATGCAAGGCGGGAGGCACTCACTTGATCGAATGACGTTTTAGAGAACACCCACGTTTCATCGAACGACACTTTAGCGAATAGTCGGACGCCGCGAAGCGGCGTTTTCGGGTGGGCCAAGTGAGCTCATATTTTTGTAATGAGTTGCCGCAGACTGTCGCCGCGAAGCGGCGTAAAGCGCAGCGCGACTGATGGGTTAACGCGCGCCCCCGTTATTCGCTAAAACGACCATTCGCTCAAATGTCGCCGTTCGCTAAAATGTCATTCGCTCTTGTGATATGGACCCATGCAAGGCATACCTAAAAAACGTTGATCCTTAACATGTTTATCTGTTAATTACTTTTTCTAAATGTTATGTTCTGATATCTGTCTTACCAGTTCCTATTTTTTTTTTTTTTTTGCGTTTTCCTATTATTTAATTTGTCGTCACTCTTTTGCCATCTGTATATGTCATTTGATCCCCCCTCATGTAATGCATTTCATCTGAAATGCCTTTGAGGTACAATAAACTGGACTGAACTGAAAGTTCTCTATGTAAAAAGCTAAGCTCTGAGCAGACAGTCTCTTACACAAAAGTTGGCCATCACTCTAAGGATCTTTCAGTTTCCACCTGTACCAACCTTGATTTGAGCAAACGTTCTAATGGCATATTGTCACATAACTACTATTACTATTGCGTGATGGACACCAAGTTGACAAGTTGGCAGTTGAGCCCCCCCACTGCAAATAACTTTCCTACAGTGGCTATTCCTTCCTGACACGACTCCCATTTCAATTCATTTTTCTTTTCTATGCCCTTTTCACAGCGAAGCTGTTTATGGCACAAGTTCCGTGGATTAGTTCCGTGGATTTTTCGTGTGCATGACCAAAAACTCTACGCTCGCACCTCACCCACATGCGCACGTGCCGACGTCTGCAGAAATAACTGTTTTAAAGCAAAAGCCTAAAACAAATGGCCCCTTGCATGCGTGTTTATCAACGCTTTATTTTGGTTATTTACTTTGAGTCTCTTATACGGTGAAGGTGTGCGCGTGCGGCGCATGGGACACCATTCCCTGCATTCTCCTTTAAGCTTGGGTTGCCGTTCTCCATTTTCTATTTCGCTTCTCGTCTCTCGTCTGGACTCCCAAAGAGCAACGCGCCCACAACGAGAATGTCAGCGGCGGCGGCGGGCGGCACGTGTGTGTGCGTACCTTTGGTGACGATGATCATCGTTCAAGACAATAAATGTGTTTGTGCCTTTATTCAAAATTCTGTGTCACGTCTGTGTCATGTGCTGAACAGCTTCACTGGTCATGCACCTTCACAGAGTGAAATGGTTCCCAATTTTTTTTTCCTTACTGAATTTTGGAAGTAACAACTTTACGAGTAACATTTTGCAAGGATTTTGGTGTCGGCTTTTGTGGTTGTCCGTCGCTGCTGCAGAAATGAGTAACCACTTCTCTCCTCTCATGGCGCGAGGAGAAAGAAGTCGGGTGTTCACATTGCCCGCGCCATGCAGAAAGGGAAGAGAATAGAGCCCCAACCACCCACCGATAACGGCGGGGCGACGAGGAAGCGACAGCAGAGCGTCTTCCCCTCTCGTCCGCCAAAAATGACTTCAAAACAGGCGTTTTGAACATTACTTGCATTATATAAAATCCCACTTTGATAGTATCCAGTTGCTACATGTAATGTTGGAGGGCCTTTGAAAGACAGTGACTATTTTTACGTCCACATTCAAAATAATTTTAAGAATTACTCTGACGTCCGTGACGGTACTTCCTAAAGACGTCTAAATAATTTTTTAGATATTTTGACGGAGGATGTTGAAATAGCCGCTGCCTTTTACAAGTTCCATTGCGTTCGGTTTCACTATAACATCTTTACTTTTCAAGTCCAACTTGGAAACTTTACAATATGTTCTGCCGAAACTCGCCGCACTCCACTTGCCTTATTCGCCAAGCTTCGCCCCGTTTATCTGCCATGTGCCTCCCTCTCCGCTCATCGCTGAATGTCGAAATTACCCCCTTCCTTCACCGCTCAACGGTACTGGGAAAACCTGCACCATTGCGTGCGTCATCGCTGCTGCAGACTCTTACTAATGTCGCCACTGTGCTAAGGCCGTACTCCGTCCCAGGAGCACGCGCGGAGTAAACGACAGGCTTCCACGGCTCACGACTTGCGTCACGCCCACATTGACCACCAACGAGAGGCTGCCCATCCCTCGCATAGACGGCAACATGAAGATCATGAGGTGCGCGAATGTGCCATAGCTATCACTTCTGCTTCTTCGTGCACTATGAGTGAAAAAGGCACAATTCTTTTCCTAACTGGGTCACCTACTCATTATAATGTAACGGGGCCCCCTAAACAATTTTCTCTAAGGCCTCTGTCTCTCTGTACTATTATGCAGTTGGACATCGATAGGATCCGCAAAATGCATTTTCTGTATCGAACATTTCTTTCATTCTCGGCCAACGTCTCTGGAAACAATATATTTTGATACGGCAAATAACTATGATCACATTTTCAGTTGAAATTGGATAACATGACTGCGGAAGAAACTTGTTTTGTGATTGGAACAAATTTCTCACCTAGCATTTGTTCATATCTTAGTACCTTATGGATAATATAATTTTGGATAATACCTTTTCCTTTGGGATCATATAATTTTTGGAAAACGTTTTATTCGGGTGCCTAGCAAATTATTATTTTGAACTTCCCTGATTTTTCCAGGTTTTCCCCAACAATTTCAGGTGAAATTCCCTGACCATTGTAGAGGCGGTTAAATATGTAAGACCATTACAACACAAGGCATTGAGCATTGAGCACCGTGAGGATTGTTTTGCACAAGCTTAGTCCAACTTGCAAATTCCGAAATATTCGGGTTCGTCCAGACTGGATTAAATTAGCACTTTCTTGCCACTGACATCGTCAGTGAAGAGGCCACTTCCGGAAACATGATGAAAACACAATGCTCGACCACACACGTCAATAACCGAACGGCAGCATGGCCGCCAGATGCACACTTTCGGATACTTTCGGCTTAAGGCTTGGATTGGATTGGGTTCTGCAACTTTCCTACTTGTTACCAAATCTAGTAGCTCTAACTGGATCTAGACGAGTGTCGCGCCCTCAAGCCAATCCACTTCAATCCAAGGCTTGGACTGGATTTGTCAGCTCTCTCCTTTGCAGCGGGTAGCACACTCTACATAGGGTAAGCAGAGCCCCCGCACTGCTCTAAGCAGAACTTGCTGCATATTTTTCTGGCCCCAAGTCCTCAAGCCTTTGCTCAGGGCACTCTACGGTGTTTGTGGCTCATTTTCCCTGACTGGGCTCGCTTTTTGACAATATCCCCGACAATTCCCCGATTTTTCCCGGTAATTAAAATTTTCCTGACAATTCCCGGTTTTCCCAGTTTTCCCGGTCGCTAGACACCCTCTTTATTTTTGGTTTTCGGGAAGATCATATTAAATGGGTTCCACTGTACTAACACCTATTTGTGCTAAAATAATTTAACTTGACTTCGACTTTGCCAAGACATAAGCTCACCACTGCCCTTCAACACCTCCTCCATCTGCTTTCTGGCAGCAGACGATGCAGACGACGCAGACGCTGCTGCTGGCAATGGCGCGAAGCCGGGAGCCGTGGTTGAGGGCTTGACAACCACAAATCCGGGTTTGGCCGTCGATGGCTCGCCAATCTTGAAGGTCGTTGGCACCGTGACACCCGCAGTGGGCTTCACGAAGCCGAAGGAGGCCGGGGGGGCCACCGTGCTCGACACCGGGGCACTTGACGGCATCCCAAACGAGTACACCGGAATGGAGGTCAGAGGGGACGAGGAGGCAGTAGTTGCAGACAAACTGGAAACAACGCCCGGGAGCTGGAACTTGAACTCCGGTTGAGACACTGGGAGGTGAAAGAGAGGGGTCTGATGCAAGACAAAGTCAAAGTAGTGACGACATTATATTGCATGACATTGCAGTGTCACCATGTCACATGAAACTGCAACTTCCCCGCTAAATTCAGAGGGAAGCATTTTGCACGTATAAATTTAGTATAGAATTTGTGACGTCACATGAAGTCGTAACCTTCGCCTCTTTGGTAAACTTTGAGTAATGGTGGAAAAACCAATTTTCGCTCAAGAGTCTTGACTGAGATAAAAGCGTCATCTCAAGAAACTGATTTGTCGAACGAAACGAGCTCTCGAGAGCACGCAACAAGTAAATGAAGCAAACTGCCCGACATACTAGTTGGAAGAAACGCAGCAGTTCCGGCTTCCTTGCTGGTGATGGTGGTCTCAGTGCGCGTGGCCAGGGGCTTTGTCACCACATTGGTGACGGCCGCGGCGGAGATCTCAGGGGGTGCCGCGGTGGTGGACAAGGGAGTCAGCGTGACGCCAGGCGGAAGCTGCGGGGGTGCACCGGTGTCGGGCCTCGGCTGCAGCGACACCTCAATCACCCGGCTGGCGGGCTGCGGCGAGAGCAATGCGATGCATGAATGTATGAAGTGCAGACAGTGGATCTTGCACAATAAAATCGAGCCAGAAAAATCGGTCCCTGCACATGTATCCTCCCCTCCCACCTCCTCCCTCCCCCTCCTCCTTTCCCTCCCTCCTCCTCCTCCTCCTCCTTTTGCAGCGAACAGGCAACGCCCTTTGTTTTCGGCTTGCTGTCTGCACTCTATGCAGAGTGCAAGTTTGCCTGCTTTTTGCACAGGGGTTGCGATGATGTCAGAATGCTGAGCTCGTATCGGCTGATCGAAAAAATAGTGCGTACCCACTATTTTTTAAAATAGTGGCTACCCACTTCCCTCTCAATCAAAGCCAATTAGAGCTCGGCGTAGTTCTGACGTCACCGCAAATCCTGCACAAGAAGCAGATGACTTGCTCTCTGCATATTATTGACACCTCAGTGATCATTACCTCTTCGAGTGGTGCCGCCGCACGAGTACGGCTGAACATGTATGGCGAGCTGCCCGGAGCATGCCACACAGACAGCTCCGGACAGCTTGGACAGCTTGCGGGCACAATATGTGCTCCCATTAGATTGTTTAAAAAAGAAAACTTGCGCAACGACTGGTTCTTTGTACTATCTCTTTGGAAAACAACCCGATCACTGGATTTTCAAACTTTTCGATGCCAGGCAACCCCCCTATCTGCCCAAGCCAGGGAAACCCTTGTGGTCTTGGTATTGACGCAATAAAACAATGTAGGAGCCCGCAGACCGTGCAAACAATAATGCGGGTATTGGGGGGGGGGAGGGGGGGGGGGGGAATGTTTAGCACGTAGGGCTCCGCTAAAGCAGGGATACTGAACCCAAACTTTGAGCTTACAAGACAAGGCTGGACTGACAAGCGAGGCACTGCAAAACCCAAAAACATCACTCATACAGCAATATCTGGAACGGATCATCATATTTTTGGAAAAGAAGTGCAAGATGGAACACGGCCAACGAGGCAGATGAGACAACTCACGTCACGATTCTCATTCCCTCTCCTTCTCGCTTTGTCCCATCTAGCAGGTGAGCCGAGGAGGACAGAAGCGAGGCCGCTTACCCTTATTCTTAACTGTTCCAGGAGGATCGTGACATCATAGCCTTTCCTTGATCTCGCCCTTCGTTTCCAAAAGTACGACCATCCGCTTGAGATATCGATGTACGAGTGATGTTTTGGAGTTGTAGCGTCCCATTCAACACTTCTGCAACCTTATTTTGCGAAATCCAAATTTCGGTCCAGTAACTGGAAGAACCGTTTATTTAGAAGCGGGGACGGCCGAGGAAATTTGTGAGCTTGGGGAACCCACATCCTTGTTCTTAGAAAAGCGGTTTGCGAACCGATGCAGTAAAGCCCCGTTTATATGTGTAACACGTTTTCTTTTTTCAGTTGTTACGTCCACAGCTGTCGGCCCCATTTGGACTCTTGTGAACTGCTAACTCTAGTATTTGCTGCATTCAGTGATGGAGGCGGCATTTGATACTTTGGAGCAGGTTCTGTGGCAGGCAAAATATTGGATTGGAGCAGCCACTGACACTTTTGGGAGCAGGTGCCAACATCTGTTAGCGCATCACTTGAAACTAATAAAAGCTACTGCATTGCTAGACGAGTTGATCTCTGATAATGACTGAGGGTTCTTCTTTTGATACTGGAGCATATTACCTCTTACCTTTCGTGATAGGAACAAAAAGGGCACAAAAGGAACACAGCTTTCTTTTTAGAAATAAGGCTCTGGTCAGAGCAGGTTCCATTTACAAGGGGTATTGAAAAAATGGCGGAAAAATGTATCGTAGCACAACACGGAGCATTGACGCTGCTCTCACTGCTCCCTACCCGCGTACTAGCGTCAGCACATCGGCATCGGAGGCGGCGCTCTGCCAGCTCTGCGCGCTCCGCCCTCAGTGACCCGTTTTTTCCCTTTTCCCAGTTTGCTGTTCGCCTCAATGGAGAAGAGGGAGGGAACGCAAGGGTCTCCATGAGCCTCTGTGTAGGCTTGCATGCTTTCGGCACGGCGGCCTTCGTAATAGGCGTGGTCAGTCGCCGATACTTTTCAAATAACCTGGTTAAGTATGTGTGGATTTCGGTCGGGACCACGCTGAACTTCGATAAAAGCGACAGTTCGAAAAAGCAATTTTGTTATAACGAGGGATTACTATGTACCCTTTAGGTGAGGACACTGGCGCGAGGAGCGATGAGACGAGATTGACTAGATAAAGTCCTCTCACGAGGACATGCGTGCGCCCAACAGCCTGCAGCGAACTAGTGTCCCTCGCTGGTGAAACGACGCAACCGCGAAAAAATATCAATAAAATATTTTGTTGCTATGGCATCAAACGAGCACAAGCTCCTTGCTCAAGGATGTGCTACGGCTGCACGAAAATGCCACGGCAGGGTTGTTTTTTTTTTTGTTTATGTTTTTTCGCAGTTGAGTCGTTTTGCCAGAGAGAGACGCTAGTTCGCCTTGAGCTGCTGGGCGCACGCATGCGCTCATGAGAGGGCTCTATCTGGTTGCTCTGCGCCGGGCAGTCATCACGTAAAGAGTACACCTTACACCATGACCTATACGCGGTAATATACGGTATATGGTTAGTAGAGATACTGTGAAATACACCCCATCTGTACCATTTCCCTTTCCTTTTACTTCTCTAAAAAGTTCAAACAATATTTAAATATTTTTTTTTTTTTTTAGCTGAAGCCTACTTGGCAGAGGTGTGGTCAATTCTTAGCAAAAATGGCCTTTTGATGCAAGATGTTCCAAACTTTCACTCATGGTGCAATTTGCCTCAAATGGCACAACTTTTCCATCAATGTCCATTGCAATTTTTGGGCCTTCCCCACTGTTACCTTCAAAACACGACAACTTTATTTAACAAAATAAAATTTTCAACAATCACCGAGCCTACCTTGTCCACAATAACATTGGTTTCACAATCTCCTTAAGTTCTATGGTCCCGGACTTTCATGATGCTCTTCAGTTTCAGTCCCCCCCCCCTCCCTGTTTGATGATGCCCTTCAGTGTCTCCTCGAGTTTCATAGTCACCTTCAGTCCTTTCACAAAAGATATACGCCACAGTGTTGGGCACGGTACTCCGGAAACATGCAACAGCTCTAGCGTGTGCCATTCAAACTAGTCTGGCCTCACCATCTTCGCTTGATCCGAAGTCGCCGTCCGCGCCGGCGGCACGCCGGAGCCAATGCCACCCATGACCAGCTCGGGTTGGGACAGGGGTGTGGAGGTGAGGAACCCTGGGCCAAAGCCCTCCTGGGGTTTTGGGGTTGCCACCGCCGTCACAAAGCCCTTTGCATCTGGGATGGGAGCAGGTTTCACCGCAAGCGTCGAAGTTGCGGCTGGTGCTTGGGCTGGCATCAACGTTGGCAGGCCTGTCTCCTGCACAGTGAGCAAGTCACGAGGAATGGTTTGTATGCACACAAACTACCAAAGCTTGTATAGACTCAAACAAAAGTTTATTGGACGTAACACCCCTAAATATAAAATGTGGGGTGCAAAAACCTTTTTAGACGGTTGCTTTGAGGTTCGCGCGGGGCTGCCGTAAATTTCATATTTCTCCAGCTTCATTTTTACGGCTATAGTTATTATACAAACTACTCGGCCGCATTCGCAGCAGCATGATTGTGCTAGGCAGAAAACTCTGCGACGCCGTCGTATAACGTGACCACATCCAACCAGAGTAGTTCGCCCCTCAACCAAGAGATGGCAGAAGCACCTATGCGCCCAGCGATGCCACAGTGTTGGCGCCTGCCCCGAGCCGGAGCTAAACATTCTGCTTACATCACCTTGTTTAATTTTGGGTAACGGTGCCTTATTAATGTGAAAGCCTTAACTGTCCCACGGAGCAAGCCGACGTCATCAGCTTTGAAGCTGCGCCAAACGGCACCATAAATCCTTTCTCCAAGTGAAGCCAGCTCCTAGCTATGAAACCACACAAAAAGCCTAGCCAAACGGCACCTAGCTTCCCCGATCCCAAAGGCGCAGAGTAAAGCTGATGGATTTCGGCTTCGATCCCATTGGCTGGCGCACGCAGCCGAAGCTCCCATTGGCCGCTGCGCATCAGTTTTAACGACCGCCACCCCATGGCGCTGCGTGTCCGCGAGGTAGCGGCTCCACCGCCCCACGCCCAAAATCAGTGCGCGCGCGCTCGACCGTCGATGAAAGAAGGGGGCGGAAGAGCGGCGTGCATGCTTTCACATTCACAACTCGTAAGAAGTGCTTAGGTGTACCTTGAGCCTTTTTTAATTTCAGGCAAGAACGTTGACCCATGTGAGCAGTGTGTTCCTTTTCTTATATACTTCAGTGACCACAAAGCTGTGTTGTGTGTGATCAAGTAGACAAAGAGTCGATACAGATAAAAGTGTATGTTACTATGTGCAATAACAAACATCGCCGTCACTTCTTCGCACTGTAACAAAAAACTGTGATTTTTCTACCTTTTTTTAAAACAAGACTAAGAAACATTTAATTTAAAAGTTCTTTTTCCTTCTGCTATTTGCTTTTTGTTTTTCGGACGAAACACTTGCCCGTGACCCCGTTTCACATGATTTTTGCTAAAACTGGTATAGACGCTTCTGTGGTATTTCACGATAATCCCTACGGCACACCACCAAATTAAGTTTGGAGCCGAGCCCCAAACATTCATATTTGTTTGTCGAGGCACTTCGGCCAGAACTTTTTGGCTAAGCAAGTGCAGACCTGTTGGGGGGCCCTTGCTGGTGCCTCTCTTTCCTGTTCCTTGGCCACGGACCTGTTCAAAACCACGGCAAGCCTGGACATCAGCCGGGATTCTGACAGCTTGTCTGAAAACATGGGCAAGAGGTCAATTTGATGTCCGCCATGCGTGGGCTTCGGGACATTTTGAGGGCACATTTCTCACTTGGGAGCGATATTGTCGCACATAGAAAAGGATCGACAAACGTAAAACTGAAAATAAAGGTTTAATGGGCAAACTTGTGCCAGAAACAAAAGAAAAAATTAGCGTCGAGAAAGCAGAAGCGAGCGTCAAGGTGTCGGCAGGACAGCTGGCTAACCAGAGAGTGAGTCGGCAAGGCCATGCTGGGCTCCTTATCTATCATGCTCGGTATTTTATCTCGAACATTTGGTCTAGAATGTTCAAAAATCGAACATTTGGGGTAAAAGTGAACACAAATCTTCTAGAAGTATGAAATAGCGTTCCCTCTTGGTGATGCACGTGGCAATACACTAGATATTTATTCCCACTATACCGAGTGACATATTGCAGTGATAAACTTTTAGCAACGCTTCTTAAAGCACAAAATTCGTGAAAATGAGGTCCTTGCAAACATTACTTTGCTTACAGTCCATGATAAGTTGTTTCTAAAGGTTTTACCTTTCAAGAAACTGCTAGGTTCGGGGCCCACATCTCATTTTCGCAACTTATCTAGTTATGGTTAGGGTTCTGTGTTTTCCGAGTTTATTTTTCTTGAAACATGGGGCAGTTTTTTGCAGGGTTTATTTTCTCAAACAGGTTTTGTGTTCTTCAGTGCCAACTTCCAGTGCCCGACTAAACATCAACAATTATTGAGCTTATCTCGAAGAAAACAGGGCACAGACCTACGAATTCCCCCACCTCCAGGAAATGCGTGCACGTCCCAAATATTTCCAGAACGTGCCGACGCCAACAAGAAAAGGAAGTGAGACAAAGATGTGGTTCCCAAAATAAAATGCAACCCCGTGGACAGTTCCCCGCTGGCTATGTTCTAGATGAATGAAACTAAGGTGTTGGATTGAGATACCTTCCCCCGAAACTTAGGTTTCTCTTTCTTGTTCAAAGAAAGCTCTTTGTTTGGGTTTTTCTGTTGTCCCCAATTCTGAGAAAATCGGCTCAGCAGTTACTTTTCAGGGTTTGCCGGTTTTCACCGCAGACGTGCAACTCTAATATGGACCGTTCCGGAAATATGCAGCACCTGCCATAGCCTTTTCGACGTACTATGGCAATACGACGTAAGACGCACGAAGGAGCACCGTTTAAATAGAAGGAGTGGTTCGTGTTTGTTTACAATTTTGCGATTTAAGAATCCAAAGAAAGTAGGATGATAACAAAACGGGGCACATGTTGGCTTTGTGATGCATTTCTTCAGATTTCTTTCGGGACTGAGCCTGCAGTGGTGAGAGAGAAAGAACTGAGCCACTTCCACGGCGTGCAAAGCATAGCAGCCGGCCCGAGGGTATGTCAGAATGGCCTCACAACTCCCCACGCTGCATGGTGCAACATTGAATAAACGAGATGCCTTGAGAAATTTTCCGGAAAGGTCTTATTACGCTCGATTTTGGGTATGGATAGTTGCAGAAACTCAAAGGCACCTTCGTCATTCGTTCGCCACAGGCCTCCGAAGGGTGGTGACGAAAATGACGGAGACGTTGAGAGGAGGACCTAACCTATGGTGCGGGCCCGAACAGGCACGGGACTGCGCTGACTCAGGAACTCGGCCAGGCGGCTCTGCTTCTCCGGAGACAGCATCGTCTTGGGCGACTTAGACGGCACGCGCTCGGCATCCGAGGAAACGACTGACAGGTTGGCCGACAGGAGCGTGTCTGCCAGGGCGGACACCTCGTCTTCCCTGGAAAGCGCGGAGGCAACCCAACCCCAAGCCATTACGAACCAAGGTGCGCGGCGGGCGAGTCGGTGCTTGATCGGAATTGATAAAACGGTGCAAAAAAGGACGCAAAGGCAAATAAGAAACGCAAACGAGAACGCAGGATTATGGTTTGATAGAATAGAATGAACGAATGGCTAGACGGAGGAATGCCAATAGTTGGTGCTGCATTTGTGCGCCCCTTCTATTCGTCCCCGTGTCCTTTTTTGCGCCGCTTTATTTATCCCGTTACAAACCAACACTGGCACTGCCACATACACTTCGCAAGCGGTACAAAGTGGAACCCGATGTGTCAAACAAACTTGGGATACAATGTGTCGATCGGTGAGCTCGTACAGCTCGTGGAGTCCACCGAAATGGAAGGCTATCTTCTGTTTTGTCAATAGTGTGAGCGAAGCCAAAGCTATGCAGAGCAAATGTTCGTCTGCTTCTTTCGAAGGGGTTGTAGTGACATCAGAATGCCGAGCTCTGATTGCCTCTGATTGAAGGATAGTGGGTAGACCTCAAGGTAGTTTGTTTCGAGGTCTACCCACACTATCCTTCAATCAGAGCTAATCAGAGCTCAACGTTCTGGTGTCATCACAACCCCTGCAAAAGAAGCAGACGAAGTTGCGCTCCGCATAAGCATGCGTTTGAACAGTGCGCGTGCACGGCACAGCACGTTCGAAGCATGTCCCTCACTCTTGCACTTTCTGCTTCGCTCACACTTGCGGCAAGATAGGGTATAGACCACCAGCAAGCAGAGGAAATCGATAAAGGGTACGTAGAAAGTGCACTAAGAGCAGGTTTGTCTGCTTCACGTGAAGTGGGTGAACTGACGTCGTGGCACCGAGCTTGGATTGGAGGATTGCTCTGACTCGGTGCTTGAGGCTCCAATGCTAACACACGGCGGTGGCATAGTCTGCTAGTCGTAGCAACGGCTGCGTCGCCTTTTCCGTGGCTCTTCGGTTCTTCGTAAACAAAGGATCGGCCTTCGAGAAAGTGAAAATAAAATACCTCGAAGGGTATGTTGCTTCTGTTGACTAAAAACTACCGGGGGCGTGGAAATCTGGAGCTCGGTTGCACGCGTGATTGATCCCTCTTGTTCACCTGGTCAGGCTGCCCGACGTGGCCTGTGCCCAGCGGGGGCGCTCGTGGGCCTGCCCCCTGCTGCCCCTCAGCTTGAGACCCTTGACTCTCGAGGCCAGGGAGTCCACCTCCGCAGAGAGGGCAGCGGTCACCTTGCGGCAGCTCAGGGCTGCCCTGTAGACGGCCTCTCCCGACGGCAGCGTCGAGAGTTTCCTGGGCACAAGGGACGCAGGAATGGGGGAAGGCAGATGGAATAGGGGAAGACAGATAAAACGTCTGGCAAGAACGAGCGTCCGGGCATTTCGCATGACGGTCCCTCGATTAGGCCACCCCTGATTTCGCAATCCTCATCGCCTAATATACCTTGAGGGGACAGATAACTGGGCGATCTGGTGCATATTCATGTTGAAACAGCACAACTGGATGTGGACAAGAAGAGAAATTGGACAGAAAGAATGTCAGTTTCTTGCTTCATTCGTGCCCAGTCGCGCTGATTCAATATACAGTAAAACCTCGTTATAACAAAATGGGATATAACAAACAAATGGATATAACAAAGCAATCATAATTCCCCTTGCTTGAATAGTTGGAAGAAATGGACATTGGCTATAACAAAGTAATGGTTATAACAAAGTAATTACGACCACTCCTTCAACTTCTTTATAACGAGGTTTTACTGTAAGTGCATACCAAATAACATTGTTTCGTCCAGTTTCTTGTTTCGTCTATGTCTAGTTGCACTGTTTCAACGGGAACACCTTTGAGGTAGCACATCGGCATTACATATATTGCAGGTAATTTTACTGATCTGATGTCGGCAGGCTCAACGTTACAAGAAATTTAGAATTTTCCAAAAAAAGCAGCGTTTTGGATGCCTTGTAGCAATTGATTGTCATAGTCAGAATGGGTCAATGGAACTTGTTAGAAGAAGGCACCCGCGAGGTAAGACATCCACGGAGCCCTCACACAATTTCTTCGCACGAGACAGGGCTGCTTTGAGCCATCCATATATCACAATCTGGGTTACCACCGCCGTCGCCATGCTAGTACGGCAAAGGCGCGACTTTTCTTTTTGCATTTACCAGCGATATTGCTTATTCTCATATACTGTTTGACCTTGATCCCTCCCAGCTGCAATAGCCCCATTGGGGCTGTGGTATTTAAAAACGACATTAGTGGTGGTAATGCTGCTACCGCCGACAATAACAAAGATGACGTGCGCCCGCAAAGGGGCACTGTGCACAATGAAACGCGAGGACCCACCTGTTCTTCCGGCGTGCCAGGTGCTCCTGCCAGTCAAGGTCCAGGCGGGCATGCACCTCCGCCAGCTGGGCCTCCAGGTACTGACGCAGCCGGCGCACCTCGGCCAGCCGCTGAGCCGTGCCGGGGTCCAGGGCCCGGCCCCGCAGCAGGCCGGCGAAGCGGGGGTCCCTGTTCCGCAGCTCCTGGGTGCGCCCTTCCTCCAGCATGGCGAACGTCTCCAGCACCAGCACCCCCAGGGCGTGCACCTCCTCATTCGTCTTCTGCTCGTCCAGACGGTGCGGGAGGTAAGCGAGTCTCCGAACGGAGATCGATCGCCGCTTGCAAGCAAAGCGATCCGCACGCTCCCCCAATTGGCACCGCACGCAGTCAGCACGCTCTCCCGACCAACAACACGTGCAAACCGACGTTCTTAGGCCTATCGATTGATATGTTCCACGGAAGGGCGTCGTTCGAAAACGGCCCTTCTCTATTGCCTGCAAACAAGTGGGTGCGGGCAGACGGCGTTCCTAGTGACACTTGCAGCGCACCTCCCACGGGCATCGAAGAGAAACCATTTTCGAGCGACGCCCTTTTTGCACAAACTTTACGTTCGCCGTAAAACCGTGATGAAACCACTTTCCGCCGCAGGCAATATGCATCCAACGTTCCACCGGTTCCGCCGCTGCCGTCCGTAGGGCGGGCTGACGGCGTAGCAAACGCCATCAGGAGGATGTGCCATGAAAAGGTGCCGGGCATTCTAAGAAGCTCGTCGGCTGAATTTGATCTAGCAGCATTGGTGCAAATGGCACGCTTCGTCAACTGCTCGCGGTGCGATCTGCAACCGCACACTTGAGGCTGTGTCTCGGATTCGGACACAAAAGCGCTAAGAAGGGGTTGTATAAAAGCTACGCTATAAAAACTTCCAGCAATTATTTTAAAAAAAATTAAGAAACGAAAAAAAAAAAAGTGGGAACGAACTGTGCTGCTCAGTTTCAGTTAGCCCTCATGCACATAAGTGTGAGATTGGCATCTTAGCGTTCCCCGTGAATCAAAGCTTAGGGTTTTATGTGCCAAACCAACGAAGGGCCTCTCGCACGCGCTGGCAGAGGACCGAGAATTCGTTTTGAACACCTGGGGATATTCTGACTTGCAACCGAAACCTCGGTTACACGGCGCCTCCTCCGCAACAAGCCTCAATCGACTGGGCACCTCGGCTGGTATTCGAACCCGCCACCCGAAGACCCGTAGGCCGGCACTTTGCCTCGGAGTCACTTATGCGGCCGGCTGTGCCCGCAAGAGCCACGACGGGCGGCCGAGAATGGTCTCACCTCCACGCCTTTCTTGAGCTCTTCACAGGCTCCTTCCAGCTCCATGCCGTCCCTCTTCAGCACTCTCATCTCGGCCTCTGTGCCCGGCGGAACAAACGCGCACCGCGCCTTCTCCTTGAAAGCTCCCAGCTCCCTCCCGAACTCGGCGATCTGAAACGTCGAGGCAATGCATAGTTTCGACGTGCACCTTAAAGACCGGTCTGCACGTTTCCGTTCAAATGCGATCGACTGTGTAGCAAATGTTACGCGGAGCGAACGCGCTGGCATCATCTATCGGTTAGCACTGGAACATTTTCGATCTGAATATATTCTATGCACCATGTTTCCGTTGCGAGCCAGAAATAATTTTTTCAAATTTTTAAGGAACCGTTTCTTATAGACAGTGCATAGAGTTGATCTCGGAAGTACTCCAAAACCTTCAGTCTAGTTATGCGCGTAACAGAAGGCTTCCAAAGATCCCTGATAAATGGGGTTAAATGGGGCCCTCCTGTCCTAATGCAGACCATCACAGTCAAATGCAAATGTATGAACCAGTTTTTACAAGTACTTTATAAGTACTAGTGAAACTGCATAATGGCATATACCTCGTCTTTCATTGCAGCCATGATGGCATCCTTAGAAGGTTCTTGCTTCTGGGGCTGCTGAGCGGGACTCGCCTAGAGGGGAAAAAAACATGCAACGTCCACCGTCAGTCGAATTAGACATATTAATGAAAATACTCTATTAAGAAAGTACAATGCCAAATAGTAGTAGAATTAATTTCAATTCTGCATAGCTTTGTTGCGCATCATTTACAGCAAGCTTCGAGATGGCAATAGAAATTCGGCCAGGATACTTGGCCTCTTTGGGTACACGTAACGTCGGCTGCCATTCTTATACATTCTCGTAATGTGCTATGGCCAGTTGAAGCCCGACGGTCTAGCTTTGGATGGGGTGCGGGCTGTAAGAGCAATCGCACGCCATGGCAAAATGCGAGGCGATAGCTGTGATACTGCTGATGGCACATGACTACAGTGAAACCCGTTTAGAACGAACCCACATACAGCGAATTATTGTCGATATCGAACTCGCGAAAAATTTAAACCAAATGTATGTAAAAAGTACTTTTTATAACGAACAACATATTGGCTATACAGTGTAGACAGCATATAACGTATGTCGCACGAGTCGCGAAAATCCGCACTATAAGCGGTACCGCGCTATAACCAAAACATCAATTTTTCAGGCCAAAATACATGCCATCAGACAACTTACTTTTGTAAAACAATTTATTTTTAGTGTAGATGAAAAATAAAGCTTAGTTTGAGAAAAGTCTTTATTCCACCTAACTAGTACACTTCTCTCTCAAGTGTGTCACACATGTTGAAAGAAATGAGTGACTTTTGCCTGGCGCAGCCTTTTAACTGCGTCGCGGGTCGCGGACGGACAATGTGAGCGTTCAGGATTGCTAACCCTAATCACTTTTCTCCGATGATGAAAACGCGTGAAAATTCGCATCCTTTATACGGTGCACGCATGAAATGCTCCAAAAAAGGCATGAAATGCTCCAAATAAGAAATCCGGGTGATGTTCGAAAACACAAACGCTTAGAAAGCACCACTGTAGTCGAAGTAAACAAACACGACGACACGGGCGTTTCTGCTGTCTTGAAAGTGCCGCCACGACATCGCCGCACGAGTAGGTGGATCTTCCCTTCTGGTACGTGCTGGGTTATCATAGCGACACACAACGAAAATTCACAGTCAAGGATAGCGCTTTTACGCGGAACGATGAGCTTCCACTTCGACGTCGACGATCATCACCTACGCCATGTTTGCAAATAGAAGAAGCCGACCCGCGACCGGCATTCAATGCGCGCGAACGACTGGTTGGGCTCGCCAATGCCTTGCGCCGTAAACGACACGTGCGTGCGTCCCTCCGTCGCTATGGCAACTGAAGCCTCCCCTCTTCGAGCAACCTCCTTGCCATCCTTGTCCCCGCGAGTGCCGCTTGCGGCTAGCGCCGTTATCTGGTGTCACACAGGGAAGCGTGCTAGCTGCGCCGGTCGGCGTGCTGCTCCAGAAACCGCACTATAACCGGTATTTCCTTTCGTGCGCCTGCATTTTAAGCAGTATGTAATTACATCGAGTTCTATGGGAGGCGAACCGGTGGTTTAAAAAAGCCACGTTATACCCAGTCGTGCATTATAAGCAGTTACGTTGTAAGTGGTCTATACTGTATCAAACTTTTTTCCCCTGGGAAGGCTTCCAAAAAAGCGCAAGCCAATGAGTCTTTCAGCCAATGCCTTCGCCTGAAAAAGTGTAGGAAAGAAAAAAAATTCCAAAAGCTCGAGCTGCAAACAAAAATTAGCGAAGAAAAGCGATTCCGAAGAGGCACAGAAAAAAAGAAAATCTTTTAAATGCAAAGCGGTCGCTTACGAAGACGAAAAGCAATTAAAACACGAAGATAAGCTAAAAAAAATCTTTCTAGTGCGTTGTTACAAGCCGGAAGCGAAGAGATGAGAAAGAAAGAGAAGTTCTCGCCTCCTCTCCCTTCGTGCCCTGTTTCACCTAAAGTAACTTTAGTTTGACCTAGGGGGCCTTCATGTCCCGCCGAAGAGAACTTGGAGGCACTCTAGTTTGACCCTCTTCACCTTGCGCGTTCACTTGGGGCTTGACACGCCACGCCCCAAAAGGCAATAAGCCTATCGCATTTCAGATTCCATAGCATTGTCACATGCCGTTCAAAGCGTCAAACACAGGCAAAGCTCGCTCTCTCTCTCTCCCTCCCTCCTTTCTCCTCGTTAGTTTAGTCGTCGTTTGTTGTCGTCTTTCTTGTCCCCATTGCACTTCCTGTTCACTGTGCAGGCCAGCTAGTTCGCGCCCGAAATGACGACGAAGCAGCGGCAGGTTCTGCCACTTTCCGACAAGGTCGACATCATCAGTCGTGTGGAGCACGACAAAAAGAAATCAGACGTTGCCGCCGCCTACAAGATCCCGAGAAGTACGCTGAGTACAATTCTTAAAAACAAGTCTGCCATCCGAGACAAGGCCCGTGAACGGCCAAACGCGGACAGCAGGCGCATCCGCAAGCCGGCGTACGTCAAGGTGGAAAAAGCGCAGTACCAATGGTTTTTGGACATTCGTGCACGGAACCTGCCGGTCTCCGGACCGATGTAGCGAAGCAAGGCTAGAGATTTTGCATCCCTCCTGAACGTTGAGGGCTTCACCGCTGGATCTGGGTGGCTGCAGCGGTTTAAAGATAGATATTTAATCGTCGGGAAAGTCGTAGCTGGGTTTTGTAAATGGGTTTTGCTATATCGAACTACTTGCTATACCGAACTGATCATAGCGTTTCCTGTTGTTCGTTATAAACAGGTTTCACTGTATGCAAAGGGTTATGACACTTCTGTCTTCTTGTGCACTGGGAATAGCTAGGAAACTACTTTTGCAACAAATGACTAAATGATTACCAAATGACTACAGGACTCACTTGAAAAGCCCAGTCTAACCTATGTGATTCTTTTCTGCTCCGTTAGAAGAGGACAAGATGTGCTATAAAGTATAAACAAATCTTGAAAGTAGTCAAAGCCAACAGGAAGAACTTGAATGAAATCTGCAAGATGACATTCCGCTAAGAAATTTGGCTTTTTCGGTTAACCCTCCTTGCAAAACGTTGGCTAGGAGGCTTTCAGCGGGTTCCTGTCTAAGTTCTAGACTCAGCGCCCTCCTTGCAAAACGTTGGCTAGGAGGCTTTCAGCGGGTTCCTGTCTAAGTTCTAGACTCAGCACGGTAAACAGACAAGTCATCAAGTACACATCGTTATTTTAGAGCTGCGTTGCGTCCCAGTGCCTTAATCTAAGCACACACTGACTGTGACGTGATAGCTCTCTCACCCCGTCTCCCAGAGATGGCACCGGTTGTGAACCAACGTCGTGCAAGTTTCTCTTGGTTTCAGCCACTGCTCCAGCTTCGCCGACCCGTGGACTTTCAGGCTCGTGAGGCGCTTGAACTGGCATCAATACGGGTGGCGGAGCCGCAGCCGCTGGTACTTCCAGAGCGCTCTTAGAAACCAATTTGAATCCGGGTGGCATTGACGAAGTAACTGGCGCCGGAGCCACACCTCCAAATCCAAACGCAGTGTTTGCTGGAACTGCAGGAACGGTAGTCGTGGCGATCGGTGCTCCCGGGAGCACCGGTAAAGCCGAAGTCGTAGCCATGGTTGCAGCAGCGTTCGATCCTGGGGCAGACGGTGCTAGGGTGGACATGGTGCCAGGAGCCGCTGGGAAAGCCGGAACAGGAGCCGCAACTGTAGCCACAGCAGTGGGTTGCATTACTGAAGTCGTCTTGGGAGCCAAAGCTGCCGTGGTAGAGCCAAACGAAAAGGCGTTGTTGGAGCTGGATCCAAACGAGAAGACGCTGTTGGCACTTGAGCCAAATGAGAATGCTGTTGCAGACGATGCAGGGATCGAGAAAATCGTCGAGGGTGCGGCAGCGGGAGCAGACGACGCCGTTGGATTAAGGGGCATAAATGAGTTTGAACTCGAGAACGAAGTTACGGTTGTAGATGGAGCACCGACAGGGGACGAAAAGGAGAATGCAGGTGTCGCCATGGTGCCTGGAAAAAAGAAAGATTGTCCATAGAGCTAGTGTGAAATAACAAAAGAACTGCTGGGTTCCATCTCAAAAGGCAATTGGATGTCCCTCTTCCTTAACTGGGCAGAAAGACTATGCCCAAAAAGCTACCTTTAAAAGGGCAATGCAACAATTTTCGGACTTTGGCCAATTAATTGCCGGAATTAATCTGTGTCACCTACGAAACAAAGAACAGAAGAACGCGTTTTCTTGCGTGCGCTAGTTTTTATTTTAAAAATTGAAACAAATCGAAGGTTAAAGTGCCTTGCAACTCTCACGTCTTCTTTCGAGTTACATACTCTGGTGGACCACTTGATTTCCCGTTGGGTTCTCTCTTTAGATCCCCCAACACTTCTTTCTCCGCGATTGTCGACTTTTCAAGAATTAGCATAGCTGAAGGCCGCAGTAAGCGATCGACACAAAAGACGGTTCGCCACGGGGCTGACGGCGAGTGTAGCAGTGGAGGGGGACAGGACTTGTTGACTTCCGCGTGCCCCACAAGCCGGTTCACCGTAGTGCCCGTAACTGCCGCAGGCACCTGCAGATCGGCAATTCTGTTTTCTCTTTTGCGATTACGCAGCGGAATAGCAGTTTTTCAGGGCAAGCTGGCACACTTTTTATCACTTGTGCCTAGATAAAAAATATAAAAAATACAAACTGCAAATTCTTTTAATATTGAAATCATTGCACTCCACTTTTAAAGTGTCACATCTTAAATTCACTTCGAGTTCAAGAAAATCACTCTATAATTGAAAATAAGATCCTAATGCCTTTAGTTAAGGTGTCTGGTTAAAAGTCTGAAGTTCCCTGGACAGCTTTATAAGACGGCCTGATGCAAAATAGGGAACCTCAAGAAAACAAAACCAGATCCTTCAGCAAAGCCTTCCCTCAAGCACGCAGGGAGCTTATTGTAATTTTCCCACTCTAAAATGCTACCAAACCAAAAACGAGACTCAACATTTGTGAAAACAACATAAAACTTTTACACACCTGGAGGTCCAAATTGCGGCAACGGTGCTACATTGACGCTGGAGACGTTGCTGCAAAAAACAATGTTGAATTTAATGCTAATATTAAACTCAAAAATGCAAAGAAACTTTCACTTGACCTTTCCCAGGTAGCATGCAAGAGAAATGCCTAACTTGATGGAACTAATGCCTGGGAGTATTGGGCCTAACACAATTTCGCTCCCAGGTGTTGGTTAATGACGGAGTATTTTTCTTTGGCATTTCCACGGGTTTTCTTTGGTGTGCCACATAAATGCCAAAGTGCCAGATTTGAGCCAAGGGTGCCTTGTAGAAACCCGAGAACCAGCAGTGATGCCTTATTCTGGCACTTGTTTGGCAATTTAGGCCCTAAGTTGCTGCATGAAAAACTGAACAATGAGAAGTGAAGCCTAACTTTGGCACTTGTTTGGCATATTAAGGCCAAGATAACCAGACTCTGATCAAAGAAGGTCAAGTTCGGCTCTACCTTGGCTTTATCGGGCTTTTAAAGAAGCAGCTTTATAGTGCCAACCAACCTTGGGAGCCGTGTAAGCACGAAATGGGTAGGTCAGGCAATCCGTAACCACTAAACAATCTTGAAAAAAAAAAATGAAAGCCGTTTACAACTCCCTGTAATGCCGAATCAGAGTGCAGCTCTTGAGGAGGAGGAGGGAAGGGTACTGAGGGGAAGGTATACCCCTCCTCCCTCCTCCTCACCTACTCATCCTGTCTGCTAATCCTCCCTCTGAGCGGCATCGCCGTCGCCTCACAAGGTTCACATGATTTCACGGGGGTTATGTGACGTCACTGGGGTCACGTGACCCCTGTGAGGTCATGTGACAATGTTGATGACGTCATCAGTGATGTCACCAGTGACGTCGTGTGACGTCATCATCGTCGTGGCTTATAACGTCATCGACATCGTCACTGATAACGTCATCGGCATCGACATCGTCACTGATGACGTCATCAGTGACGTCACGCGTCCCATAATGCACGTCGCGGTGACGGCGACGGTGACGCCACACAAGCCGGAAACAGGCGCCTAAGAGCTGCGCTCTAAGAAAAACAACCGGTGGGAGGGATATAACTTTGGTCACTAGCGTGGAAGCCAAGTGTGCTGCTGACCGCTATGGACCCAGCCCGCAGGAACGGGAGGAGCAGAAGCAGGTGGTCTTGGAAAGTGTGCAGAGCAGAGAGGGGTAGAAAGGGCAAGAAAGAGGGGAGCAGAAACAGGTGGTGTAGAAAGAGCATGCACAATGAAGAGTGGAAAGAGCAGGAAAGCATGCTTCTCCTCACTTGGTGCCCACAAAATTCAGTGCAAAGGCTTTGTATTCAGGTGGTGCTGAAGAGGAGCACACACAGCATCACGAAGAGACGATGGTGTGACGAACTCTGTTTCCATACAAAACCCTGCCTAAGGCACCACCTGAACTAATAGCACTGCACACCCCAGGCACTGAAAGACTAAGGGTCATCCTGCTCAAGGCACCACCTGAACTAAGAGCACTACTCACCCTATAAAGCTATCATGTTTAAACGTGTTTGGCAGAATAACCAAACATGTAGCCGATTTTTTAAAACCCCAACTCCCAGGCAAAAACCAAATTTTGGCCCAAGAGCTGCGTTGCTGGGGTTGCATTTGCTCACCTCTGCAGCGAACTGACAACGCTCGTCAAAGGAGCTGCCATGGCACTACCTCCCAGGCCCAGCGAAGGGAAACCGCTGCTCGCAACGGGAGGAACGACCTGAGTTGGCCTCTGCTGTTGAGGCTGCGGCGGATTCGCTGCAAAGTGGATGCCGAACAGCGTTTTCACTTGTGCCAGACCGAGAAAATATCCACAAACTAAACTAACAAGATGAACTAGTGATTTGTGCACAAATTAGAGATAAAGAACAAATCAAAATTTGGAAACTACCGTTGCTCAGTCAGTAAATAAAGAAACACACTGTAAGCCCTGTGTCTAACTAGAGTGGGATGTTGGTTTGATTCAGTTAATTTTTGGTTACATAAAAAAATATGGACTCAAAAATAATAAAAAAATGTGATCTGACGAATTGCTTGAGGTGATGGGCACACCGGTTGCTATCTAATTTCACCGGAAACACAATGTGTCACTAAAACAGAATTTCCATGAGAACTTTGATAAGTGGAACTCTGATATATGTTACTTTTTCCGCTACTCCACATCTTCAAAGCAGGCTCCTTGCCTTCCAATGAGTGGCACTTCCTACTAGGTAAGTTCAACAGTTTCAGCTGGTTCCTTGAAATTCCTCTTCCAAACTTTTGCCGTGGCATCGTAATACCCTGTGGTAAATACCAAAACCTGAACCAAAATGCAGGTCACCCTTTAAAACCGGTTTTAAGCCTGCACTATTGCGAGCACTATGACCTACAAAAGACCTCCATGCTTCTTTTCCGTATTAAAAAGAACTTTAGTCCAAACTAGGGCTAGAATGAAACGTTTAGGCCCCATACTTCAGAGACTGACAAATCGAGAGATAATCTAGCTTGTAGGGACTAGAGGCTAAGCACAAGGCCAGACCGAGTGTTGCAAATCGTATTGTCCAGAGGAATACAGTGTGTTCAGCTGCTAAATATAAAAGGCAGCGCCCAAAGCTAATGTTCCCACCGTCCGACGAGAGAAGTGATGATGCTGCAGAGCCTTGATATGATGGTGCAAACAACAGCAGACGGTGACGTTGATATTTGGCACATTGAAAGCCTGCAAAGCTTATTGGAGTTTGCAAGAACATTCTCTAATCGGGGATGGAAGCAAGCTTCAGCCTTTTGGAGCAGGTCTGGGAGCAGCAAAGATGCCCCTTTACAGCAGCTTTGGAGCAGTAGAAGTTCAGCTTTGGAGCAGCTCAGGAGCAACAAAAATCGAGCTTCGTAGCAGTATAAGCAAATCTTAGAGCTGCTTGGTGCTATAAGTACAGATCTGTTTTTCGAAATACAAAAAGAAATATAAATCAAAAGCATCTCCATGTGACGTTCCAGAACCATTTCCAAACATGACCTTTCCTTAAGTATATTTAAGCCCATAGCAAAAAGATATTTGAATGGCTGCTATTGAGAACTGTCCTGATGGTAGCAGGTTGGTTCCTCTCATGGATTTACAATAGTAGGCATAGGCAGCTAAAGAAAAACAACTTAAGCCTCATGAAAACAAGACATTTTCACTTTTTAACACCCTAAACCGCACGTTCCATAAGTTAAAAACAAAACTATTTCAAGATGCAATAGTATGGTATGAAATAAAGTCCAATACTGACCACAGTTCATCATTATGAAAAACAAATGTTTCAAGTGCCTGTTTAGCAAACAAAAGTATTCCAATACTCTGAAGAGAGTACAAATCAAAAGTGTTCCAATACTCAACAGAGTACAAATCTACTGTATCCGATAAAAGTACAAATGCAAAATATTGAAAACTTCCATGATACTACCTATACCATTCCTGCTCATACATATGCACTTAATTATCCCTTACTAAAACTGACCGAATAGAAACAAGAAAACTTGATTAGGAGTTTAATAAAAAAAAAATAGACTGACAAAACTAGCAAGTAAGACCATCAAACGGAAGGTTTTCCTTCAGTCAGTGCAGAGCGCAAGTTTGTCTGCTTCTTGCACAGGGGTTGCGTGGCGTCAAAACGCCGAGCTGATTAAAAAAAATAGTGGGTATATCTCAAGGCACCTAGCCATTGAGGTCTACCCACCATCATTTTAATCAAAACCAACTGGAGCTCGGCGTCGTTCTGAAGTTACCGCATCTCCTGTACAAGAAGCAGACGACTTGCTCTTTGCATTACTTGGATGCATTCAAGCACAACGGTTTAGAATTTGCTTCGCTCAGCAGGACATTCCCACTCTTCTCCCAGTCCTCCCGCCGGCTTGCTGTTTGGGTGCCAGCAGGTGTATTTGCCACAAACGTCGTTTACAAGAAACTCTACAGATGATTGAGGCAACCAATTATCACCCTTATACGTTGCGTTTACGACATGAATGGGGAACGCGGAAGCAGGTTCAGCAAAAGCATCCCAAACATGCGAAAATAAATGCCAAATGTTTATTTTTTATAGAGTAGTTATTGCTTTCCCCAGAAATTAGATGATAGGTGAACAAATGCCAGCAAGCTCTTACGTAATTTATATACCATAAGGTCCTGAAAGAATGCTCACTCAAAATGAAAAGGTAAATTGTGTGTGTGTGTGCACGTGTGTGCATGTGGGCGCGCGTGCGCGGGTGTGGGCGGAGGGGGGGGGGCACTACAAGCTACGTGAAACGGAAGCTCTTCAACTTCAAAGCTTCTTAACTTTTCCCTCACCACAGTTTCGAGTTTTAAACATCAAGATTAACTATCACCAGCTCGCCTTTGCATTCACTGTCTTTCCGTTACTGATACATATTGCAGACACGGCGACCTGGCGTGTGCAATAAGTATGTGGGAATTCGCTAGGAACTCCTCTGTCACGGGTACAACAGCAGAACGCGGACGCAGCGCATTCGTGCTTCGCAGAATTCAGCCCCCTCAAACCCGGGTGTCACGGGAACCGATATTGCGCGCAAGAATCACAGACAAAAAAAAAATGCCGGAACGAATTTGGAATTTGCATGCCATGGAAAGGGATACCCCGCATAGTATGGATGCTGCAGATTCGCATGTCACGGTGCGATAAGTACGAGGGAACCCGCGGCGAGCACGCTTGTCACATACCAGTACCGCAAATCACGCAATACAGTAAAACCTCGTTATAACAAAGTTGAAGGAGCGGTCATAATTATTTCGTTATAACCATTAGTTTGTTACAGCCAATGTCCATTTCTTCCCACTATTAGCAAGCAAGGGGAATTATGATTGCTTTGTTATATCCATTAGTTTGTTATATCCCGTTTTGTTATAACGAGGTTTTACTGTAGATAAAAAAAAATTGGGATGTGAGATTTTTTGGGGGCGGGCATTTGTACGAAACTTTACGGCGATTGAATGCGTGTGTGTCGTATTTTGAATATACTCAGTCATGCTCAATGCCACTGTGAAAAAAAAAAAAAAAAATGAAAAAAAAAATGAAGTGAATGACAGAACGATGCATTGAAACATTGTCTCGTCGTTTGTCAGAGTTCCGATGAGCACTCTGACAAAGCGACCTGTGCATGTGCCATTTTCGGAGATCAGGCTTACGTGCCATTGACACGACCGCATCGATATGGTGGTTTTATACCAATAGGGCCTTCTGCAAACTGTTACCGCATACCGCGCACTACTGGAGCCTCTGAAGCAAAGGCTTTTAAGCACGCGCCCTGCGGTCACACTATCACTCGGGCGCGCGCTTAAAAGCGTGCTTCAAAGGCTTCGGTAGTGCACGGTACGCGGCAACGGTTTGCTAAAAGTCCCTATTTCTTCAGAATTACCTAAACAAACACAACACGGTAAACAACTGTGGCCAATAAAAAAGAGAGTACTCCAAAAAATATAGCCTAAAAAAAAATACTTGTTTGGTTAGTTTGGCACAACATGTATGCTTGGGAGCAGGATGGTGCAGCAAAAATGGATTGGCGCACAATGGCGCAATTGGCGCAGTGCTTCCACCCCTGTCTAATAAAGCAAACCTAGTGTAAACAAAAATTAAAAAGTCAAAAGCAACATTTGCATTTGAGTGTTACCACCCAAGCAAGCGTCGGCCATCGCATCTATACAGGAAACGTAACTCTAGAAAAGAAAAGTGGTGTGAGCTGCCAGACTGCAATGGAATATGACGCATACCATCTCTCTGGCCAATATTCGCGCATTATATTTGATAGCCAAACACACCGTATATTGAAACCACTCATACCTCCGTCGATTTTCATGGGAAAGCCGTCCGCAAAGAAGATGGAGGGGAACTCACCCATGGGCCTCCGCTGTCCCTGCGGGTCAAGGGTCTCTGGGGGCTTGACGAGCAAAGGGACCTCCTTGGTGAGGTTCTTCATGTGGAATGGGGAGAGGCCCCCACTGGTCGCCATCAGGGCCAGGATGGGCATTGGGGGCCACTTCTCCAGCTTGCCTGGCGGAACGCCACATCGCAGAAGTCTCAAGTCAGGCTCATGACGTCGAGTAGACCCTCCCTCATGAATTGTGCAAACTGAGGAGCTCGGGAAAGGCTCAGACACTAGGCTTTTCAGATGATGCTTGTAACGCAAACACCTCTGAGTTCTCCAGCTCTGTCGTTTTGGAAGAATCATCAGCCACTTTCAAAGAAAGTCCATCCCCTATTTAGGCACAGCTGAGAGAAGCTTACAAATCACTATAGTCTGTTGCAGGTTAAGAAACCAGGACAAGCTCTTCCCAGAAAGCCCTCCACTCCTTTCATTTTAGTAGAACTAATGCTAGCGAGGAGGCCCGGAGGGAGTTGCCTCCTCTCTAGCATTCACTCTGCTGAAGTGGAAAGAGGGAAGGGCTTTGCGGGAGGAGCTTATCCCAGTTTCTTAACCCGCAACAGGCCACAGGTTAGCGACCTCATGGTACCTGCCGACGTGTTTCCGACCGATCCGTTTACAGTTCCTCTCGCTCGTTCCCTCAATTTCTGCCCGGTGACGTTATGACCAAAGAATATCACATCCCGCAACTGCTCTGCCTTAGCTTGCTGTGCAGCCTAGAGGTTGGCAGAAACTCGCGCAGCCATAAACATTGCGACATCGACGCCTATCCTTCTGCTGCGCTGCGTTGGCGCTTCTACAACTGACTACCCAGATTGCGACAACTCGTGGCGCTTTGACGCATGGGCATCAAAGGATGCCGAAGACACCATTCGAGCGACATGACCCAGGCACTTTAAAGCCAGATCACACACTTGTGACTGTTTACAATTGTGCACCTTAAAGGGGTTATGAGATGCCAAAAATAAAATATGAGATAACAATACTACTAGGACTCATTTTATGTTCCTATAACCTTGCTAAATTTGTTTTGAAAATGGCACAATAGTTTTGTGGGAAAATTATTTATATGCGGGTCCCTCGGAGGGGCAGATCCGGGCGGAGCGAGAGGCTGGCTATGCGGCGGCCCCTTGCACGCACTCACAGACTCGACTCTCTTGGCGTCTCGAGCTTCAGCTTGCTCGTTTACCTTCCACGTTTCGAACATGCGGTCCGTAACGATTATGTCTACAGCATCGCTCACCTTTTCAAAGTGTTCGACATTGATCGTAGCAGCGTTGAGAGCGATTGCTATCAAGATATGTTGGAAGCTGTTCATTTTAACTGCGACCAGCTAACGACCAGCTCCAGCGACGGCGAGCTACAAACGAACTCGCCGTTGCTACCATCATCCGGGAATATCTCGCAGGAGCAGGCAAGGTGGAAGGTAAACGGGTCAGGGGCGAGAGCGAGAATAGCATTCGGGCTGCCAAGTTGCATGAGCGGTTTTGATTGTACCACGGCGAGGAGAGCTTCGGCGATCATGGGGGCACCTAGTATGAGAGAGCGTTCATGGTCATGTGGTTTATGGACATCATGGTGTGAATAACTTGGGCAGTGTTGCCTGGTTGCCAGATGCCAACGTAAATTGAATATTGCAATTACCAGAGCTCTAAACATCGCGCAACTTGGTGTATATACTAAGTAGCCTATGAGAATTCCATTTCAAGAATAATCTATTTGTTTAATTTTCGTGTCATAACCCCTTTAAAGCCTTTTGAAATCTCTCAAGAGAGAACCCACTGCTGCCATCTGTCGGGCAGCCATGGAACACCTGCGATTTCCACAGCTGACCACGTCCTTCTTCGTGCGTAATATTTTCTTTCTTGGTTTGAAAAACTTTAGGCAATGTTATAACCAACAATTTCTCAAGGACAGTAGGTACCGTATTTATTCGAATATAGGTCGAGCTTTTTTTTTTCGGAAATGTTGTCAAAAATTAAGGGTCGACCTATAATCGTGACCAAAGAATTTCGACCTAAGTCGCGACCAAAATTTGAAACCCTACCGAGGGTATGGAGCTATCAATCAACTAGCCGGCGTCGCGGTAGAGCCGTGCGGCTTGTTTCAAAAAGCTTTTGATGCACAAAAACAACCGAACAGCAGCAGCCGACAGCCCGTGGCTGCCGGCAACGGCTCTCGCGCATTTTCCTCTGGCGTCGGGTTTCGCCATCACGCCTCTAGCGTTCCCCTCGCTGGGCAAGGGGGAAAAGGAGGGAGAGGAAAGCGATGCGCCATGCACTTTGCCCTCCTATGCGCTCCATTCCTCTCTCCCTCGCAAACTCACAAAAAAAAAATGTACTTTAGTTTTTTTTTGTTTTGTTTTTTGTTTTTCTCGGCGGGTCGCGTGTTGCTCACGGTGCTCGCAGCGTTGCTCGTGTCTTTGTATTTGGTCTTTCGTCGCTTCGTCCGTCTCCACCTTCTTTCGTTTCTTCTTGTCGTCATTTTACAACGGTGTCAGTGAGGTATTGTTGCCAATTTGCGAGGATGTCCACCAAGCTGACGAAGCTTCGGACGACGATATGTCCGAAAGTTCTGACGATGAATAAGTTTTTGACATCGCCCTGTGATTTAGCTGAGAGTGCTGTAAATAAAGGTTTGTTTCTTTTGCCCTAACTTTCCCCTGTTCCTTAAAAAAAAGAAAAAACAAAAAGAAAGGTCGACCTATATTTGAATTATGTTTTTTTTTATTCTCGGTGGGCTCAATAAATAGGGGTCGACCTATTTTCGTGGTCGACCTATTTTCGGGTAAATACGGTAGGTACATTTATCTCGCAAATATCAGAAAACATTAGCTTTAGTAAAAGGCGATTCCAGAAGCAAGAGATCATGAGAATTACGTCCTAAGCAAACACAAGTGTGTGAACGGGTCTTTAGAAATGCTACAAACACCGAGAAGAATCGCATGGCCATGCTTAGGTCAGGCCTTAACACAATCTTCATGACCAGTAACCTGCCATCTAATCTACACGAATGCAGTTCATTCTATTCTATACATTTTAGTGTTTACGAGAATCACAGTCTACATGTCATAGGTCACAGCCCAGCACGAACATGTTCACCACTTTGGAAGGCGAGCAATGTACGCGCCACACGCACGAACCGCGCCACACGCACGAACGCTGAAAATGGCATCGACCAGAAGCGCTTTTCAGAAATGGTTTATAGATCCTTTCCTAAATTACTTAAGCACCAAGGAGCATATTCACGCCACAAAAGTAGTTACACGTGCTGACGCCTGCAACAGCAACTTTTCAAAAGGAGATCTAAAACAAAAGGCAGGTTCCTTCAGGTCATACAATCGTGTGGGGCATCTGTACCCACATTCCGAGCATTTTCCGCGGTGCTTTGGCAATTCGTCAAAAAATGGATTGCGTGACTCTTGGACCTTTCTTCGCCAGCCACCTTCTGATAAAAGGAGAACGGGTTTACTGGCGGTATTATGAAACTAGCGAGCTGCGGCTTGAACGTAGCGAGTTGCAAAAACGGTTTTATGAAAATTCCAATTGCTTCCGTTTTTCTTTTATTTATTTTTCTTTTTACTTTCTTATAGTTAGGCACGTAGGCCATGGCCATACTTTGTGTAAATACTGTATAGATAATTATCAGCTTCAAACAGCACGAACGGCCAGGTTATTTTGCGGTTTGACGCGAGAAAGGCGGGTGCGAGCGTACCCGATTGCCGGCCGCGCGCCTTGCTGCACACAGGTGACGTCACGCTTGGGCGGCGGGGAAAACTGGGGAAAAACTAGGGAGAACGATGTTTCGGTTTTGGCAGCAAACAAAATATCACTTTTTTAATTAACTAGAGTGAATCTGGGAGAACGACATAGCATTTCGGAATCAGGAAGCCATCCACATTCAGATTATGACTTTGGATTAGGTAGCTCAAAATGTCGGCGGAGTTCCCCTTTAACCGAAGAAGCATTTCACACAGGGATAGCGTGCGCCGAAAACCCGATGGAAAACGCTGGTTATGACGGCTCAAGGCAGCATCGACAGAGCTTGCGTCCGCTCACCGATGATCTCCCTCTGGGCTGAGAAGATAATGGCCTGCCCCAGTGGGAAGGCCTCCTCGTTGTTCTTCAGGGGAACCTCGGCCCTGCCGTGGCTGTCCAGTTCCCAGAGCTCCCAATTCATCTGCGGACAGGAAATTAAAAAAGAGAAACTTAAAGGCGGGAAAGTTGTCGACTTCGGTCACAAACTTTGTGAGCAGATCTGAGCTTCGCTGCCCCAATCTTAGTGTCTGAAACTGGAGCTTGCGCCGTGACCGAAATCACAAAATTACGAGACTAGAAGGAAAACGCAGCAAAGTAAGACAACATGTGCTAAAAATCAACACAACATGCAAAAATAAGCGACAATTGCTAGGCAAATAATTTAGAACTAAACTCCTTCCATTGCAAGTGTGAGTGCTTTATCTTGGAAAGTATAGTAAACTAGTGGTCATAGTGAAGCGAAGTTAGAGTATCCATGCTATAGGAGTACAGGTATTTGAGGCACTGATGTACTGTCGACCGTGACGTAGCAAAGACTTTTACCAAAAAATACTGACTTCATTGTAAAGAGGTACTTCTATATGTGATGCATCCAAACTGCTTTGTGAAACAATGCCCGACTAAACAAACTGGCAACACAAAAAATATTGAGAAACAACAATGATCTCGGAGTACACCTGTTTTAGCAACCAGTTGTACATCGAATAAATTCCACTTTAAACGATTTCCCAAAAACCTTTTTTCAAAAATGTGCACAGAAATACCTCGAGCCCACGGTTCTTAGAAGTAGTCCTGTAGAGGTAAAGCATCTCAACCTGCCAGGAAACCCTTCCCAGTTTTGGAATTGATGCAATGAAGCAGTGCAAAAGCCGACAGACCTTATGAACTATAATGGACGTGCTATGGAGACTTTGGTACACTGCAACACACCAAAGAATAGCTCAGATCTTCTAAAACACTGCTTAGAAAGAGAACCCACGATTTAGAAACAAGAATTAAAACAAAGAAACCTGCTGAAATCACTGACCTTGTCGGCCGACTTGCAGCCAAGCACGGACGTCTCTATAGAGTTCCTCGAGTTGCAGACGAGAATGCCCCTGCGAAGATGTCCGCACAAAAATGCAAGCGTCAGCGGGCTTCTTCGCACAAATGCGGGTGTAGCGGGCGGCTGACGTAGGCCGTTATCCCGGCCAGGAATTTCTGGCGACGAAGGAAGGAACTGTTTTCCGGCAGCAAGAATTTTCACAGAACTCGCAACCCCCGTGGCTCTGTGTAAACAATGACCTTGTAGCAGATTCCCTCACCACATGGGGCAAGGAACTTCTAGAATTTTGAATAAGAAAGTAGGTAAGTACTCTATTATCAATTGCAAACTTTTTATGTGTAACCTCAAAGAAAAGAATGCACACCGCAGCATGATGCAAATCACATTAGTAAATGGTGTACGTACTGGCAGAAAGAAATTAACAGATATAAATGTAAATGCACGAGACTGATTGGACAAGAAGTGCGAAGTCAACTCTTGAATGAGCAGATGTGCAGCTAGACAGACGTGTACTGAAAAGAGCATTTAGGATTTTCTGTCTGGGTGCAGCTTCCTCCGAGGATTTGCCATCTGATTTCAAAGACTGCAGCGAAGCAGTAAAGATCCCTTTGAATTTGGAACGTGCTCTATCGATTTTAAAATACGCTTCAAAATAATAATCAATAAAACCCCAGTAAAAAAAAAAAAAATGGGGGGGGGGGGGGGAGGAAGAAAGCAAGGTCATAAAAAGGGGGGACACCGCCCGGAAAAAAAATTTCTTCAAAAAAGGTTGAGTTTGAAAAATGTCATATTTACAACCGCCAACATCTACAGAGTATTCCCAGAAAATTTCATTTGTTTACACTGCATAGTTTTTTTTTTTTTTATATTTGATTTTTCTCCATTACACTTTTGGCATAAATTTCACTTAATAAATCTATCATTTCAGTATAAAATTATTGAGACTTAAGTTTTGCGGCTTATATACCAAAATTTTACTGAGCCAGTTAGTTTGAATTTAGCTTTTGCATTTTCAAATTCCTTTATATGAAAAATTGTAATTTGCAAAACTTGGTAAATGTGACAAAAACATTTTTTTTTAATTCTTGTTTTAGTTGAAACATGCATACAATTTTGTAAAAAAAATTTTATAGTGACTGGCAATAAGTATTCCAGTATGCATTCCACCAGAAGAATATGTGGTTATCAACACCACCTCTCAACGATAGATTCACTGAGCAGAGTCCATGCCAAGCTATGCTTTACTTCGTTCTGAGGGTGTAGTACCTAATAAAATTGGTTCACAGAGCTGAAACTTTGCATGCCCTCCTCCTACATGGCTACAAACGCCACCTGCAAATTTCATACCCATTGAGTGAGCGGTTTAAAGGTTGACTTTCCCAGGTAGCGTCCTCTCTTGGTCAATAAATAAAAATACATAGAAGGTATAAAAATGCAATCGAAGGAAGTAAAAGGCACTGCCCAAGTGTTTGCCTAAAAAACAAAAAATCCAGGGCTGTTTCCTTAATTAGCTTAGGGATGAAGGTTCTTGAACCTTTTTGGCAGACGACGTTTTGCAGGAAGTACTACCGACAACATCGAAATAATGCGTCTACCTACCATTCAGGCAGGTGGTAAAGCCAAAACCGCTCCGACGGAAAATCCCCAGTCTTGAAGCAGGGCTCCCCGAAATTGGTGTATGTGACTGGCGACGTTTTCTGGAAAAAAAAAAAAAAGTGGTTATCAACAGACACACGAAGCGTTCCTTCACATTTTTGTCAGTGAGCACCGAGAACTGCGCGAGACGCTCGAAACGAAGCCATGTTGCAACACGGGAGTTTGAAATCGGCTATTGTATGGTCTCTCGTGAACAATAAAAGAATGGTCCACCATCTCTTCGTTCGAGCCGATCTGTGTTACACGGAAAGATCCACCCACCGAGAAGCCGACGATGACGAAGCTCGTTTGGGAGTCCGTTGTTTGGGACGAGGGTGCATACACTGCTGCGAAGACGGTTGGAGCGAGCCAGGCCACGCTAATCACTGGTACAATGGCAAAAGACGAAAAAGGAACAAGTATAAAAACGACAGTGAACAGGCAGATGAGAAAAGATCAGCACCCGACTGCTAGTGCCATTCAATATGCCGCATATAACTCTATAGATACCGCGTCATTTAAAACCCAAATGCAAACAAGAGACTCGGGTAGTTCAGCAATGTGGAACATACGAAGATATAGTGAGATCAAGGCCGAGGAACAGCCGTTTGAACTGGCGTCCCGTAACACCAAATCCAAGAGGAACCATAAAATAGACAGGGTCTTATATGCCTAGGCTTTCATTCAAAAGCTTTCATTCAAAAGAGGAACCATAAAATAGACAGGGTCTTATATGCCTAGGCTTTCATTCAAAAGCTTGCCCACTGCAGCCCTACAAAAACCTATGCGCAGCACCGATAATCAGACATCTAAACGAAAATTAGGAAAAAGCAATTATACAGCATTGACACACACTAAACAATATTGTCTTCTAGGCTCTACAGAAACAGATACCGTCACCAATACTAAGCTTCAAAATAAGTCGTTCTCTGTAACAAAATATTTTGAAGTAAAATTAACCTTTCTTGTGCATGCTGAACATTAGCCTACCTAGGACTAGTGGCGTACCCAGGAAGTTATTTTGGGAGGGGCCGAGCTGGATGGGATGTCCATGAATCGGGGTGCAGATTGGGAGAGGGAGTAATGCATATGTGTATTTAAGAAGGTCGTCTGGATTTCAGGGGATGACTGAAGCCCTATCAGGCCCTCTCCTTGCTACACCACTGCTTAGGACTATCTCTCATTATAGGCAGTGACAGAATAATGAAATGCAGGACGTGGCGAGTCCTGAGCACCTCATTACTGCTCTGCAGCCAATTAGAATTGGCTGCAGATGCCCCCCCGCCGAGAGAATAATCACAAAGCAAGAAGCGTGTGCATAATGAGTTACGCTTTGTGTTTTCTAAGCTGTCGGAGACTACAGATGCCACCAGATACTGACTCGGTCACCAAAGAGGCCGGTCTTCTTCACACTCTCATCTAGTGCGACTCAACTACTACAACGGCACCGTGAATGTTCCGACCGTTCCAGTCACCCCCACAGGCGGACTTAGCATTTTGCTACCCTAGGCGAACAAAGCTGACCCCCCCCCCCCCTCAGTCAGTGACCATCGGGAGCGGGGGATGAAAAAGGGGGAGGGGGGCAGGGGGGGAGGGGGGGAGTACCTAAGTTTGGAGTTCAATGTTTTAAAAATGGCTAGATTTGTAGATAGAATTTCCAAAGCAGCTAAATACAGAGCTAGAATAGAAGAAAGAGCCAATGAATTTAAGGCAGCTAGAAATTGGCTGCCCCAAAAATTCTGTCGTTCTAGGCAACTGCCTACTTTGGCAATTAGTAAGTCCGCCCCTGGTCACCACCCTTCCCCAGAGCGGCCAAGGAGACATGCCTACCGGAGACAGGGTTCTCAAAGATTGTGGGCGGAGTCAGGGCCTTGGCCTCTGCCATGTTAGGCTTGAACTGGCTCAGGCCGCCATTTTGTTTGCCCACCACCAGCTGCTTGCCCTTGGGACTCCACGCCACTGCAAAGAACCGCACGAAGGCAACGTCAAAGAGAAGAAAACAAGACAGAAGACAATGAAAAGAAAAACATCTGAAAAGAAGCCAAGGTAGCTAAAGAAGAAACCAGCAATGAGCAAGAGCAAAACGCTGCAACGCAGGAAGTTTTTAATTTAAATTTTGCGGCCTTTGCCCAAAGACTATTGAACCTACCGTAAAAGACCGAGCAAGTGCCCGAGCACACTTGTGGCTCTACGGCTAGATAACGCCTTTGAACAAACTACGCTGCAGAGAAACAACTTTTTGGCTGTCGATGGATGCATGCTAACGGCTGTACCCTCTAAAACGAACGGTAGCTTGCACCACCTAGCCTAGATCTTGTTGATTGAAACCAACGTTGCCAGTCACCCAAAGCTTTGTGTGAAATCGCAGGAATCACTTTTCCGACCTCCAGAAATGTCAAAAACAAACCGCAGCAAAGCAAAAAGATGTCGCCTAAGTTTCCCGAAGCCGTACCTAAAGCTTAGCAAATTGCATTTCGTAGTCACTCCGACCGTCAACAGCGCCAGCCCTGCGCCAAGTACCAAAACGGCTGCACCCACAAAGCGGTCGGGGAATCGAGCGTCGCTACTCTGAAGCGTAGCTCCTCCGGCGACTCTGGGGAACAGGAAGCGGCGACTCACGGCACGTGCCGCCCACCGTGGCGGGCAGGGTGCCCAGGATGCGCAGTCCTTCCCCGGCAAGCTCGTAGTTGGCCACGGTGCCGTCGGTGAGGCAGGCCGCAAACATCTCGCACACCACGGGGTTCCAAGCGAAGTCCCGCAGCCCCACTCCAGGCTTGGAGCCGAGTCGCACCGTCGCAATGGGCCGCGTCTCTATGACCTTCGGGGAAAGGGAGAGGCCGCTTTCAAGGTCTGGTAAAGACTATTCGTTCCCGAGTTTGCAAGAAAAAACTTCTTGACTTCTTGAAACAACACTGACACCCCCCCCCCCCCCCCCCCCCCACACACACACATACATTTTTGTTGTATTTTTTGGCAGGCGATTTATTGTGGTGGTCCATATTTTATTATAGTGCCACATATGTTTTTAATAAAGTAAAAAAATGTAACTGTTCGAAACCGAAACCTAAACTGGACTTGGGAGTAAGAAGAAAAATAGAGGAGGAGGGAGTAGGCGGAAGTCACGTGGCTGTGCAACTTTTAGGGCGCAGCTCTTGGGCGCCCGTTTCCGGCTTGAGCGGTGTCGGCGTCGTTGTCGGCGTAACCTTGTGGTGCATATGGGTAAATTTTCCCGCTAAATCTAGCGGAAAAATTTCCCCGCTAAATTGAGCAGAAAAATTTCCCCGCTAAATCTAGCGGAAAAATTTCCCCGCTAAACCTAGCGGAAAAATTTTTCGCTAGGTTTGTTCCGCTAGGTGGTTGAAGATTTGTTCACCCTTTAACCATTTTTTTTTTTTTTTTAATTCTGGGGAATTTCTGATTTTCAGTTGCTTAATGGTTGTCTTCAAAACTACATTTGTTTCCTTAAAAATGAAGTTTTCTAGCCACAAACAAAATAGAAGCAAAATTTTAAAATATGAGCACTGCCACAACTGCTGGTAGAGCCTCAAACTAAGACACGAGCAAGCCTAGTTCGTCCAAAACGATTTGAGTGCATGACCCGGTTAAAGCAGGCGAGCTATACTTGTCCTGAATAATTTGGGGACGGCTCCACTTTGATGAGCTAGGCTCGTCCAAAAACGATTAAAGAATGACTTTGTCGACTTTTTATAGTCTTCCATTTGGCTGGAAATTGGCACACCGGATTAAATAAGCCTTTCTCAACTGATAGCCAAAATATTTTATAAAAATAAAATTTTTTCGTGAAGTTATTGAATTTTCAAGTTACGCCGGCCGCAAGGTTCCCAGGAGGCGACTATCTGATGGCAACAATGAAAAATCCCTACTTTTCCCTACCCGCGTACATCACCAGTGGGCAGGCGGACAAGTGACCAGGGCAGTAGCGAAGCGGCTTTTCGGGCTTCAGCGATCGAGATTATTTTTAACAGCTTCAAGGTTGAAAGTTCCTTTGCAATGGGTAACAATCTGTGCTCCGCAATAGGCTGTAGGAACAGTGTCAGGAAAAGCTTAATTTTTTCTTTTGTTTTTGCGGGAGAAAAATTGCACTCCCTAGCAGCAATGGAGGCACCACGTCAAGGTGCTTCTGCGCAAGCTGTGCTGAGAGAACTAGCGTCACATGAAACATTTTCACTTGTGCTCGGAATACTTTACAGCCGCGTGCTGCGAGTTGAGTACCTTTCTGCAGCAGATAGATAGAACTAGATAGCTAGAACAGCTTGAACAGTGGCAAGTGCAGACTCAAGCCGGCTGTGACTATCGTGACATCCGTCTAAAAAGGAGCACTAATAATATTGATAAAAATAGTGCACATACTAGTACTATAGTCAACATTAGTCACATTTATTGTTAACTATTGCTGAAGTGATTTTTTTTTTTCTTTTTCTTCAAAAACATTATATTTGCTTTGGACATTGAATCTAGCTTGGGCTACTCTTCGGGTTTTAGTCACACGGCCAATCTGTTGAAGACGGGAAGTGAAAGGTAAGTCTGAGTTTAGACGTGACCTTCGATACATTGCTATTCGTGTCTAATATTAAAGAGGTCTAGGGAGCAGGCGTTGAGCTACATTAATATACGATTGAGCCAATGCCTGGTTTGTCAAAGGGTTGGCGTGCAATTTACTCTCGCAGAAGAGGTGATGAAAACATCCTTATTTTATTTTATTGCGGAGAAATGTTATACAGGACTGAAAAATTTTAAAAACTTCGAAAATATTAAAGTCGTTGAGTGGAGGCATGTAAATTTACCTCTTTGGAGGCTGCACAAAACCAAGACTTAATTAAAAAAAAAAAATCCTTATATAGAATTACTCTCTTCCCAAGTGCACTTGAAGATGGGTGTTTGAGCACAATGCTTAATGCATCGACAGTAAAAAAAAAAAAAAAATAAGGGTACACATTTTTTGGGGGTAACTGGTTAACTTATTTTGAATTAAACTTTTTATGGTGCATTTCTGTGCTTTATGCCTTTCATTGCAGCTTGATGTCTGGCTTGGTGGTTGTGGAGTTCTTTTAATTTCCATTTTGGTACAATCTTAATGAACAGTAACCTGCCATCTGGCCTACACGAACGCAGTTCATTCGATTCTATGCATTTCAATGTTTACGAAAATCACAACCTAGATGTGTTAGGTCACAGCCCAACACACGCATGTTCGTCGTTTTGGAAGGCAAGCAAAGTGTGCGTCACATGCATGAACGCTGAAAATGTCACCGACCACAAGCGCTTTTCTGGAATGGTTTATAGATATTTTGCTAAATTACTGAAGCACGAAGGAGCATATGCATGTTACAAGAGTAGCTATACGCGTGCTGGCATCTGCAACAGTAACTTTTTTAAAGAAAATCTAAAACAAAGGACACCTTCCTTCAGGTAATAAGAGCGTGTCGGGTGCTTGTACCCACATTCTGAGCATTCTCTGCGGTGCTTAGGTAATTTGTCAAAAAAATGTACTGTGTCTCTTGTACCTTTTTTTCGCCAGCGTAACTGCTAATTTCTGATAGAAGGAAAACAGATTTGCTAGCAATTTCATGAAACTAGAGAACCGTCGCTTAAAGGGACACTGACACCCCCCCAAATTTCTTTTTCCTTTTTTGTCAGGCGATTTATTATGGTGTCGGAATACTACCCAATTAATATTTTGCTACAGAGTCACATATTTTTTTAATAAAGCCAAAAAACGCAACTGCTCGAAACCGAAACCGAAACTCCCGCACCGCACAGAGAAGTGGAGAGGATAGAGTGAGTGGCGGAAGTCACGTGGCAACACCCAACCGTGCAAGTTTTTTTGTTTTTTTTTTCTTTTAATCTTTTCGCACGTAGCAGACGAAATGCGTTCGTTTGCCATGCGATTCCTTTGCAGTTATGTTTGTTCCGTTCGCTGTTATGTACTTCAAGATGAGTTGTTTTGTACATTTAAGCATTGGCAATTAGTAGTGAGTGCCCGAGTGCCGTGGTGAATTCCCGTGATCGGCTCCGAAAAGAATACTGCCAAGATGTTGTGTGAAGAGTTGCCTCACATGTCCTGCATCTGAAAGTGGCATTGTGCGGCAGAGTGCACAAGTTTCCGAAAGATCAACGGGTCGGGATCAATGGCTGACAGCAATTCCTGTAGAACAGTTGTGCGAAGCTCGGAAAGCGGACGCTACCTGATTCATATGCTCCTTACATTTTGTGGAACATGACTACATTGAGTTTGCAGGTGTCAAAAATGGAATCCCATACCATCTAGTACACCAACGTATCGTCCACAACAATTGTTTCTTTCGGTGATAATTGTAAAAAAAAGAAATGTAAACATCGCAAAATGCTTGACAATAAAAAAAAAATGGTACACCCACATCAGGGATTGAACCCGTGCCTGCTGCGTGTGAAGCGGACGTCTTTCCACTGAGCTACCGAAAGAACTCTTCATGCGTAGTAATGCAGCCGGTCGACTGTATGTCGGAAGTTTGCTGCCGATTCCTCTTCAATACATGCACCCCCGACTTGAAGTCGGGCAGCACCACGCATTGGCCACATTCGCACCTCGTAAAGAAACCGTACGCAGGCGTATTCAACTCGAAGCACGCACTTCATGCTTGACGTTTGAGCGAGCGATGTCTTCGGCCACGAGAAGGGGCGACGGCTCGGCAACATCTTTGTGCAATCGGCTTGCTGGTCGGGCGTGTCGTACGGGATGAATATCAGTTTTTTTTATTGGTCCTAAATTTCTCTTTCGAAGGAAGACAGAATTCGCCGGTACCGTAAATGAAAGTTCTGAAGTAGAGGTCCAACACCTGTTGTCCGCTGCCATCCACTAGTCCCACAATATGCAAAACGATGCCATGCTGAGATATGCAGTGAACGCACAGAATGCTTCCGGTTGTCTGTGCTACCTTTTTTTTTTTTCGATCAGTGTATTTGCAGCCTTTTGGAAGCCACAAAAAACGGGTTTCATATTGTTTTCTATTTTTAATATTGACTGTGTGCCTTCAATGACCCACGACTTTGATTAAATTTGGTGGTCGCGTCTAAACCTTAGAAAATGGCCCGTGACCACAGAAAAAAGAGTAAGCGCGATTCAAACCAGTCGGTCGGCAGTTTTCGGGAGGAAAGAAACCAAATTTCGAGTCGCAAATTCTGTTCTGGGTAGTTGGGCTCTCATATGTCACGTACAACTAAAAACCTTGGCGAGAATAAATACCTTGTCAGTGTCCCTTTAAGCGTACCAAGTTCCAAAGACGTTTTTTTTTCAAAATCTCAAATGCTTTCCGTGTTTTTTGTTGTTTTTTTACTTTCTCATAGTTCAGCACGTAGACCAAGCTCACACTCTGTGCAAATAGAGATTATTATCAACTTCAGAAAGCACAAACGCCCCCGTTTTCTTGCCGTTAGACCTGAAAAAGGCAGGCGCAAGTGTACCCGATTGCCGGCCGCGCGCCTCGCGGCTTGCCCGTGACGTCACATCTTGATGGCGGGGAAAACTGGGGAAAAACTAGGGAGAACGGTGTTTTGGTTTCGGCAGCGGACAAAATACTACTTTTTTTAATTAACTAAAGTGAATCTGGGCCACCAAGATAGCATTTCGGAATCAGGAAGCCATCTGCATTCAGATGATGCTTTTGGATTAAGTAGCTGAACAAATCGGCAGAGTTTCCCTTTAAGGGGTTAAGAGGCTTAGCGCGAAGAAGAGGGTCTCTTTCCTTAAACTCCCCCTTGCAAATATTAGGCAAGATCACAAAGTGAGTGGAAGAGGAACCTCTTTTCCAGGGAAGGCCCATCACTGCAGTTGCAAACGTCGATGTAAGAGGCCATCTCACCTAAAGACCCTCTATCTCTTTCCGTCCATCTTACAAGTGCTAGCAACAAATGCACCGACATAAGAGGCTGGGGCCTTATGCCACGCTTCGAAGCGAATGGCAGTGCAGCACTTGCACTGGGCTAGAGTCTCACAGTTTTGTACGCGAAATTCATAGAAGGGTCCCACCTGCAGTGCGAACCCGCGCACATCGTACATGTCCACGACAGGCATGCCGTCCCTGGCCACACCCACGGCCAGGGTGAGGTCGTCCGCGCTCAGGGCCACCAGCAGCGTGGGCCCCGTGGTGGGCAGGGCGCGGAACGGGCAGTGGCCGGCCGGCTGCTTACTGCCGGGGCCTTCCTCTGCATCGCAGTTCTGCACATCCTCCAGCCGGTAGATCTTCACCCCTGCGTGAGGAAAGAAAAAGAAAATGGCTGTTCGGAGAAAAGCAGGGGGGCAGCGGGGGGTAAAGACGGGAGCAGAACATGGCAAATTGCGATCACTGACATCAGTGGTCATGAGAGAGAGAACGAGAAAGAAAGCACCAAAAGAGCAGAAAAAGAAAGCACACGATAGAATGGGTGTGTTTATTTTGCCATGACAGCGTGAAGAAGTTTGAGCACTTGGCAACCTTATTGCTTTTTACACAACACGCGACGTCGGCATTTTCCACCAAGTACGCACCAAATGAAACTAGAAAAAATTAAAGACGTTTACAATTCTCTGTAATGCCGAATTAGAGTGCAGCTCTTGAGGAGGAGGAGGGGAAGGTCACGTGCGACGTCAGACATGACGTCACGTGTGACGTCACGAGGGTAAAATTTTCTCGCTAAATTTAGCAGGAAAATTTCCCCGCAAAATTTAGTGGAAAATGTTTCCCGCTATATTTAATAGGAAAATTTCCCGCCATATTTAGCGGGAAAATTTTGCCCTCGTGACATCACACGTGATGTCATTACGGGAAACGTCCCATAATGCAACACGAGGTTATGCCGACGGCGACGCCATTCAAGCCGGAAACGGGCACCTAAGAGCTGCGCTCTAAAACAATGGGAGCAGAGGTTGCAAGAAATGTTTTCCCGCTTCTTTGCACATATTAAAGCGACTTCAGCAATTGAGGCCCGTCTGGACCACCTATGGACCACCGATGTTGCATCTATGCCCAGCCGTTCCGTAGCGGCCGCAATGCAAAGGTGTTTTCTTTCTAGAGCATTATATTAACTCTATGAAGAAAAGGCATGGACCATGTCATCGGTTCTCAAACATGGTTCCAAGGAGCCCAGGGTACCCTTCCAGGTTCCGTGAGCCCTCCGATTTCCTTGATCATTCCTGCCCACACGTAAAAGGCTTTTCCAGTTTAAATACTGCTTTTGCAGATGCGAGCCACCCTTTGACACATAACTATGAGCAAACACTCCCTGGTAAATGCATTATTGTTAACAAGGTCTGGAGGCTTCTGCATTGTTTTACTACATCAATGCTGAGAGCAAATGGGTTCCTTGGCTTCCATTCAAGGCTGATAAAAACTCTGAGATTGAGAACCCCTGGACTACGTACTAATATGCAGCAATGTTCCTTCGCCATATCGAAGGTGGGACAGTACTCAACCCTTTGTGGTCAGATACTCTGACCAACTTAATGGTCGCTCCGGTCAGACACTATTTTGGACGCATGGGCCACGGAAAAGTAAAATTTCGGCGTACAAAAGAAACGTCTCACACTGATCGGTAAGTACAGAAAACTCCGGAGGATTGCTAGTGGACAAACTCCAGGACGACAATTGTCGCAGCCACTGTTTTGCGCAGTCATTTCATCTTCATCCCTACTTTCACACAAGTCGTAGAGGACGTCTCCTCATCAACTGACGGAGGGAAATAGTCGTCCTCTTCACTGAAATCGTCGCCACTTTCAATTATATTACGCGAAAAGTTACCATAAAACGAGCGCAGCTGTAATGTGGCCATCCCTTGTGCCAGCAAAGTTGAAATTTGCGAGCTCCTCCGTAGGCTGTTTAGGATTTGTTCAGCCCTGTATAAGAAAAAACTTGAACCCTTTCAAGAGTGAAGTGATTGAAGTGTTAAAGGAACGTTCCAAGAGATGGCGCCACAAATCCATAATAAAAGAGCAAAGGAGCATGTTTAAACAAACGCGGGAACGCGTGTCGGGCCACGCCCGACTCCTGACCTGAAGCGTGTTTCTCCAAAGTCAGGCGTGGCCTGACACATGACCGCAGAAGGTTAAAGGGGCAATGCAATAATCTTAACTTGGAAAGAATTTGCAGTTCTTAACTTTTACATTGTTCACCTTACCAAAAAAAGATAAAGATACCACCTTATTCTTTTGAAATGTTGCGATTCCGTTGTGTAATAGCGAAGCAAAGAATTAAAATATTTCGCTGTTTGCAGCTGCGGAGTGGCAGTAATGGGAACTAAGGCATTACACACACCTGGGAGCATTGTAATACATTGGCAAGATGTGTCATTATGAGCTCAATCTAATGTTGAATTTTATAAATATTGTTGTTTCAAAATGAATGAGTAAATGCGTCAAAAACCTCACATCATCGAAATAGTTGTACTATAATCAGTTTTTGTGGTGACATCTGCCCAAGGTAAAAAAAACTACCCCTCCCTTAAGCCTCACCCTATTGCTACCTTGTTAGTCCAACTTCCTTACAGCAAGGAAAGCGCTTCGCACACCCTTCACCCCTCCCCCCTCTCCAGATAACTCAGCCTAACCTTCAAGGTCGCCATATGAATCACAAGCAGAGGATCCGCACGCTGAAGGTTCTGAGAAAACCCAAACGAACCCTCCGTGTACTCGGGAACATGTCATGGCGCACGTGACTCAGAAGACGGTGTAATAGTTGAAAGTGGTTTGGAGGTGCACACAGTGTCCATTGTTTGACAATTTTTTAAAAAAGAACTAACACACACAGGCAAAATTGGTTTTCAGTTTGTTAATTCAGACATGACAGGGAACAACTAATTATTTGACCGAAGCCCAAACAATGTTGCACGGCGCCTTTAAACCGTGTCGCCCAATAAAGACCGAGCGTTTGTTTGACGTTGTTTTCGGATGATAAGTCTTCACCCTGTCAGGGAAAATGAAAAACAAAAAAGTGCAACCAAGGAGAAGACGTGGACTATGAACGACCAGCAAAGTCCCTCCTCCTATGCCAAAGGTTGCACAACATTTGAAGAGAACAAAACAATTTTTTGTTTTTTGCCAGGCAATTCGTTATGGTGTCAGAAGGCTATCCATTCAATATTTTGCTACAGCATCAGACATATTTTAAATAAAGCAAAAAAAAACAACTGATTAGAACCGAAACCAAAACTGGACTGGGGAGAAAGAAATATAAGAGAAGGAGAAAGTTACCGGAAGTCACGTGGCTGTGCAAATTAATTTTTTCGATCGATGTATTTGCAGCTTTTTACAAGCCACAAAAAATGGGTATCATATTTTTTGCCTATATTTAAAATTGAGTGTGTGCCTTCAATGACCCACGACTTTGATTATCTTTGGTGGTTGTGTCTAAACCTTAGAAAATGGCCCGTGACCACAGAAAAGAGAGTGAGTGCGACCCAAACCAGCCAGTTCTTGATCGGCGGTTTTCGGGCGGAAAAAAAAAAAAACGAATTTTGAGTCACAAATTTTGTTCTGGGTAGTTGGGCTCTCATATGTCACGTACAACTAAAAACCTCGGCGAGCATAAATACCCTGTCAGTGTCCCTTTGATGCATTTAGAAGATGTCTACTACTACTGTGTGCAATCAAGGAAGTTTTACATAGCACATTCTGCCATATTTCACCGAACATTTAAAGGGACACTGACACCCCTCAAAAAAATTTTTTTATTTTTTGCCAGGCGCTTTATTATAGTGTCGGAGGACTACCCAATTAATATTTTGCAACAGAGTAGCGTATTAAGCCAAAAGACGCAACTGCTCGAAACCGAAACCGAAACCCGACGGAGGTCGGTGAAGTGGAGAGAAGAGAGTGAGTGGCGGAAGTCACGTGGCTACACCCGACCGTGCGTTTTTTGTCTTTTTTTTTCTCCTCTCCGTAGCAGACGACGCGACATGCGGCGTGCGGGAACTGCTCGCCGTGCGATACTTTTGCAGTTATGTTTGTTCCGCTCGTTGTTCTGTACTCCAAGATGAGTTGTTTTGTACATTGAGGAGTTGGAGATGAGTAGTGAGTGCCCGTGGTGAATTTCGATGATCGGCTCCGAAAAGAATACACCCAAGATGTTGCGTGAAGAGCTGGCTCACATGTCCTGCATCCAAAAAAAAGTGGCATTGTGCGACAGAGTTTCCGAAAGATCAACGGGATCGGGACCAATGGCTGGCTGCAATTCCTGTAGAACATATACGGACACCTCGGAAAGCGGACGCTACCTTATTTATACGCTCCTTGCATTTTGTGGAAAGTGATTACATTGAGTTCGCAGGTGTCAAAACGGAAATCCCATACCATTTAATTCAGCGAAGTATCGTCCACAACATTTGTTTGTTATTTTTTTTTTTTGTTTCTTCAGTGATGATTGTAAAAAAAAAAATAAAAAAGATATTGAAACATCAGAAAATGATAGAAAGAAAAAAAAAAAAAGAGCTTTACGGGGGATTGAACCCGGACCTACCGCATGTGAACCGGACGTCTTTCCCAGTGAGCTACTGGGACATCTCTTTTATGGTGGATCTTTTTTCTTAGTAATAATTCAGCCGGTAAACTGTAAGTTGGAAAGTTTGCTGTCGATTTTTCTCTAGCAAAAGCACTCCCGGGTCGAAGACGGGAAGCACCACGCTTTAGGGACATTCGCACCTTGTAAAGAAATCGTACGCGTGCATATTCAACTCGAAGTAGACACGTCGTGCTTGACGTTTTCGCGAGCGATGTCTTCAGCCACGAGAAGGAAGCGACGGCTCGGCGACGTCTTCGTGCAAATCGGCTTGGTGGTCGGGCGTGTCGTACGGGATGAATACCAATTCTTTTTATCAGTCCCAAATTTCTTTTTTAACGGTAGACAGAATTCGCCGGTACCGCGAACGACAGTTCTGAAATAGAGGTCCGTCGTCCGCTGCCATCGCCGTCCCCGCGAGTCCCACGATACGCGAAACGACGAACGCACAGAATGCTTCCGGTTGTCTGTGGAACTTTTTTTTCAATCAACGTATTTACAGCTTTTTAGAAGCCACAAAAAATGGGTTTCATAATTTTTTTTATTTTTAATATTGAGTGTGTGCCTTCAGTGACCCACGACTTTGATTAAATTTGGTGGTTGCATCGATACCTTAGAAAACGGCCCGTGACGGCGAAAAAGAGAGTGAGCGAGACTCGAACCGGCCAGTTCTCGATCGGCGGTTTTCGGGTGGAAAGAAACCGAATTTCGAGCCGCAAATTGTGTTCTGGGTAGTTGAGCTCTCATATGTCACGTACAACTAAAAACCTCGGCGAGCATAAATACCCTGTCAGTGTCCCTTTAAACTCTTCTCTAGTATGGCATCTTTCTGCTTTTTGTAGCTATTCTTTGTTACGAAAATAATAGAATGCGAACATGAAGTTTTTTCTTACATAACTGCTTTATTGCACGCAAAATTTTGTTACAAGTTTGTCGTTTGCATTTATACTAATAACTTTGGTCTACAATGCAAAATTACCATAATATCCCGTATGAATGCTCTCCCACGAGAGATGGCCCATCCCGTTTTTCTGGCTAAATTTCCATAGGCTAAAAATTCCAAAACCTCGCCCACGTCCCCAATTCCTGTTGGATATGACGCAATGTCCGACGGGAACCACATCAATCGCACAAACTACGGTATTGACGTGTGACAAGCGAGCTCGGTGCAGGTTCTCGCGAGTCTATTCACCATTAAATTCGAGTTTGTGGGACGCGAACCTGCCGTGACTGCGATCTGCAGTATCAATTTCTGTTTCATGTCGTTGATAGCGCGTGCCATGGGGGCTCATCGCCTGCACAATAATTTTCGCCATTTATCTCTTCGAAATAAGTGAGCGTTCTTATGGGATTTTATTGTAGACCAACATAGACTACCTTATCCCCCATGCTAACTTTTTTTTCTCTTTTAGGGAGAGGAAGGGACATGACTTACCTTGCGTGCAGCCGGCAAACAGGAGGCCGAACCTAGACGATGCTGCGAGCAGACCGATCGCATCAGCCGCAACAGACTCGTTGTCCAAGGTCACGCTTATTGTGCGACACGGGTGGAACAGGAAATTCTGGGGAGGAAGGGAAGGCCGGGTGTTGGGGGGGCGTTCACTCTCTCCGGAGTCGTCCCAAGACTCACCGTTGTCCACCACTGGCTACACACCACCCTAGCGTGCCTGGTGAACTTTCCCTATGCATGACTACTCGTGGGCACAGACATCTGTTACATAGATGTTTAAGGGTGTGGTAGAAGACTGATAGGTCTTTGATATGCAACTTCTTGCATTCCAGATTGATCTTAGGCAAGAATATGGCATCAGCAATATTAAGGTTATACAAAGCTTATTTTAGAACACCAACTTGCTTGCATTTGGAACTAGAAGGCGATAAAAGGGAAAAGTGAAGGCAGCAGGCTGCTTAGTTGCACCGCTGCACGACCATTACACTGGTGGAGAGAATGGAATATACTTTCGATTCGTTCAAGCCAAATGTAACAAAGGTTGAGATAGTGCAATCAAACAACATACAACTGGGGCTTTGGACACATCAAATAAAAATTTGGAGCCAAAAGTTTGCGGAGCGTGCCAATTGGATTTTGGTGGCAAAAGCACACCGTCATCGTCACGAAAGTCCAATCGGCGCATTCTGTAAACTTCGACCCCAACTGTGTGTTCGACGAGTCAAGGGCCCTTGACCTCAACAAACAAAAAGCAGACTAGCATGGGAAGGTGACACGAAAGACTCCGTCTAAGTGGCAACCTACACCAAACTCTCGTCTACAACGTTCGCTTAATGGGTATCCAAACAGGATACTTCGGAACACGTGAGGCAACACTTCTCCGCGATGTGAAGTGAAAGTTGAAGTCTGCGGTCAGTCCTCTGCTTGGACATCCACCAGACAAACAGAACTGCCTCCTTGCTCTTAGCCTCCTCTGCTTCTTCTTCTTCTTTTTTTTTTTTTTTGTTACGTTGGTTTTTGTCAGATTTGACGTTACACACAACCTGCGTACCGTACCAACTGGGGGGGGGGGCAAGGGGGCACTTGTTCCCCCAGTTCTCAGACTGGGGGGGAGCAAGTCATGTGTTTTGCCCCCCCCCCCCTCTGAAACAGCCACCACTGGGCAGAAAACACTGGCCGACGGTGCCCAAGGGATTTAAAGGGCACCGCCCCCCGGTCCTCGGGGGGGGGGGGGGTCTGGTTTGCCCCCCTCTCAAAATCAAGTTGGTACGCTACTGGGTGTGCCTGTTGCCTGTCCACCTGATCTGGTGTACCCTTTGCCGTTATTGGGACTTGAAGATCAGTGGAGTCCTTGAGCGATTGAGCGACAGCCAACAGAGCGCACAATGTCCGGACTCATGCGATGAGCATGCTCTAGGCCTTCGTGAGGGACAAAATCAGACGTTAATAACCTCGTCCCACTAGAGTGAAAAACAATGATTTTTGTCCGGCGACATCACAAAGGTCTGCGTCACTGAAGCTGTCCCACTGTAATGACCAACAACACCGACCAACAAGCGACCACGGATGAGCTCTTGTCTGTCGTTGGACTTGAAGTGCCGCAAGCAGTCCCACTGAGGAACATCTCTCGGAGACAAACTTATCCTCCTCGCCCTCTTGTACCCTCTGTTGCCTCTTTGCCCACCCTTCTACCCTTCCTCCCGTGGCTTGCTCCGCCACTCGACCTTCAGGGAAGTCCTTGGCGGCCAGTGATTGTTCCCGCAGTTCCCGTCCCTCCATTGGTCATAGCAGTCACAAGCACGGCTTGCTTGCTGGTGGTCGTGTTGCAACAGGGAATTTGCTGTGGCTGGTTTTGCTCGCAAAAACTTTGTGCGCAAGGTGGTGCTTCAGGACGCCGAGGTGTGTGCCCCTGCATCAGGATGGATACACCCATGTTCAAGGACTGACCAAAGTAAGACCGCTCACCACGAAGTAGGCCACGACATTCCAGCAAGCCATTCGGGCAGACAGGAGTCTTGTCATCACGTTCTGTGATAACTGGGATGCTGTATTGTCCCCCAAGAAATGCCTGCCCTCGATCATTCGGATATGAACTTCTAAACATCTTCAAAATCGGCGTGAAATTCCGTGGCGCTCATCTAGAATGCCTTGAATGACCTAAAAAAAGGAACGATTCAGAAATTCTAATTCGGAAAAAGTTTGGTATCGATTGTCCCGACTGCTTGCGAAAAGTAGCCAACAGCAAATGAAGACTAGCGGAAGCTTTAATCAAGAAATAAAGCAATCGTCTCCACTTTCCCCATGTTTGTCGGCGCATTTCCCGCCCGAAAAGCAAAACACGAAAACCGCGTCGCCAGACTCTGTTTGTCTGTATTTTGAAATGTTTTGTTGACAACTCCAATCCCACTAGGAAACAAGTTTCCTTGTCCCCGTGTTCTGCATCGAGCCCGCCAGGTGGGACAGCGGACTCCGACAAACTAGGGTGCCTAGATGTCTGTCTGTGTCAGGGTGAGGACATCCATTGTTGCCCTGAATGTGCCAGCGCGTGACGTTCTCGCACACTCGGTGCGTGAATCGGGCGGTAAAATGGCGTCTATGCATTAGCCAAAGCTACGCGCTCGAGCTGAGCGACACCGGATTGCGCGCACTTCAAAATGAATAAAAAAAAACGATTGAGCGGAAAAATGGCTGAGATGTCACCACTCAAGCAAAAGCGCGCGTGTGTATGAAGGCACTCTACGACAAACAGGCTGTCTGTCTGTCGGTGTCATCTGTCGCTCGTTGTCGTGTGTCGCTGTCGTTTGTTGCAGTTTGTCGCTCTAGTGGGACGCGGCTATGACAAACCCCCCCCCCCAGAAAGAAAAGGACGGCAGCGGATTGCCGCACTTCATATGGCGAAGAAATGTCACTTCACGCGTTCTTGAAGTGTCCTGTTTGGACAGCCCTTTACAGCTCATACTGCACCGGTATTGCACTATGGATAGTGTCTTTTGTCAACAACTATACTCACTGGGTTTGGCGTTGTGGATCCCGGACCACTAGCCATGGCTTTAAGGTGCGAGCGAAAACAGCTTTGGAGAAGTCGATACGCAGCACTTCAAACTTCTCCCGGTTTCCTGAAAGAGGCGGGCATGAAGTAGACGTCAGTGTGATGCAGTTCAGAATGTGGCGCAGCAACCAGTCGTGGCAGTGAATTTAGCTTCAGCGCAATAGACTGCTTACAGATGCGATAGAAGAGATATACTGGTCCTAGAGACGTGTAACGATCGTTGTCCGCGTCACATGGCGTTATATTACACGAATAAATTGACGTGTTTTATCTCGCCCAACAGGGACCGCGAGGGACAGTCAGATGCAATCACAAATCACTTTTTTTTAATAACCCCCTACCCGTCTTAGGAGTAAAGCCGCTTAATCACTCGATCTAAGCGACGGACAAATTACGAAGCGTTTGTACCAGACCGAGAAACCAGAGAAACTCACGTTTGATGCTTCGAAACTTTTGAAACACAAAACTGAGGAACTCCCGGGAACTCCCCACATTTTCTTGTTGGCTTATAAACCGCGCACTGCACTCTCTGGTGCCAGAATCGCTTGGATCGTGATATTTCACTCGCGCTCTTAACGTCTAGCCGCATATCGCTATGTTTATAGACTCTTAAAACCTAATTAAATATTATTTGAAATTATAAAATTATAAAGTGAGTAGTTTTCACCTTATTTTTACTTCACTTGGGGCTTTTGAGGCAGTTTTCCTGCTACTCAGAACTTGACAAGAAAGATAAATCGTGATCGCCATCTGCTTTTCATCTTCCGTCTTTTCGTGCTCCGCAACCGCAAGTCGCCGAAATGCCGATTGCGGACACTTCGTAAGTACTTTTAATGATATATTTTACGATATTATGTGGATTGAAACTTGATAATGGATCTCTGAAATCGTTTTTTCGCGCAGGAACAAACCAAGCTGGGCAGATCGAGTCGAGCAAGGGGAAGGTGAGCTGTCAATATGTTAGGGTTACTGCGAAGCGCTGCCGACACGCTGGATTTTGGACATTTTGCGACCAATCAAGACAATATCTTTCTCGGCATTTAGACCATTTGACCTCGTCTGCATGTCAGATCAATTATATTTGCGGTCAATCGTTCTGGTGTAATAATATATAGCATTACAAGGTGCCTGCGTTGCTGTACCAACCTTTGCGTTTGATCGCACATAAATGTCTACCGAAAAACGCTACTCGCCCAAACTTCGCTCTAAAAACGGGTTTACTTCCATTCTAAATTGCCATTTTTGTATACAGGGTTATGCATTCATAGGCGCCATTTTTATCATTACCCCAAGAGCGTGTCACGAACAGTGAGCTTTCACTGGGCTCATTTTGCACTGTCACACTTGGTAGTTTCATGCCATGTGACAAGAAGCTATCTCGTCTCCTAAAGCAACCGGATAACCCTGCGCAAGACGCCCGTCGTTTCGGTTCAGCAGGGATCGCCGAATTGTCTTTACACCCCAAGAGGGCGCGAGTTGCACTCCATTTCAGGTTGAAGTCAGTGATGTGATTGCTGCGCCAATTGCGCCAAACTGCGCCAAGAGGTGAACCCTGTTACATCCTGCTACATTTTGCCAAAATAGGGGTAATCTGCGCCAAGCCTGCGCCAAAAGACGAATTTTGGTCGTCTTTCAAAACCGAAACTAAACTGAGTACCGTAATTGAGCATGCATGAGCTAGGTAGCGCAAGCGGCCGCCCAGCTGAAAATACCCTGTATCAATCGTCCATCCGGTCTTGCATAGTTTTTCTCGCCACCTCTCGTTTCACGCTCTCGTCGTTCCTTTTTCTCGTCTCGCGTCTTTTTAAAAACTATTTCTACGATAGACGTGGGCGTGTGTTGACGCTTCAGTGCTTCAGTCGTCGTTCAAGGCGCTCCAAGCACATATTTGACCCTGACTCGCGATGTCTTGTTTTGACCTGACTCGATCAGGTTTTTTATTTTTTTTTCTGTGTGTTTAGCTTGTACCTCGCCTGCTGGCCGGTCAAGCACTTGCCGCTGGACTGTTTTTTTGTCGTATGCTGGACAATTATTACGTTTTGCATACAATTTTGGGAACCAGTTGGCGACGGGGCGGAGTGGCATGGTGTATGTTTCGATCGAACAGCCATCTACGCTCGCGCGACGAAGTACATGCAAATGCAAGCTGCCGAAGTTGCCCTCATGTGCATGCGAACATGACTGCACGACAGAGACACCAGTCGGGACGCTTGCAACCCATTTTTTTACGTTTGCTTACTTTTGACGAAACTCTGGCACGTCGGGAACCAGTAAAACGGTGGCAAGCGGTTTTTCGGAATTGCTCGGCAACGGCTACAGCACTGTTCACTTGTGGGATGTCTCAATGTTTCTTTGGAGACATTGAAAGTGGTAATTCAATACTAGCCAAAGGCAAAGCGAGGCTTGCAGCAGCCTTGTAGAAAGTTTTAGAAAGCTAAAAGAAAAGCGCCTGGTAGTCTTAATGCACCTTTGTCTTTTATACAATTTCACATTGCAGTGCAGTAGTTACGTGTTTCATCAGTCGGAGACAGCTTCCATTTATTATATTATATAGCTACTGTAGTGAACCTAATGCTGTGATATCTACTAATAAGCTGATTATTTTCAAATAAATTTGAATATGTGCAGTTTCGTTCTAATTTATCTATAAAGGCACATATATATGTATAATTTAACTGAAGCATTGCGAAATGTGTCATGTCATTGGCATTTCAGTTACATGTTGAAAGACTCCCAGGTGGCCGAACTTGACCATATTTGTCTATTGCGGCGAGCGCAGTGTCCTTCGTTCGTCCAGCACTTAAAACAAATGTTTTTTTTTTCTAAGAATATCTGCTCCAAAAGCCACTTTTGCTGCTCCGAAACACTGTTTTGGCTGCTCCAAAAGCAACTTTTGTTGCTCCAAAACACTGTTTTACCTGCTCCAAAGGCGATTTTTGCTGCTCCAAAACACTGTTTTGGCTGCTCCAAAAGGTGCTCCAAAATGGCTTGGGCCAATCACATCACTGTTGAAGTATATTTATTCTTTCGTGTAGCTTCTCCTTGGGGAGCTCCCTTCAAATCCTCTATCTGTATTTTCTGTGCACGCAGATGCCCCTTTGCCACAGCTGCCGCAGCTGACCCCGACGCCGCAGCTGCCAGTCAGCGATGTTGGTGATGGCGAAGCGAAGGTTACCACCGAGTTTCGGGAGAATGAAGACGGCAAGAAAGTGAAGGTTGGTTCTGCGCCATCTTGCCCTCCACTCACGTGTACAGGCCCATCCTCTCTAAAACGCGAAACAGATGTACGACAAAACCGCCCAATCCGACGTCCGATCAGGCAATACGACGGTCGGAGGCGAGGGTTTTCAACGCTCTCCGGTGCTACGAAAACACTCGCCCCCGAAGGTCATTCCGGCAGTTTGCACGTCTAATCGGACGGTTTCGTCGTACATGTGTTTCACGCTTTATTCCCACTTTGCACATAAAGGCCCGTTCACACTCTTGCAATCGAGTACAACCAAGAGTGACGAGACTTGTTAAAACCTCTTAAAATTTCTTAGGAAAAGAGAGCACGCTGGCGCCATCTATGTGATGATCCTGGAACTGCATTCAGGGTGTCTACCAACCGGGAAAACCGGGAATTCTCAGGGATTTTGAATAGTCTGGAAAATCTCAGGGAAAACTCTGGGAATTTTTGCTTCTATCAGGGAATTTTTTTTTAACTTTTTTATTTTTATTTTTAAAAGTGTTACAGATGGATTCTCACAGTCCAAAATTCTTCAGATATCAATGGAATGGGCCTAACGTACAGTCGAGCCCGGTTATATCATACCCGTGTATTTAGAATTATTGTTTATATGAAACAGTCCAAACAGCCCCTAGAAAATCACATTGTTTTTCTGTATCGAACTCCCATGGCGGGGACACTCGATGTAACGAACGAAGACAAACCACGGCTGTTCTTCGCTTCTCCTCCCGGGGTCGGATTGCGCCGGCGGTGAGCACATAGCTGGGTTTGCGGGCTGGCAAACCGCCAAGCCAGCATACGCACATGCGGGGATACGCAGCAAAAAGCAATTGTGTAAAAAAAAAAAAAAAAAAATAGAGGATGGCAAAAGCAAGGGGAAGGGCACCCGCGCGCGTAGGGAGGGCAGGGAGGGCCCGCTGTTAGAACGGTCGCGTGCATTCCTTTCTCCGAACACCGCTGTCGCTGCGTGACCCCTTAACGCCAAAATAAAGAGAAAAAAAATTGCCAAGTGGAGTGTGTTGACAACAAGGGTTGAGCAATCGCACTTTGAACGCCTTGCCTTTGTTCACCTTTTTCTTTCCCCCTTATTGCTCCCGTTTTTCTTTTAGAGCGCAGCTCTTGGGCGCCCGTTTCTGGCTTGAGCGGCGTCGCCGTCGGCGTAACCGTGAGAGCTGTGACCCCCCCCCCTTTCCCCCTCCATGACGGGGGGGGGGGGGGGGGGGGGGGGGTCGGTCAGGGTCGGGGGTCGGTCGGTCACGTAAACCTCAGTTTACCTTTTTTTTATATTTTATTCGCTATGAAGTTTACTAACCACTCTGTTCTGTTTTTTCTTTGAATCTAATAAAAGTTACTCGTTACCATTAAAACTGTATTATGTAATTTTTTTATTTTATAACATGCTTTTTAGAGAGTGACAGCATCTGGCGACTTGGTGTCAGCCCATCTTGACCTAAAACAAAGTTCTGTGTCACTCAGGAAATTTCACAAAAGTACTCAGGGAAAACCTGGAAAACTCAGGGAATTTGAAAATGTCATGATTAAAATAGCGCAAAATTTGACAAGGACAAAATGAAGGCACACGTAGAACAGGACTGGCGCTTACTTCCAACTAAGTTTATTTGATCATCAACCAAGCAATATATACCATCGCCAGCAAGCATAAAAACCCCAAAACACACAAAAAATATACTTTAAGATTATATGCCTACAACGCGCCGTTCTTTAGATAAAACCATCAAGAAAAACTATTTCTTTGTCAATGAGACGTACCGACGGCATGCTGACGCACTTGTCTCCCGCTTTTTTGATAAAAAACGCCTCTACAATTTCCCTCTCTGTTTTGTCTCTTGCTTTCTTTAGGAACTTCGTCATATTCAATAGTGGTTGACACCCACATCGTTTTGCGTGCTCAGCAAGATGACCACCCGAATTGCTTCGTACAGACTGTGTTCACGCGCTCTCTCATTGAAACAACGACCCGTTTGTCCAATGTAAACGCAGCCGCAGCTAAAGGGAATTTCATAAACAACCCCACTTGTGCAGTTAGTGTACATGACGGCATGTTTTTTTGCGCATTGATCACTTTTTTTCCTTGTAAGCATAGGACATATCTTGCCAAGCTTGCAGGGAGCCGAAAAAAGGAGATTAATACCATATCTACCAGCAATCTTTTTCAAATTATGCGATACCCTGTGCATATAAGGCACGACTTGCACTCTTTTTTTGTTGATCTGTTCCAAAGTATGTTTTTTATTCTGTGACCCTTTAAGTTTCTGTAATAGGCTCTCGCAAACGTTTGACAGTAACATGTTAGGGTAGCCTGCAGATTTTAACTTCCTAAACTGCTGATCGAACGCGGTTGACATTTTGTGTTCGCAACTTTTTGTGAGGGCAGCCAGTAAGCAATTAGTAGCTATTCCTCTTTTTATGAGTTTGGGATGGGCACTTTCAAATGACAAAAGACTTTTTTTGGATCGCGGGTTGTATATCCAGCACAAGTGTTGCCTAGAGAACTTCACTTCATTTTGTCCTTGTCAAATTTTGCGCTATTTTAATCATGTCTAGTAAGAACCAACTAGCCCAAACAAAAGTCGTTTTGAAAATGTCAACTTGGTAGACGCCCTGGCATTTCACAAGTGCGAAGGTTTTGCGGGATTTCCGAGGTCAAATGTGCGTAATACCTATAAGAAAGGCTCGTTTATAACGTTGACAGAAGTTTTTCGAGCCAAGAAACAAAGGATAATGCGGGAGAGAAATAGAAAATATGCCGGACCGGCAAGTTTACACTACTACCCAATAGATAGCGCCAGTGTGTCCTCTCGTTGTGTGAGGTTTCAAGGAACCCAGTTTTAAGAGGTCGCAAGGGTGTGAACGGGCCTTAAATTCATTGCTGAAATTGGGAATGTGCACTACAAGAGGCAGTGATTTCACTTCTGTGCCAAATGTGCCATTTTGTGCCAAAGGCAATTTCCTGCGCCATCCTGCTAAAAATACGGTATATTGCACCAAACTACATGGCTTGCCGAATTAGGCGGCGACTCGCTCCACCTACCCTAACCACGCGCAACCAAAGACACCTAGCAGCTGTGTTTTCAACCCAGTCAACTGCTATCAGCTAGCAGAAACTACCAAACTAGCAGTTTGGCTTATACGTCCAAGCGCTCCTCTCACAGTAGATACTAAGTGTAACATGTTTATAAGCGCCCCTGCGTCCCGTTTGCTCAACGTAATACTCATAAGTTGCATCAACAGTTGTGTCAGCTTGTCTTGTATGAGTGAGATCTGCTTAGTAGTCTCTCACATTGAATTTTTATGAAAGATACATTTTTCATAGTTAAGCCCGTGGAGACCAACACTACAAAGTAACTTATATTGTCTACAGCAAACAAAAATCTTGGTAGGAGATTTGCAAACTTTGTAACTGAATTTTACAGACCATAATATTTCATAACTGCATGCTCAAAAGTATTTAGAAAGTGATATTTAGATGCTCAAAAGGGCTCCCAGTTTCATGTTTATGTGTTCCAAAGTTCTTTAAAATCTATCTTTGGGTGCTCTGAAGTGCTCCAGAGCAGGGGTTTCCCCAGGAATTGAAATTGGGGGGAGGTGAGGCAGGCGAGGCGAGGCAAGGCATTGAGAATAAGGAGTCATGAAATAAGGGGGTGTTTTCAGAAAAACAAGGGGGGGGGGGGGGAATCACTGCTCCAGAATTTGTCTTCAGGTGCCCCACCATTGCTCCAAATCACAATTTTGCAGTAGCATCATTGCAAGAGATGATCAGAAGCATAAAAGCCTACGAATGAAAGTGAACGAAGCACATATTTTTTAACACTTCCGTAATATCGCGAGAGGTCGCCCACCTAAAATCGAGAGCAAATAGTTTTATAAGGAGAGTGCAATCAGAAAGGGTTCAAATCATAATTCTATTTTTAGATCATGTGACCTGCCAAACTTGTTACCTCAGCAAGGGGTGTATGAAGCAAACATAACTGTCCTCAGTCGTCAATGTTTTTGTTTTGTTTTGGTTTTTTATTTAATTTCATTTTTGTTAGTCAACATTGTCCAGGACGCAGCATTTATTAAAAGTAAATTTACTTTCGATGGTTAAAAAAAAAACGTCATGCCAGAAATAGGTCTGGGTTATCTTTCAGTGTTGTGGAATTGTTCCCAGTATATCTGCAAATGCTGTGCCATGCCCTAGTATGTTTGCACATTGACCATACTGCGGCACAGTAGGGGTTAGACATCTTTGGGTCAAACCCTCTTTTACCCACTGAATGTATTTCGCACGTTGATATTGAGAATTCGTGTCGAGCCAAGTTTCTCCAGCACACAAGGTATGGTGTACCCATTCAAAGCAGCCTATTTCTAGCGCTTGTTTGGTTGAGGTGCCAGAGCAGGCCGCTACTGGGCAGAAATGAATTTATTAAAAACGCAAAGACTTCTAGCAAAGTTGTTTTCCAAATGCTACCGATTGTGTAAAAACAACAAAAGCCGACAAAATCTGTCGGCTTTGGTACTCAAAAATTTAAATTGCATTAAAAGGAAACCCTTAATTTCTCCCTTTTTGTTACAAACTATGTTTTAGTTTTTACGTTTTAGTCAGTTTTTCGTAAGTTATGCCACTGCGTGTCGGTTAGCTGTGCGTTCTCGACTTCGGTCGGCCGTGCAGCATCCAGTATCTAAAAAACGGCACAATGTTTTTTGTTTTTTTTTTTCTTTTTTTTAAGGTGCTGCGACATTACAAGGTCGAACGGAGACAAGTGTCGAAATCCGTAGCGAGGCGCAAGGTAAGTCGCCGCCTTCTCACCCGTCTGAATAGAGGAGAGCAGTCGGAGTCTCATGTTACCGTGACGACGTGGATGCATCGGGGAGGTAAAGACAGGAGCAGAATGCAGCCAAGTGTGAACGACGACATCAGTGGCTTCAAGAGGAAACGAGTGACAGAAAGCATACAATAGGTTAGGTGCGCTCGTTTTGCTGCGACGGGACAAGATTGTTCGAGTGCTCATCAACTTTATTTGCTTTCGTACAAAGCACAGTGCCGGTGTTTTTGCACAGAATAAAGCTAGAAATACACTAGATACAGACATTGTAAATGATGCTTTCCCGCTTCTTTGCGTATATCAAAAGCATAGCCAGCAATGGGATCCCGCCAATGTCCGCGTCCTACTGTTCCCAAGCGGCCGAAGTGCATGGGGCCTTTCCCTCTGTGTCCTTGCACCGACTCTGTGCACGGACGGGAAAGTGTGAGGCGCGACACGGCCTCCCGTTTCAGCTGTGGAAGAAGTTTGGGGACGCCAAGAACGACCCCCCGGGCCCCAACGCGGCCACGACGGTGGTCGGTGAGGAGATCTCGCTGCAGTTCATTAGCGCCAAGGAGGAGGAGCAGAGCCACGAGGACGACATGCTGGCCAAGCTGCGCAGCCAGAAGACCAAGATGGTCAAGTGCCGCATCTGCAAGGAGGACCACTGGACCACCCAGTGCCCCTTCAAGGACAAGGTGGCCTTGCCCGAGCACCTCAAGGAGGAGGCCAAGCCGGGTGAGGCCACTGGGTGGAAACGGGGGGGGGGGGGGGGGGGGGGTGGAGAGGAGAGGAGGAGGGAGGGGGGGAGGGGGAGGGGGGAGGGGGAGGAGAGGGCCACCGAATTGGACGCGCGAGACACAACGTGTTCTGCGTGCACGCTAGAGTGGGCATTTTCAATCACTTTTGTAAATTGTTGAACGATTGAAGTTTGGCAAAATTGGTTTCAAGCCGTCTCAAGGGGCAGGCACAAACTCCCCGGAATCTCAAACGCCAAGGGGATTTAAATATGTATCCGACTGCCCAATCTTCCATGCTCACGCTTTGATTTGCTCAGTGCAGAGCATCTCTGGCTAATCCAGGACGCTTTCTATTTTCCTTTTTTTTTTGTTTAGGTTCTTTGTTTTCACTTTATGCTCGTCTTGGTAGAGCTTTGCAGGACGGGACGTCAGAGAAAAAAAAATAGAATCATAATAACAGAAAAAGTACGCTAACGACTACCGAATTTTCCCTGCAACAGCCATGACAACCCCGGAAGTGGAGGAGAAGGTCAAGTCCGGCAAGTACATCCCGCCCAGCATGCGGGAGGGCGCCAACAGAAGAGGGGAGTCCATGACCCAGTCACGCACCAGGGGTGAGCCTCTTTGTCTGCCCTTTTGCGGTGTCGTCTCAAGCATGCACGCACAGCCAAAGCGTGGCGAAAGGTAAAGAGTGTGTGCTACAGGTCGAACGTGCGAAAGGGATGCTCTGCCATTCTCGTCCTGCCGATGGCTATAGTAGTGGTGCACAGTAACTGTAGCCTTTCTTTTTTCAGTAGGAAGAGGGTAATGTAGTAAATAGCACTCTGGTTAAGGTGTTCTTTTTTTTTTCCGTGGTTGTTTTGTGTCAATCAAACTAGTATATGTAAGAAGTGGTTGGGAGAAACTTGAGCTACGGGTGATTATGGTTGTGTGTGTAAATAAAAATTCTCCTTTGTTACTGTATGTGAAGCGATGCGAGGGCCATAAAGAGAAACTGAAGCTGTTTTAATGTCCTGTGCAATTGAAAGGTACTTGGAACTTTTCAGCAAAGGACTGAAGGTTAATCTGGACTATGAGGATTTTGGATGTGCAACCAACACTTGAATTGGGTACCTCGTAAAATTACTTCAGTAAGCACGACACAGTAATGTTTCCCTCCTGGCGTCAGCAGTCATACTAGTTCAATTATATTTTCGTTAACATTTGTCCAGGATAATTTAGTAATATTCTTGAGTGCAACAATCCTAATGGAACACTAGTTGTTAGAGGAACATGCTCCTGTACTTTGATGCTAATAGGTTATTCTAGAAGTGCAGAACAAGACTCCTAGTCCATACTGGTTGCGTTATATCAGCTGGCATCTGCAATCAAGTAGTACTTCTGTCCGACATTTTGCGCAACAACCAGAGTGCAGTAGAGGATACGCAAGTTGGGCTAGAGTTCCATGCAACGCAGACCCCAAATGCTTTGCGTGCAACTCGGTGGCTTTGTTACTTTGCCACTCTGCAAAGAGTTCTTCTGTTTGTCCGCTTCGATCAGACGAGGCGGCCACCATCCGAGTGACCAACCTGTCGGAAGACGTGCGCGACTCAGACCTGCAGGACCTATTCCGGCCCTTTGGACAGATTGCCAGGATTTACCTGGCCAAGGACAAGGTCACCGGACAGTCCAAGGTATGTTCATGCACTGAGCACTGTTGTTTACTGCTTCGGTGCTACAGAAATGTCATAAAAACAGCCAGGAAACAGTTCCACGTGTTTGAATCAAAGTGGCAATCCAGGCGAGTTGGTTCATTTTTACAAGCTGCCCATCTCTGTCCTTATTTATTGTGCTCTGCATCACCAAGTTGTTCCACATGTTTGCTGGCTAGCTGCCAGAAGGTGGCCAACACCTGAATTTGTGACCAGGCATCTTGCCCAGCTAGTGTATATGTAAAAATGGCTATATAGTCGGCACACTTGGCAAATGCTGAATTCCTTGAATAATCATGTTACGGCGTGCTTGCTGCTCTAACCGTCTTAATGCAAAATGTTGCTCGAGACTTTTGGTTTTGGCTTCTGTGTAACGAAATTGCAAAGGTTGCTGAATAATTTTGTACTGCCATCAGCCCTAACAATGACTAGTACATAAGGAAAAGGTAAAAAAAATATTTATTTATTTTATAACAAAGCATGCTCATTTTGTTGTTGGAATTAAAACGTGCATTGTGGTTTTACGGTAGGCGGTAGCATTGCACTCGCTCTACAAAGCGGCACTTGTAGATGCGTACAGGAATACCAGGCTGCCTGCGAAACTGGCAGTCATGCTTTCTTGCAGACTGGACTGTTCATTTTGTAGACCTGTGGCCATTTTTTGGCACAATAGTGACATCTAGCCCTCACTAGCTCCTTTCTGAAAACAAGGTGTTTTTAGCATAGGTACTTGCAAGGACTCCCTTTTTGTTCTTCCTCAGGGCTTTGCCTTCATCAACTTTGTGCACCGCGAAGATGCAGCACGTGCCATTGCCAGCGTTCACGGATTTGGATACGACAACCTCATTCTCACCGTGGAATGGGCCAAGTGAGTCCCGTTTGATTTTTCAAACAGTTGTAAAAGTTCTCAATGCTTGAGACACCAAGAATAGGGCATGTGTACCGGCTTGTCCGTAGCGACCTAAAATTGCAGTTCAGGCAGGTAATCCCACATGGCTACATATGTGGATGTTCTGCTCATGTGACTAAGGCTTCTAGTTGTCAATTTACCGAATAACACTGCTAAATCTATGCTAAAGAAGTTTTGACATATCTGTAGAAAAAAATGGGCACAAAAAAAATAATAGATCATTTGGCATTTATGACCCCATTGTATTCCTGATATCTTGGCAGCAACCGAATGAAGCATGGCATTGTTTGATAGGAATATCAGACTTTGGTCATGATATGCAGCAAGGAATTCTCAAGCAACCAAGGAAACAGTTCTTGTATTTGTATAGCTGCCATTTCACTTGCTTTTTTTCTGCAACTTTACATGTTAGTCATACTCGCGTAAATAAAATTTATGGCAAATTGCTAGGCACTTGTGACATAGGTAAAATGTTCCAGCATCACAAACGTTTAGCGATACTCCAAGTTTCCAGACGCCTACGTTCACAGCGCTCTCCATCAGGTAGTTTAAGTTAACGCATATTATGTGTACACTCTATAGTTGTTCCTAGAATGAAGCGATACTACTGCTAATCGGGCTGGTAAACCTGGCAATCTTCCGGAGCCTTCGTTACTCTTGAGCTCATCTCCCTCAGTGTGCACAGGTAGTCGAGCTCCACCCCTGGACCTCTGGTCACATGACCTCCCCATTAACCAATCGGCGTCCAGCACCTCACTCCTCTCCCACTCGTCAACCAATCAGTGTAGAGCCTTGCGGCCATGCTTTTTTCCAGGCTTCACGAAATGCCAAGCACCTAACCAGAGAAAGTTTCATGTTAATAGCAATAAGCATGTGGGGAATTCCCTTGGTGAATTTGGAGCAGTTTTGGGGAGATTTTTTGTTGGTACTTTCTTAGACGTGCGAATATGTACTCGCATCTACCGCACCAAAGGCACGAGCACTGTACAACTTTGGATCACTCCAACTCCACCAAGAGAATTCCACAATAAATTTTATCTGAAAGAAAGAATAAATTTACTATGCCGAATTGTGTCAGAAATAAACGGTAGAAGTGATGAAGTTTCTCATCCAGATTCGTTTGTTTACAGGCCATCTGGAACGACGTAAACATCCAGTCCGGCAGCACAGATTCGAAACATTTGGAATTGGTGCACAATTTATTAAAAGAGATGATGACTGTTGGTTCATTTGGGCTTGAGTGAGGTTGTTACTATTTACATGCTATGCTAGTCAAGCTCTGATACTGCTTCCCTGGTTGAACTTGTGGCTTCCTTCGTGGAGATGATGATTTCAAGAAAGCTAGCTGATTCTTCTAGTCTAAGAAACGGCTGGAAACTGATCAACCTTATACCAGCGTGCTCTTCTTGTGGGGATGTCTTCGCCCACTGCTGGTTTCCTGCAAGAACAGACACTTTTAACATGAAAAAAATTGTCTCTTTCTACAACGCCAAGTGTCGCATGATGTGTAGTGAAATATTTCACGAGATTTGGAGCAAGTCATTTAGCTCAGTCTGTGCTCGTTCAATATTTAATAGTTGGATGCTTGGCCAAAGGGCTGAAACCCTTCTGCAGTTCTAAATTCTTTCAATAATAGACATGCATAGCATTATCTTGGGGCATGCAAGCAAGCATGGAGCAAGCCAAATGCCAAGGTTGAACTAAACGCCCAGAAGAAGCAAAGCGAACTGGATGCTCTGGACGTTTACAGAGTGAGACAACAGTGCGCAACCTTTTTTTGTTTTCTGGAAGTGTAGGTTTTTACAGGGCTTATCCTCCAGATGACAAATGCCGAGTCACTCGGCTGCAAATGCATGCATGGCCTTTGACATTTGGCAGAAGATGGCCGCTGCTCGTGTTCGGAATGCATTCCAGAGCCTGTTCGACAAAGACGAAAGTGCACAGAACTCTAGGGTTCCCCGAGCACCCAAATTTTCTCGGCTGCACCCGAGTAAAACATTTTTTTTTTTTTTTTTTTGGCAAGTTATTTTAAAATATTTAAGCCAGAGGTGTAACTTGTGCACCAAACACTCCCACGCATCCACCCTACTGCATACAAGGTCTGCAGGTTTCTGCGCTGCTTTACCTTATCAGTGCCGAGACCGAAAGCAATTCCTTGGCAATTGACGACTGGGAATAGGGATTTCTCGAAACAAAAGTTTAGAACTCTTGGGCTACACCTAGCAATGTGCTAACATGGACTCCCTCAACACTGGCACTTACGGGGAGGCGTCGGGCAGGAGGGGCGGCAGCCGGACTCTGCTGTGGCTGAGCTCGACGTTGCGCACGCTCCCAAAGAAGTCTGTCAGGGGCACCTCATCGACGTTCCTCTTGAACAGGTCCTTGCGGGAAGTCACGGTCGAGATGCACACGCGCTTGGGGCACACTCGCAGCTGCAACCAAACCCATAGAGCAACTTTCAGAAAGTGATGTGGTACTATAGACCAGGGGTGGCCAGGCCTAAGAGCCGCAAACGGAATTATGAAACTTCTAAGAGCCACGGGGGGGGGGGGGGGGGGGGGGGCAAGCAGAGTCTGACTGTACGTATGAGTGCACAAGGCTGTACGACAGTATGTATGGAGGTACAAGGCTGCCAAACCACGAGCCTTACTTCATTCTGCCTGAAATTCCTTCTTTTTTTCCTGGGGAAATGCGAGAAGGGGGGAGCGGGGTCCCCTTACGAGGGATCCGCGAACCGCACTTGGACCAGAAAAGAGCCGCATGCGGCTCACGAGCCGCGGCCATCTTGAAATATTGTTGCTTCCAGTATGGGCGAAAACATTCTTTTGCCGTCACCACGCCAATCGAATTCATTTGGATATAAACGTAACCGTTGCCCATTCTCAATTTGTCTCCCCTTTATTTTTGTACTATTTTCAGGTTAAAATGTTATATTTTTTTCGTTGCCCATACGTCGCCTGCCACATGACTGGGGACGAGAGTAAGCAAAAAAAGGTCTGTAGCACACAATTGCTGAACCTCAAAAATGTTGCAGGTATTTTTTGGAATTGAGAGAGAGAGAGAGAAGAAATGACGCTGCGGCGAGTTTGGTTTAGAGCCGACTTTCTCGTTTCGTGCTGACGCGAATCCGGTCGGTGTTTATTTCGAACGCCCGCGGTTTTATAACTTGTCGCGAGAGCCAATCTTTGCATTACGGTTAGTAAGTTACCGTTACTAGTCTGTAATCTAAAAAAAAGATTGACCAAAGGATATTGTGCACTCCTTGAAGTTATCAAACGTTCCAGCTCCCCTTGTCGGGGGCAACCGCCCTCTCAAAACGCAACAAAGTCCTTAGCGGGCCGTGGCGTTTTTTTTTTCTTCCTAAATGCTTGTTTTAAAACCTGTTCCCAACTGCATGGAAGTAGAAGGTATTACTTACAAACTGTCCCATTGTCTTGTTACTGTTGGATTTGACAGCCTCCAGGAACTCGAGGGCATAGTAGGTGTACCGGTCGATCACGTACACTCCGATCGTCGGGTCTCCATGATGCTGGGAATACGAGCAAGGTGACAGGATGGAACGTCGCCACATCATTCGTGTTCAAAGTTAAGTTCTGTAAACTAATGGTGTATTCGGCTGGTCGTTTTCGAGCATTCCATTCTTTTTAATTGAATCTGCGTGATCCAGAAGCGTCTTTAAATCTAAGGTAGAGGAATGGCGCATCAACCGAATGCTTGGCAATTTTTTAAAGTGGCCCGACCGTCGACACAGAACCAGATAACGAGGGCAACTTCCGCAACCGCTCCACTGCCATGGCGCGAGCTACCGCCTGATACAAAGGGTTTAGCCGATGCCCTTCAAATATCCAGTGCCCTCGCCGCATGTTTGCATGCCGCACGAAAAATAGAAGCCTTCCAATGCGGAAGCTGGCTCCTGCTGCGGTCCCCTGTCAATCACCAAGCACCTACTGTACCCACAGCTCAGCATAGCGGGATCAGCACAGTATCCTTTCACCCGTGTCGGCTTCTTTCTTTCAACTCAACAACGGAAATGACTGAAGTCACATGACCGGTATTCTGGCACGCGTTCCCATCGCTCCCACTGTGAAGTCTGAGCGCCTTGCAGCCTTACGAGTCTGAGATCGCTCTGAAAGAACCAGCCGAATGTACTTAAAGCGCCTCACTTCGACCAGCCGGATGGGCATCAGCTTTTCAGAGTGCTCTAAGAAGCTGGAAATTGACCAGCCAAATATACCATAAGAGAAATTTGTGACGAGATCAAATTGCTTCCAACTTTGTAATTGAAGAAACACTGGCACAGTGTTTTCGTGTGCCCATACTTTTTGTCCGTGGTGTTTTAAGCGAGCTATGGTGCCTGAAAATTACTCGCGAGAAAACTTCTGGGTGCTCTTAAGACTAGATCTGCTTGCTTGCTTATTTTCTCCCATTTACACGTAATGATTTCACATACTTTCAAAGTAGTGTTATAAATTTTCAAGCTTTGATAGCTAACAACCTTCATGAACGGTGTTCGTTGTGGCTTTAAAGGAATTTTTTCTTTCATAAAGACTCCAGAGTTTATAAGGCCTAAATTCTAGATTGCCTGAAACGCAGCATCATTTTTAATCCCCAATTGGAGAAACGGAAAGTGAGAAAATGTAAATAGCCGGTTCTTACTGTTTTCTAAGTAGCACGCCAAACCCAAGACTTCAAATTGCAACGTTACTGCAGCAAGCAACATATGGATATTCAAAAAACTTTATACAGAGAATGATGTCGTGGTGATCGCTGTGAAACGCATCACGGGGGGCTTCCATGCAACAAGTTATTACCATGACAACATGCCTGGTGTGCCCCAGATCATCTGGCTTGGGCGGAGCCACTCACCGACAGCGAGTCTTCGCCGACCTTGCTGCTCGCAACAGACAGGATGTTGGGAGAGTAGAACCATTTGTACATGGACTCTGCCTGGCAGGTGTCGATGATGAAGAAGATTTCGTTGTACCTGGCGGGGCAGGCGAGAAGCGGGCTTTCATTCGGCCACGACCAGAGTGCGGGGAAGAGTCAAATATTCTATCTAGTTTTATTGCAAATATTTTAAATTCATTTCTTGGTTTATTTCGGCAAAAGAATGGTACTTGGATGCGAGGAAGAAACATTTCACCCACAGCATTGTGAACATTCAACATATGCTGAAATCACTCAGAAATGAGTAGAGTTTTTTTGAAACTGGTTGAGAGAATTAACTAAACTATTCAGCGCCATTGCGAGGTTGTTTCACAATGCAACAACTATGACATCCAAAAGCCTAAAATAAAAATGGTTAGAAATGTTTTAGAAAAAAAAAAAAGTATGTTTCTAGCATAGTAAAAAAAACCTTCAGACTAGGGACCAAAAAGGGGACAAGAAAACACTGTCTCAAAACTCGGCAGCAAAAGTTTATTTTCATGCATCTCCTTTATATAGGCAACTCTTCAACAAACAACCCCACATACAGTGAAGTGGACAAGGTCCAAGTGGTCACAAAGGAACCCCCTTCCTTAACACCAACAGCTGTCAAACCCACATTACAGTCAGGGGGACAAGGCCCAAGCAGTTACAAAAGATCCCAAGCGGCTACAGAAAAGATGTGGTCTTATCTTTCTGTTTCGGTTTTCAAGGTCAGTAGGGTGCGTCGGGATAAAGAAAGAGGGTTCTTTTGTAGCCGCTTGGCCCTTGTCCACCTGACTGTGACGTGGGGTTGACGGCTTTTGGGGTTCAATGCCGACCTGCAAAATATTTTTCAACCAGGGTGAAAATCCTCTTTGCCAGCCATTCCCATTTCTTTTTTTTTCCCACTGGTATCTTGACAGAGGGGGACTTCTTTTGTTGCTGCATCTCGGGGCTGTACAAGCTGGGAGCTTGTCTTGACTTATCCAGCCCCAAGATGCAGCAACAAAACGAGTCTCCGGGCTGTCAAGATAGCAGTGGGAGAGGGGGAAATGAGAAAGGTGGCGAGGAGAATTTTCACCGTGGTTGAAAAATATTTTGCAGGTAGGCCTTAAGGGACAGGGTTATTCTGTGACCGCTTGGATCTTGTCCAGTTGACTATATGTGTGGTTCACGGCTGTTGGCATTGGCATTGGTTGAGGAGTTGTGGCTTATATAAAGGATAAGCATGAAAACAAACTTTTGCAGCTGAGTTTTGAGACGGTGTTGCTTTGTCCCATTTTTTGCCCTAGTCTCAAGCTCTTTTTCACTATGATCGTTCACCAACTCACCTGTGCAGTAACTCTAATTTCAGTTCCTAACAATGCCCAATCCCGTTTGAAAGTGTGAGGACGATCCAAACAAATCGTTTGTACATTAGGCAGGCATTTAATTAAGATGACCTCCCTCTGGGGGGTGATAAGGGATGGTGATGTTCATTTCAGCAATAAATGAACATATTCCCGAGGTATGAGTAAAAAGGAGGTCTCACCTCCTTTTCTGCCACATCTGCTCAAATGCATCTGCCAGCTCCACATTCGTGATTTCTTCAGCATCCTGGAACTTTAGAAACCCGTCTCCTCCATGGCCTACAAAAGCGTTGAGATGAAAGAAAAAAAAAAAAAACCACACAGATCACCAAAAGCATTACCACGGCTTCATGTCAGGTCTGTAAAAGTTACTTGGAAAGTAATTAGGTTATTGTCAAAGTAACTTTAGGCTAAAATTAATTAAGTTACAAATGCAGTTACATTTTTCCAAATGTTTCTAAGTGAGAGTTATACATCGTAAAAAAGTAATAAAGTTACATTCCATTGGGTTCAAAGTATCCCATGAAGTTGAGGTGTGCTGCAATGGATAATCACATCCAAAGTGAAACAGATATTGGCACACTTCCATCTTGCTTCAGCATTTTGCTAATGATAGAGCTTGAGCCAGTTACAGCGTGTAGTGCTGATGCTGATTTCAGTTACTTAAACTTCATTGTAACTTGGGAAGTATTTAGACGGACAGATTGCAACTATGTTACTTGATGGGTTCACTTCACATAATAGACTATCCTGTACGAGATGTTGCAGACGCAAGATGCCAGAGCTAGAAACATTTTTCTCTCCCATAGAACTGCCTGCTCATGAAGATTGAAATGCCTGGCAGAGCATGTGCTGTGTATTGTGAGAAAAAAGAATGGTGATGAAAGCTTCACGTTATAGAAAGTGACCCTTACCAGAGCACGAATTCACTTTTTTGTCAAGTTTTCACAGAGTCTGAACAGTGCTACGTTTCCATCTTGAACTTACAACCATTACAGTTAAGCAGCCGAGAAGCTGACAACCCTCTTTGTTCAAGTAATAAACAAAGCAAGCAAATAAAAAAATAATTAATATAAAAAAAGAAGTGAAAGCTTAAAACCAAACAGACCTGTCATGTAAATGAGGATGTTGCTATGCTCGTCAGTGAGTAGTCTTTTTGACCTTGGCGTATTTGCGGGCAGGCGACCTGTGAGTATCCTAATGAAGTTTTCGACAGTGACCTGGAAGAAAGGGGCACGTTCGACCTATGGGCTGGTTTTCAGGTACCGTCTTTCCTCTGTGAGCAAGTTTTGCACGGATACCAAAACTAATCAATATCAGCAGTAAACCGCGAGACAGGTAAGTGGGATACCAGAGATCGTACCTCATAACCACGGTAATCCACCTCCACATCATCACCATACACATTGATGTGGTGATGCGCATTGTTGTAAACTGTGGCCGGGTTTGGATTCCTCGGATTGCAAGGCATGTCATCCGCAATCATCAATATGATCTGGCTGCAATGAGAAGACCAGATAACCCGTGCTAATGTTTGGCATTGTAATAAAGCCACTCAGACTGTTACTTGGACACAGAGAATGCCTACAAAATAGGTATGCATACAGACAATAGAGCCTCAACATACAGACAAAAACCCAACAGCAACTATGTTACATGTCACAGTTAAAAACGAAAATTTAGAGCTCAAACTTTTATTTTTGTTTTGAATCAAGATGCAGTGCAGCTTAATTCTCAGCATTAAAAGCGTAGAACTGAGAATGCAAGCTGATGCAGTCCTGCATTTGATGTCTAGTACATTATGATTGTGTCTAATTTCGATGGAGGTTTGTTTAGGCATGTGTGGAGCTATGCATTCTGCAGTGCGAGATTGCTCCCGACATATTTAGAGCGATTAAAGATTGTTCATGATTCTCGAACGTTGAAATTAAAAAACTGACCAAAGGTTCGGAAGTGCTGAGTGAGCCAATGAAGGGAAGGCGGTTTGGCTAACCTGTCTGGTATGCCGAATCGTTTGACGCTCCTGTAGAGTGACAAGACATTGGCCACATGACGGTAGTTGAACCAGAACCTTGACGTACACACAAGCACCGCCCAGTTGTTCGTGTGTCCAGACTTGAAGAACTCGGAGACCTTGGAATCCGCGTCATTCTGTTCGAGCGCGTAAGATTCAAGGTCACTGGAAGAGCTCGGAATTGTCCAACTCATGTTCACAAACAAACAGGAGCGCCCCTAGCGGACACCAACAACGCTGCGCATGTGCGATGGGGGTGTGAGCAAGAAGCTCGCCGTTGCCCATAAACAAACCATTGAAATGCGATGTTGTCGGCATCCGTGCGAGTTTCCCTGCCCTTTTTCGCGTTCGAATTGTTGATTCTACGTCTTCCTGGCAATGTCCGACTACTTGAGCGGCCTAAGCGAAATTGACGAGGCTCGTTACACTGCAAAACTTCGCATGAATAATGTGACAAGCGGCCATTCATTCCGTGTGAACGCCGCAGAATGTATGCTAAAGCCTGATTCACATGATGAGATTTCGCTCGCAATTTTTGGTTGTGACGTCGCGCGGGCTGCAAAAGCGTGAACTGTAGCTGAGATGGTCGACGTCGATACTGAAAATCTCAAGCAGAATCGGACCAAGTGAATGAGGCATAACAAGCCAGTAATGGCCACTGGTAACAATGATAAACATATCCTTGTATCTACTGTTTACATCCAGCCTGCTTACCAAACTTTAAACTTAAGTCTTTTGAGGCCTGCACTTATTTCTTATCGCAAGTACCGGGCCAACGTTTAGTCTATGGGCCGGTGTCGTCTAAAAGAGCAGACGACACGCAGAAACGTTTGAAAGAACAGACGACAGTTCGAATGATCAGGCGGCCGTTTGAACTTGAAGACACACTGAACGTAGTCCGCTGGTGGTTCATACAACTTGACAGTTTTCTGGCGTTCATGTTGGAATTAAACAAATAAATCTGATGACCACAAGTATCCGTAAATTCAACCCAAAGTACTTCCAGCCCAAGCAATCGTGGTCCGACGGCGTCTGGTTTTCCCTTTTCACGGCACATATCCATGTTCTCGGACGAACCGAGCACATGAAAACTGACCTTCAAACCTTTTGGTACAGCCCTAGTCGTGGCGTTCTGACGATAAGGCAGATTTTTGTCTGGTTCCTTTCAAAACAACGCAGGAATACACGTCTCACATGGGGCCTTCCGCCCACAGCCCCAGACCGGAAGTGTGCCCCACGCGCCACCACCGCGCCGTGATGTAGCGTTCGTGTGTAGGCCAACGGGCGGCGCTGACGTCACACTGCTGCAGTTGCGCTGCTGTCGGCACAGTGCATGTGCAAACGCTTTCTCTCATGCGACTCTGGTGTCTATGCACGATCAGTGTCCATGCCAGGTGTAAGCAAACGCGGACGTGTTCGTAAACAGCTCGTTGGCTTATATTGAGGCTTTAATAGGACCAGGGATGTACACCCATGGTACACCGATTCAACTTGACAAGCGGAGAACGCCATGGCCCCAACCAGCCAATAGGAAGGTCCAAACCAAGCACGTGACAACACAGGTCCTAACAATACACCCGTGAAGCACCGTCACACGTAGGTGTTGCCGCGTTATAATAGGGAATTGTAGTAGATCGTTTTTCTCCTCCGCTACGGTATCCCCGAAGAAAACGCCGCAGCTGCGCATGCGCGCCGCCAGCCTTGTCTGCATAGTTCAGGGTCTTGTGGCGGATTACGGAGCGCTATCCGGGTGCTTAGCGGGCTGCGGGAATGGTCTACTACAATTCCCTAATGAAACAGAGCGTACAAAAGTTTCGGAAACAATTTCGTGGCCGTAGTTGCTAGGGGGTGAACAAAGAAATTCAGTTTCTCATAAGGGATATAGTCAATGGAAAGTCATGAACTTGCGTTCTCCCGATGTCGTCAAAAATAAAGGGACTTTGACCAGTGTAAAATCTAGTCGGCTACTCGGATAATTTCTGTTACAATCTCTCATTCAAAATGTTTATGGTTTTAGCCGAAAAGGGATAATCAGAGTGAAGAGCGAAAGGAAGAGGTGCATTGAAGTTGGAAGTTATTGTGCAAGCAGTCCGCATCTAATGCCTAAGCGCCGCAGCGATTAGATCAACTTTTGATGGCTCACTGCTAAGGTGACGTTAGTAGTGACTAACTTGAACATACCTGCGAGTTTAACGGCGTCACAAGCAAGTAAAAAATAACTGCACATAACCAAAATCTCAGTCGCCGGGCGAAGATGTTTTGATACATGACGCCTTCGATGTGCTCGATTATTCAACCATTCAGCCGTTCCAGCCGACTTCTGGTCACGTGATTATATCAACCGAGTGCACTACTAACATAGTTTAAAATGTGCTAAATTGACCATAATAAAATAATAAATATAGCTTAAAAAGATAAATTGTTATTAATGGTAATTTATATGCCTCTAGAAAGACGTGAAATCTAATTCCCAACCCTTCACATAATCCACCTCATTGAAGGCCTTTGGCGATTATTAAACTGAACTGTATCAATATTTATTTAATCCGAACACATTTTTATTGGCTGAATTGATCAATTTGATAACACTTTTTTAATTTCTTTTTTGCAATCTAGTTTTATGGTCTGGCAACGACGTGCGCCGTAGCCAATAGCCAATGGCTCGCGAGTTTTATAGAGAGATCCAATCCAATCCTCCGATTAAAGCGCTAAAATGCGGTAGACAACGATATTTACAACCGCAGATCATTTCCCTCGATGCACTGGCGTTTCACATCGAGGGTAACGCCAAGTTGTTCTCCTATAGACTATGGTGAGTCGCGAATCACCTTACAGAGACGCCTCGTTCGCCGTTTGTGACAGCCCGCCGTCACCACGATCCCACGAAAAGCTGGGAGCCCCGGATGGTGCCTGAAACAAAGAAGTCGACCGATTTGGTTAGTTTCCGTATCGTTTGAGGTTTCAACAGTTTGAATGCCTCGTGCGTCCATGTCCCAGCCTTCGCGCGCAGACGGAGTCGTCTAGATCGACGTCTTCGACCGGGATTCTCTGACAGTAGGGAGCCACCATCGCCGCCGCCATGACCAACGAACAGCGGACCTACGTCTATCTGAACTTCGACATAGACCCCTTCACAGCCGAACTGGTGTTTCCGCAGGGAGTGCCCAAGGGAGGATGCGTTTCCCTGGTGTTCGGGTCGTTCGACAAGTCTGCTGTGAGCAGGGAAACGAAGTTCACCGAAGAGTTCGCCAGGATGGTGAGCCAGAAGTTCCGCGTCTCCTCACCGCTCGTCCGAGGAGGTCCGCAGTGCTTCATCCGCATATCACTGATGAAAGACGGGCCGCCGCAGGCGCCGAAATCCCTGCAAAACGGGGCCGAGAGTCTCCCCAAGGACCCGACCGCTTCTACGCCAAGGTCCGCCGCCGCTTTGACTCCCAAAGCAGTCGCTCCCGGGCCGAAGACGGCAGCGCCGGCGCCCAAAACGGCGGGGGCTGACGTGCCCAGCCTGGAAACGGACGCCGCTTCGGCGCCTGGCAACGACGACGATGTCGAAGACATGGATCAAGACGATGACGTCCAACTCCTCGACGACGGTTCGCTGTCCGACGACGGACCCGACGACAGCGAATTGGACTTGGGCGACGAAAGCGTGGAGAAGGGCCCTTTCGTCTGCCGCACTTGCGACAAGTCGTTCTCTTTCTACTTCGACCTGACCAAGCACGAGGCGGTCGACCACGGTATCTTCCACGTGTGCGAACACTGCCGCAAGAAGTTTGTCAATAAGTTTGGCCTCGTGCGTCACCTCTGGTCGCACCTACCACCGGGCAGGCTCCCCTTCCGCTGCGGCGACTGCAAGATGACCTTCATCACGAGGAAGGAGCTGGTGGTGCACAAGAATTTGCCGCACGGCACCGAACTGCCGCTGGCAGATGGAAAGCCGCACGCCAAGAAGGTGGTAGCCATTGAATTGGACAAGGATGGCCAGCCAACCAAGGATACAAACGCTGCCGGGGGCAAGGGCAGGCAGAAACTGCAGACCAAGCCATCGGACGAAGACATCTATTTCTGCGAGTTCTGCGCAGAGGTCTACCTGACAAGCCACTTCTACAAGCAGCACATTGCGAAGCACCACGCACTGAAGCTCAACGAAGCCCCCGACGACATCGCTGACTTCACGGGCATTGCGAGGGACCCCGAAGACCCGAGCAAGCTGCGATGCGCTCACTGCGACGAGTGTACCGATGTCGGCTTCAGGGAGCTGTGCCAACACCTGTGCGACAAACACCCCGAATCCAAGGTCTACCCCTGCCCCAAGTGCACACTCATCTTCCCGACTGAGGCAGCCTACGAAAGTCACATTGTCACCCACGTGATTCAGGTCACGGCAAGCGAAAGCCGCCCGGGACACAAGGACTACCACTGCAACCGCTGCGGGGAGGTGGAGGTCAGCCGCAAGGCCCTCGTGCGTCACATGCAGCTGCACTATAAGGACCCCGATAGCCGGCCGTTTGCCTGCGAGGTGTGCCCGGCGACCTTCCGGCTCAAGTCAAGCCTCTTGCTTCACACAAAGCGCCACTCGGCACGCACCAAGCAGGCCTCTTTTCCGTGCTCGACGTGCCCCAAGGTCTTCACGGCGAAGCACTTTCTGAAGCGACACGAAGAGGTGGTGCACGCCCGAATCCTCCCATATGCATGTCCGCACTGCTCGAAGAAGTTCTACTTCGAGCGCCACCTGCAGCAGCACCTGGTCATGAGCCACAGGTCCAAGCTGAGCGACGAGGAGGTCAAGGGCCTGGGCCTCATCCACAACTTCCAGTGTGAGGAGTGCGGCTTCACGAGCTACAGTGAGCGCACCATCCGTCGCCATGTCTACGCGCACACGGGCACCTTCCCGTTCGTCTGCGAGGAGTGCAACCGCGGCTTCGTGTTCCGCTTCGAGCTCACGGCCCACCATGCCCGGCGCCACCTGCACCAGAAGCTGCGCTGCCAGCACTGCCCGCGCGTGTTCTACATTGAGGAGCGCTTCAAGAGACACCTTTCGGCGCACGAGGAAAACTGGGGCATGAGCTGTCCCGTGTGCAACCAGCTCTTTGAGACTCAGGGCTACCTGGAGAGCCACATGCAGCGCCACTCCGGCAAGACGCCTTACGAGTGCAGCGACTGCGGCAAGCGCTTCAGCGCCCCACAGGGGCTCACCTTCCACAAGCAGCAACACCACGAGAGGCAGCCGCGGCAAGGGGCCCGCCTGTCGGAGCAGTGGCCCCACAGCTGCGAGGTGTGTGGCATTCGCTTCAAGTACCTGAGCAGCCAGCAGGCCCACATGGCCTGCCACCACCCGGCCACGGATAGCCAGCCGCTGGAGTGCACCTACTGCCAGCGCAAGCTGGCCTCAAAGCTGGCTCTGTCCCAGCACTTGCGCAAGCACACTAATGAAAAGTACAAGTGCAAGCACTGCGACCGCGGATTCCAGTCGTACGTCGGGTGCCGCACCCACCAAATCGTCATGCACACCCGCAAGTTCAAGATGGCATGCCCAATCTGCGAGAAGGGTTGCATCTCCTTCTTTGAGCTGAAGAAGCACCTCAAGCAGTCCCACAAGGCGGTCGTGGTCCGGGAGCAGGTGGTCGAGGAGCAGCTGGTCCAGGATCAGCTGGTCCAGGAGCACGTGGTCCAGGAAGTCCAGGAGATCCAGGAAGGGGAGTACCAGGAGGCCATCCTCCAGGAGGGAGTCTATGAGGAGGCGGGTTACCAGGAAGAGAGCGTTGAAGAGGAGTGTCTCCAGGAAGGGGCATTCCTGGAGCAAAGCTTCGAAGAAGGCACCACTGAGGTGGTTCTTCTTCAATTGAGTGAAGGCTCCATCTTGCTGTAAACTCTGCTTGTTCCGCAACCTAATAAACATCGGCTGTTTTAAGGGAACATTCCTGGTAGGTTGCAAACTGTTTGTGTGCTAGTGTGTCACCAGATAGCTGAATTAGCTAGTAGTATTGCAGCGCTGCCTGGTACAGTTGTCGTCATTGAAGAAAATTTAAATGCACAGACTTGATTTTGTTGTGCCCTGTGGTGACCAAGTGAAGTATCTTTATGGTTAGTGGAGAGCTGGTGCAAACCATACACATAGGCACTACACACATAGGCAAACACCGCTGGAAGCTAGTGTGCTGTGTGAAGTCAAGTTTCTGTTAATTTTCTATGCGAGCATGGCAATTTTTTGTATTTTGATGTAAGGGGGTGGTGACATGTATGTGTAAATTTCTTTGGAAATGAAATTGAATGACAATTGCTTTGTACATGCTGGTGTCTGAGGCCTATCTGACTTCACTGACTTTGAAATGTCTGCAATTTATTTGGTCTCATCTAATTTGCCATGTTTTTTGCCTTTGCTTCATCAATCTTATTCATATGGCAAATATTTTGTGGGTTTCTGTTTGTTTTATAGCTATACAATTTAAAGATTAACTAGCAGTGTATGTATAACTACCCTGAGGGAAAGCTTTTCAAGTTGTGAAAAGGCATATGTTATACACATGGCAATCAAAATAATTTTGATATCTTTTTCCCACTCTAGAATGGAAGGCACTGGGCTAGCGCACACACGGAGGCATCCTGTGCCCTCCCTGCATTTGCTCCAGCTTTGACAGTTGCTTTGGTGCATGTACACGAGGCTCGTTAGATGTATCTACACCATCCCACAGAGGTACAGAAAAATGCAGCGCCATGAACTTCTGCACTCTTAAATCGAACGAAGCTGTGTACACGTGGTTTGAAGCCGAAGTGAGAAGCAAGAGCATGGTGCTGCCCTGAACGATGCTTGAAGTGCACGAGCGCACATGGTTGCCAGGGTCACCAAAAGCCCACATTTCTTTTGCTTTCTTTCAAAGGTCCAGCGCCAAACCTCCAGCACATGCTCTTTGTCGTGCTCTGGCAGCATGTACCGCTCGAAGCCAAAGTGTTACCAAGGCTACGGAGCTCACGCTAAAGGTCCGACAATCGAATTACCTCCCTGTCTTCCTCGTACCGTCTGTGTATCAGACGTTCCGTGGCACCACACGCTTGCAGAAAGGTAGTGAGTAGGAGTGTCACGAACCAGCCGAGGTTCGAGTTCAACCAGGTTTGATTTTTTCAAACTTTTAGTAGAAAATTCGACGAACCTTGTATTGAGGTTCGACTCGTGTGTGCATACGCAACAGGCTGGCCAGTTGGCTTCGGATTGGACGGTGATGGCTAAGGGATGAATTAAGGACAGCGCTGATTGGTTATTTCGGTTAATACAGTGCAAAAATTGAAGTTATTAACTTCTTTAGTGATTAGAATTGGATTATTTTAATTGCAACTGTTTATAAAATTAAATAACCCTTTCATAAAAAAAAAAAAAATTCTCCAAACTTAGACATGCTTGCATCAATGTTTGACCACACTGTCCACAAAGTCGAATCTGGTGAAAAGGTCGAAGGTTCATCAAACTGGTTTGACCCAGTCAAACCCCGAAAGGTCGACCTAAAAATTCGGTTCGACAAACGTTCGCTTAGTAGTGAGGTAGGTGGTCAGCCGCACTGTGGTCGGCCACACTGTGGTCGGCCACACTGTGGTCAGCCCTTGTTAACAAAGTCGCGGGAATTCTGCTAGTGGATTTGGAGCGATCCGGAAGTGCTCCATGCTTGCGCCTTTCAAGCAGAAAATGCTAGGGCGTGCTTTCATGTGCAAAAAGATGCCAAGAAAAAAGAGCTAAAAAAAAGTGAAAGCGGTTTACAACTCCCTGTAACACCGAATTAGAGCGCAGCTCTTGAGGAGGAGGGAAGGGTACTGAGGGGGGGGGGGGGGGGGGGGGCGGCACGTGATCCCCCCTTCCCGAGGTTACCAAAGGTACCCGAGGACCTCGGGGGGGGGGGGGGGGGGGGGGGGGGGTGAGGTTACGTTGACGCCGACGACGACGCTCAAGCCGGAAAGGGGGCGCCTGAGAGTATGCGCTCTAAGAACACTCTAAATTCAATGCATGTATAGTTTTCACTGTCATCGCTCCTTTTTGTGGCAGTCTTGCTATACTGAACATGTCTTTTGCAGCCGGTGGCAAAATTCAGAGGGGGGGGGGGGGGGGGGGGGGAGGGGGGGGTTCGGATGTTACGACCTCTTCTTGAATTCTGGATGTGTAAAAATGTAGGTCGGGGAAATGGGGGGGGGGGGGGGGGTGTAAACATATTTGCTGACCAGGGGCCCTAAACTCGTCAAATACAAAGTTGGAGCCGAAAGTTCGCGGAGCGCGCCAATTGGACGCTGGCGAAAAAAGTGCGAAGTCATCGTCGTGATAGTCCAATCAGCACGTTCTGCGAACTTCGTGCCCAACTTTGTGTTTGACGAGTTTAGCGACCCAGGGGCTCTAAACTCGTCAAAAACAAAGTTGTAGCCGAAGTTCACGGAGCGCATTCATTGGACTATCCCGACGATGACTTCGCGCTTTTTTCGCCGGCGTCCAATCGACGCGCTCCGCGAACTTTCGGCTCCAACTTCGTGTTTGACGAGTTTAGGGCCCCTGAATGTAAGGTAATGGCTATATCCTTTGTAACGAACGGCAGCTTGCGCCCCCTAGACTAACATATCGTCGTCCTTTTTTTTTTTTTTTAATTTGTATGAATTTTGTTCTAGCACAACCCCCTCCCCTTTTTTTTAAAGTGTTTCCATCGCTTATTGTATTTTTACCCCTCCCCTAGATCCTTTCCACCAATCTTCCAATCTCCTCGTAGTTCCCGCAATTCTTCCCCTGTCCCCTCGTCCATCCATGTCTACAAATCCCAGTGCCCTCTCCAAATTCGTAGTAACCCCCGCCCCCCACCCCACCCCACCCAAAGCCGCCTGTATACTGTATAGGCGGCTTTGCCCCACCCCAAGAGGTGGGACATATGCCACATAGAGTGTCTATTTCCTGGAATTTAGCCTTAAATGGCTTCATTCTTAGCACCCCCGTTCTAGCTTCAAACAGCAGAGCTCCCCAATGAATTATCATACAACTGTTCCTTCTTTACTTCTTGTTTTTGTGCCTCGTGTATTGTTAAAGCTGATTTCCCCTGCATTCTCTCTTCCCACAATTTCCTCTCTGTTTCCTTTACTCCTTTTTCTACTAATATGCTCTGAACGGTCCCATATGGTTTAATGTATTTAGATCTCAGCTTGCGTATTCGGTTTGTCCACTCAGCGTTTAGACTTTTTATAAATAGATACTTGTATACACTATCGCTGCCCACCGTGCGTCCTCAATTTCAGCTAATCTTTGTTCAAATTTTACTTTACTGATCGCTTCTCTACTCTTGAAAGATGTTCAGCCCATATCCCCCCATACTTTCTCATTTGGTGTATTCCCATGTGCCCCCAATGCCAACCTACCCCACGCTCCTTTGCTGTATATCTCTAAATTTGTCGGTATTTCTGACCTCATACACAATACCGCATTCCCAAATGACAGTTCTGTCACCATGACTCCATTTCATACACCCCTAACGACTTCATATCTGTTCCAGAGTGCCCCGTGTTTCATAATAGCTGAATCTCTTCCCCCCTTCTTTAGTACAATATCGTCATGTTCTTTTAGATACTTTCTTCCCTCGCTTAACCATACTCCCTGATATTTGTACGTTTCTATGTGTTCTATCACTGTGTCCTGTATCTCCAGAAACTATTATACCCGACTTGTCCCTACTGCAATGTTAGTCCTAAACTGTCCCCTTCCCTGCTACAAGTCCTAATCAGTCCCTGTATTGTCTCACGACTTTCTGATACGAGCACAATGTCGTCTGCATAGATTAACCCTGGCAATACTTGATTTTTCCATGTAAGTCAGGTCAAAACCTAGGTTGTACTGCACTAATATTTTTCCCATCTCACTAAGGTATATCATAAAGAGCAGGGATACAATGGGCAACCCTGTCTAAGTCCTCTAGCTTATTATTGCTGCTGGTCTTGTAGTTTCGGCTTCCCATGTTATAACCACCCTGTTCTCCCTATAAACCCGTTCTAGAAACTTAACCATGGTTCCCCCTAGCCCATATTCTTTCAGTTGCTCCCAGAGTTTTGCCTGATTCACATAACTGTCATATGCTCCTTTGATGTCCAAAAATGCTACCCATAATGGTCTTTCACTTGTCATTGCTATCTCTATGCACTCAGTGATTACGTATAGGTTATCATCTAGTCGTCTATCCCTCCTGAAACCGTTTTGAAGCTCCCCCAGAATCTGCTTTCTCTCTGCCCATTCTTCCATTCTTCTTTTTTACAATTTGCATAGCTAGTCTGTATATTACGAAAGTTACTGTGATTGGTCGGTAGGATTTGATTCTCTCTTTGCCTCCCTTGCCCTTACATAATAATCTCATCCTGCTAAATTTCCAGTCACTGGGTACCTCCACTCCCGTAGGTATCTGGTCGATCATCTGCCTTAGTTTCAATTTGCTTGTTTTGCCTAGAACTTTTATAAGTCACATTGGTATGCCGTCTGAACCGGTCGCAGTTCCCCCCAGCCGGATCCTTTCCTTCTGCTTTTTCCCATTCCCCTGTGGTCATTTCCTCTTCTTCAGTGTGATCTTCCTCTTGTGTTGTGTAGATACTCCCATTCCCCACGGCCTGATCTGGCTCTAACTCCGAAAATGCTGCTTCGAATGTATCTAATGCACTCTATTGCCTCTTTCTCTCTCTCTCTCCCCCCCCCCCCCCCCCCTTTTACCTTCGTTCCTCCTTGTGCGGTGAGTGTCTGCTGATACCCCCCAGTCTTTTTTCTCTGTGCACTGATGTTTTCCCAGAACTTTTTTGCCGCATTCCTATCCTTCTGGTTCATCTCTATCGTTCACTGGAGCCCTGCCCTCCCAATTTCGGCCTATATTAATGCTGATGCCCCCCGCTTTCCTTCCTGAAAGTCCTCCCAGTTTGATGCTACT